CCCTACCTATACCTACGTCCGTGCGACCTATACCCTACCTATACCCTACCCTAGGTACATGGTACCCATCCGCCAGTCTAGTTGATAGTGTGTTCTGAATTTGGGTTTGATTAGAGCGGCTAAGCTTTGTCTAACAAGCTTAATTAGCTAAGTGCGTAGGGAGATCTACTGTTCTTAGGAAGCTAGGCTCATAACTGTTACAGAGCCTGTAGGACTATACTTAGGTAATTAAAAGTATTTAATTAGTAGCTATCTATCCTATCACAAAAGTAAGGTTTATATACATAGGAAATATGTGTGGATCACATAATCTAAGATAAGCAAGCAGTTGGCCAATTATCTAGTAGCTCGTTAACAAAGAATAGATGAAACGAGCTTCTGGTTTAGACCCAGAGGTGCTCGTCCCGGTTTATCCAGGCCGGCAAGCTCCACACCCTCAATTGAGGTGCTCGATTGTGTGACATTATATTATAAAACTTAAGTTTTTACTATGCTTTAAAGGAGCTTTTAATGCCTCTATTACTAGGAGCAATATCTAGGGAGGATTTAGAGGTGCTAGCTTAGTCCCCTTTAATCTAGAGGCTGTAATATTAAAGCTTAAAGTGTGCCTGTGTAATCTACTACTGTAAGGAGCTGGCCTCTGCGGGCTATTTGCAAGTATGAATCAAATGGATTTGTTGAGGAGTGGCTGCAGGCGGAGGTCTGCAGACTTTTATGTCCTCCGTGCGGAGGTTACACAATTAGTCAAGATTGGGACCTCCTGACTGGGGGTACAGCTGGGCAGGCACCTCCTCTCGGAGGTTGGCCGAGGCCGGCGAGCGCCGAGGCGCTACCATCGGGCCTAGCCCGTTACAACTACTACCTACTATAGATAAGAGTATGTGGCACTCTTAAACCCTATAGAACACCCTAGAATTTAGGTTATAATTAAAGCTTATTTAAGAGAGAATTTAATAATATAGTTATAGCTCTCTAACTTTAATAGTTAAACTCTTAATTAGCTTACTAAGGGCGTAGAGATAATAGCGCATTTACTAGTTTTAGTGCGTAACTAGGTTGCAGAGCTTTCGCGAAGGGGGTTTAAGTAGAGCTTTCGCTCTTAGTAGTAAAGAATTCCCCATAATGCAACGTCTAGTTTAGCTATATCGTATGCTGAGAGGTGTTGAAGTAGTTGTTTCCGTACTGGGTATGGTACAAAAAGGCTTGAGAGCGGCATAGCTAAAGAAAACAGAAGTTGGAGTTTTGAGTGAACTACGAAGCAGAGAGACACGTGATAAATTAACTGTGTAGCGTTTAGTTGGAGCAGAAGGCCGACATTGCAAGGTGGCAGTATTGGTGCAATAAGGGATGCAGGTTAATAGTAACTTATAGATACTTTTATTATAGTAACATATAGACTGTTGTGCACCAGTTGCGTATTCTGTTTACAGGCAACAATTTCATCCACGTTGCAAAACTTCAATATTAGTACAATGGGAGGCTTTATCATCACTTCTCTCTGCTTCTGAAATTAAATTTAGTAACGCGTAGATCTAGTAACTTAATCTACTTCTATGTTCTGCAACTTCAGATCCAAACCATTTGTCTTGACAAGTGGCCCATGCGTTGCCCTGAGTTCGCTCTCTGCTGAGCAGACTACGTCATTGTTGTTGCTATCTTTGCGCGCATTGCGCTCTCCTGTGAACCTACGCAGACCGAACGGAGTAATGCCGTGAATCGTAGTTGCATGACTCCAAAATTCGGATTCTGATAACAGTTCATCTGCGCAGAGCGGGTGTAGGCATACTGTAGTGACATGCTCTTTGGTCAGATGCTCCTTCATGTGTTTATGCAATTGAAACACGTCACTGGATTGCACAAAGCGTGCTGCTAATGGTGCGTCAGCCTTGAGGCAGAACATGCAATGCGCAGCCACTAAGTTATGACAACTCCGCACTCCTTGATCAATCCACAGTAGTTGTTCAACGTTTCTAGATGTTTCTTCTATAGGTGCGCATTCTAAATCTAATTAGAACAGCACCATACGTCATGTTTGTAGCAATAGTGCATCTTTGTAAGTGTTGTCTATTTGTTAGGGACACGATGCTCCTCAGAAACGTGATATGCAAGGTCCTTGTGGCTTTCCAAGACCCTGTAACAGCCAGCCCACAGGCACTAATGTAACCTTGATTGTTGAAGATGTTGTGTCACATGCAGAGAATATGACCCACTTGTCTTCCTGCTAAAGCGGTAGTAGCAATTGTTCCAGAGACACATGTGAATCTTTGAAAATTGCGCGGTCATGTGCTCCCGTGCTTAATTAACCTGCCTTTGGCGTGCACACTGAAGCAAATAACTGTGAACACGCTCTAGACAAAGCCTAAGAAACATAAGCAGGGCCCCGTATAAAGCAGAAACTTGCGTACTTCACTATATCTTTATTGCAGTCACTACAGCGGTTCTGCTTCGTTGGCTCTGCAGTCTTATATGTGTAGCGTTTTCTTTAGGACCTTGCCATTCTGATCAGAGGCTCAAGAACTCGTGTAAGCGAGAGCTCAGCTCTAATCTCTTCATTACTGTCGTAATTGCGGAACATGAGGTCCAGCACATCCTAACGCTCAGGCTCAAACTTGAGTAAAGCTAGGAGGTAACAGGACAGTTCGCGAGAAGGAGCTGTGGACACCACCAGAGCTGTGGCCCTAACACCGCTGCTTTTCCCTTCAAGATATTTTCAGCGGTCTTTCTAATACGCCTTTTCGCGTATTTGTCGCTAGAGCTCGTAATCCTGGGATGCAGAGAGTAATGCGGTTGATACAACCTGAGTAGCCCCTTCTCCTTTCTCTTGTAAGACCTGTGGTACTCTTTCACATAGTGATTCTGTGAGCATCAATCCTGGTGGCCTTAGCGCAAGCAAGTTTCAATTTGCCATTATAGAGCTAGACTCCTTGTACAGCTCAAGGCATTGCTCACGTTCGTGGATGATAGACTAACTATCAATTCCAATAAAACCTGAAACATAATACTGTGCTGTTTCCTCATACTTATGTCCCATCAAGGTCCTTCGCTGTGTAGCTGAGGCTTCGCCTAGGCAAATATTAGCTTGATTCCGCCAATCTAGATACTAAACTCACCTTCAACAGCATGCGCAAAAGCACGCCTAAAATAGTACGCGGTAAGGTTTTCCTAGTAGCCAGCTCTCTGACCAGTGCCTTTCAAAGCCAAGTTGAAACAATTGTACGTCCATATGCGGGTCTTGGACATGGACTTATCAGCTTGCATACCCCTCATAACATGGCGTTCCAGGACGTCAGGCCTATACTTAGCCCTGTAGAATAGATTACCTAGAATAGGTTGCATAGTCTCCAGGTCACTCAAAGATTCAAGATCCTGGAAAACCCAATCTGCAAACGCGAGTAACAGGAACCATGTTACAGGGCACATGTACCTCATCCGCGGCCCTTTGTACAGAGTCATAACAGGACTGTTCAGAATAACCATTAGCAAGACTATCAGGTGGCAAGGGAGAAAAGACTTAAGCAGGCTTCCTATACTCTCAATGCCCCTTTCGGTTTCTTAGTTTAACGTGAAGGCGCCACCCAGGATAGGTTGTGTTTGATAAGTGGACAAGTTCAATGTCCTTATAAAGAAGTCCTTCATTAGTTTAATACCACGCATCTAACTCAACAACTTCTCCAGGTCAGACACCAATCAGAAGCGGAAGTTGAATAGCAAAAGCCATCTAGTTCCATATGCGAGGGTGTAGATGCTTGTATTGTAACGGTCTGAGATAGGCTGGCGGATGGGTAGGGTATGCTTTTTTACGTTTTGGCTTATAGCTTCTTAACTAGCAGAGATACGCTTACATAATCTATTATTTAATAGAAGCGCCTAGTATTGCGCCTTCTAATAAAAAAAGAATTAGCTTATTCTGCCTAGTATTAGCTAAGTTATTAACACTACCTAGCAAAGTATACCTATTAATAGGTATGCTCGCTAGGTACCCCCCCTTTTTTAACCTTTTCTAGCCTCTAGCTTATGCAGTTTAATAGTTATAACAAAACCCTCTACTATAGAAATGTAGAGGTAGTTTTTCTCTTTCTTTTAAGCCCTATTTTGCTAGAATCCATGTATTATTGACAAAGTTTTGGGGGGTACCCACGAAGGACGTTGGAGTATACCCATTCCGCCAGCCTAGTCTGAGAGCTAGAGCTAGCCGGTTACATTAGCTTAGCCGGCTTGGCTTAAGCTAGATATATATTATCTACGCAGCTAACTAGACGTCTAGTTAACTTGTGCATGCTTTTTAGCAAAAGTTGTTAGGAAGTAGATATCCTTTATTGGCCTTTGGCCAGACTACTACATGTATTCATTGCTAGCAAAGAGGAACTTGATGAGATCTTTAGCAACTGCAATAGGCGCAAGTGGCTTTGGGCAAGCGTTTGTTGATAGAAGGCCTTGTGGAATGAGATCCTTCATAACAAAGTTGATGATTTCCTAGTTCTGTACTGTAGTGTATTGGTAACACGTGTGGATCTTAATAGCACGCTTCAAACTGTTCAAGCAGTTAAGTAGGGTTGTATCAGTAATACATTCCTCTAGTAGACTAGTACAGGATTGAGCGAACCATTTAAGGAAGAGTTTATTCTGGAAAGTTGTAGGTGCCTCTGTGAAACGGAGCTCAGGCATCGGCTTCTCCAGGACATCCTTTGAAAATCTTAGCAGCCACTTAGCTGTATTATTCTGATTTGCCAACATGTAGTATGCGGCTTACCTCGACCACTGCTCCATTATAAACATGTAAGAATCATGGCTGGATTTGATTAGGGCTCTCTTGATATCCTCAGAGCTGAGAGGCTGTGGTGCTATCTCTTGCCGAGCGCGCTTCTTGAGTTCATTGAGATCAGTCGCCCTAGTTGCTTTCCTTTTGGCCATCTCTGTGAAGGAGCAGTCGCTGTGGATCTGTTGTTACTGCGCGTTGGCTGTTGTTGATGCGGGGCGGCGTTCGACAAGGTGTGAAAAGTAAGCAAGAGGGTGGGCGCCAGCAGGACATAGTCATCGACAGCGCGTCGGAGGTTGGCATGTTGCCAAGTTCATAGACCAGACTCTTGTCTTCAGTGTGGTGTTGTGGGAGAGAGCAAATTGATCTAGTTCGAGGCTAGCTCGTTAGGTGGTGTTGATGCCAAAAACAGGAAAGCGCACACCAGCTTTCTCAAAACAGTACCACGGCAGACAGCAGATTGGACAGGAGAACTTGTTTTCAACGTCCTATGGTCGTATGTGAAAGATTCATTGAGGTAATACGTTAATATACTATACTGATGAGACAACGTGCACATCCAGCCTTTGATCTCCGTTCGATAGAGGCGCAGTGTTGATCGAGAATTCATCCACATCGCCCCTATACCATTTAGCAGATGTAATGTGCATGGATCATGTGTGATGTGTAATCGAGCGGCCGAGCAGCAGGGTCTGGAAGAAGAGCGACGTTGACCAAGGAACCCGATCTGATGCCGGTATTGTGCTATGTATCGTTTATCTATCGTATCGTAATGCATGAATGACCAGTCCAGTCTAAGAGAGATGCCTGGGTATACCGTATACTCTGAAGCAATGCAACGCCTCATCGATGAGAGTGAGCAAAGGAAAAGAAGAAGCAAGCCGTAAGAACACCCCCAGCCGTGCCGTGCCGTGCTTATAACAACATGTCGGCCGTAGCAAATGAGAATCTTGACAACCGCCACGCCACTCAATCTATAACGCCATAAATATACACTTTTAGTTGGAAGCAATCTGCTTCTCCGAGCGTCCGCGCTCAACCTGCTCAACGACCGTTTTCGAGTCGACCCGCTCCTTCTTCGCAGCAGCGAGCAGCGCCTCTCGATGATCTCTGGCCATCTGCCTCATAGCCGCCTTGTCCTTCTCATACTCGATACTGCCGTTGCGCTTCGGACTGCTCCGCCTGCTTGCCTGCTGACTGTGCGTCGCAGAAGTCGAGCCCATGCGGACACTATTTGGGCGGGTGCTGGGCACACTAGGTCCATCGCGATTACTGCCCGCCAGAGATGGGACATAAAACTCCGTGGAGCGGGAGTCCTGACTCGTGCTATCGGCATCGCGCTCGAAGCTTGGATTGCGGCTATTGCTGCGGGAGGAGTGTCTTGAGCCCACGAATTTCGGATCGTCGCGCTTGAGCATCGGCCGGAACAGGCCTGTGCGCACACTGATGCACCACATCTTGTAGGGACCGGGGACGAACGTGCCTTCCTGGTCCCAGCACTGTACCCAGGCGACGCCGTCGTCAAGGCGGAAGAAGCCGACTTCGACGTTCTTGCCTCTTTCGTTGGGAGTGAAGCCATACTTCTTCCGCGCTTTGTAATCGTCTTCTAGCATGTATCGCTTGAGAACACGTGACCAGTGGACGGACATCGGCCGGGACAGCGTCTCGTACTCCTTAGGCGGATCCTGAGGGGCCCGGACTGGTCCTCCCTCTGCGGTCATCTCAGGGAGGTCATTAGGGGCCTTTCTTGTTCGTGCGATCAAGTACCAGCCTCGACCAGGAATATATTCGTACAGTCCTGGTGTAGGCTCAGCCCAATGCTCTGTTCTCCTCTTAGAACGCTCCTGGGAGCTGCTCTGTCGGAACCATTTGTGGGGAGAGAAGAGCTTCTGAGTAGCCAGGAATAAGTTTGGCGACATTGTGAAGTTTGAAGTCGCTGTCTCGGACTTCGAGGGACTTTCGAGAAGCTTGTCAGCTCAGTGGAGTCGAATGTGCAGTTCGAGTGGGGTGACACTGTATGGCAGATTTGAACTTTCACTACGGCGAAGCAAGCACGTGTGAAAGCCTAATTTCTCAAGACCTCCGTAATCTGACAAGGGAGGCGCAATGTCGTGGTGGAATATTTGATCACACGGATGGCGAATTCGTGTTCTGAGTGGCCGAGGGTCGCCGATCCGCTGTGTGCAGAGCACGAGAGCTGTCCCCGTGGAAGGCTGAGCGAGCCTTTGCAGGACTGCTCACCGATATATGTCGAAGAGGAATTTCGAGGACAAAAGGCGCTGCAGGTGTCAAGCTATGTAAGAGACGGGAGCTAAAATAGTGTTGGGCTTGTGCAAGATTTTCCCAGCGAAGAACGGAAATTATCAGGGCGCCTCGACCGTACCAAGGAATGAAGTAGTGCAGACTGTGGGTCGTCGTTGTGTTGGAACCTGTTGAAACCCGTGTTCGATGTCGAATCCAGGTTCGTGTTTATATGAGCTTACTGTGAGCCTCGCATCATGGATCAGCTGCAAAAGTCGCAGCTCATCATCCGTCATCGCGCACTGCCCGATCAGCTCACATTTGACCCAGTTTTTTCCTGCTTTTGCTCCCGGACAACCCGCGAACGCTGTTATTCTCGCTATCGGTGCAAACGCGTGCCTGCCTCACAACAAGCCGCGCTCAGATCTTTAGGGCCAATCAGGACGCCTGTTTCACCCCGTGGGAGTGCATTGCAAGATAAGGCGCCTCGACGTAGTACAGTGATGAGGTCGGTGCATGTGAGTGAAACTGCAGCAGCGCAGTGACAGCTTGCGACAAGCGTGGCGGTGTGGCAGCTGTAATCCGTGTTGAAGGGAGAGTGGAGTCGCAGGCATGGTGTGGTGCCTGACTAGCTGCGGAAGGCCTGCAAGCGCATCCGTAAGCGACAAAACACTCCACAGTCGCCTAACGACCTTGAGAGTTACGACACAATGATCGGGGCTCAGTGCTCGCACGCTCGCCCAGCACTCCATCCGCGGAATCCGACGATGGATGCCCTGTCATCGTCGGTCTCGTCGCGCTGCTCAGCCATGCCCTCGGCGTCAATGCACATGTTTCACGGATGCGCATCACAGTCGGTTCCGGAGCCGCGACGGCTTTACTCGCGTATTACTCTCAGCGATGTGCGGTGAGCTGGTCGGGCCTGGGCAAAGGCGGGCGGACAGATCGCGCAGGCCAAGCGAGTGTCAGAATTAGGACAGCGCTGGGTTGGTGGTGGTCAGAGCAGTCCGTGTCAGCTAAGCTCCAGCCTTTCGTATCAGCAACTCTTCTTTATTGCGTTGCTGATGATGGTGTTGAGCTTTGAGTGATGTATGTAGACACATCCAGTCATACGAGCGTCTTGCGGACATGTGATGATTTGATAGGATGACAAAACTCCAGCGTCGGTGGCACTTCAGATGGCCATGTCTATTTGTACGGATATGGGGCTTGGCGCAGGGTGATCTAGGGGCATCGTGCAGCGTCGATGGCGCAATCAAGTGATCATTGTGCATTGCGGCTAGAGTCAGGACCAAGGTAATCATGAGTTGGCGATGGTGGAGCTGGAACCGAATTGGGAAGGACTTAAGGTGTCGGATACAATATAAGAGTATGGAGGACATGGAGAGGATGTGTATGAGAAGGAAGTCATGTGAGCAAGAGGGCGCGCCGAAGTGCAACGACCAATGAACCCGCAAGAGAGCGCATAACGAGCGAGAGAAGAAGGGCAATGATTGCTGGCTTTGAGGACACTGACTTCCTCCGGCCCTTGTGCTGTTGCATGAATACCTCAGGCTGCACGTAATGCTGCTAGCTTGAACGGCTTTCGATGTTATGCACTCCTCATTATGTCTGAGCCTAGCGGTTGCTGTACATTAACTCCGAAGGCGCTGGTTTGGTTGGACCCATTGGGACAGCCAAGCTCATGTGGTGAAGGCGATTGTTGAAGGTGTGTTGTGGCTGGGCCTCGCAACGGTGGATGCAGCCTAGTCGAAGTCCTATCAGCCAGCTCGTTCTCTAATTGAGAGTGCTTGCTGATCGAGTCCGGGAACGATCAGCATCACAGTCTGCAAATTCCAAGAGGTGGCTCATTTCATTGCATTTTTCCTTACTCCTTCATACTCTCGGCCATCCCTTGACAATAAGCCGCAATGATGCTGCGTGTGCATGACATGCATGTCACCCGTCAAATTTTGTTCAGCGAGCCACAGAAGAAAAGCCTTCCCATTGAGATCGTAACTAAGCAGAGAGACGCCTTGTATGCCCCGCCCAAGTGAAAATCCACGCTGCTCTACGACTCGGTCTTGACGCGGGCCTTGTCGTTGGTGACCTTGACACCGATCTGCTTCGCGCGGGCGATGATGTCGATACGCTTGCGGGCGGAAACGGCGTGGGCGATCTCGGCGGCGAAAGTGGTGTTGTGCATGAGGAGGAGGTCGACGTCGTTGACTGTTGCATCATTAGTGGCAGTCCTGGTAGCGGGAACACTGCGTAAGCGTACCGTTGCTGACGACGAAGGCCTTGTGGCCAGAGGGCATCAGGTGGCGGGTCTTCTTGTTGGATCCGTAACCGATCTGTCGCAATTGTCAGCCCAAGCCCTAGATCCCATCGCTCCACCACAACATCGTTTGCTCCGGCGCGGTAGTCCAGTCGCGTGTCGTGCGGGAGAGGTGGTCTGTACCTTGGGCATAGCAGCCTGGCCCTTGAACCGCCTGCGGACGCGGTTGTCGATACCCTTAGGCTTGCGCCATGAGGGGTCAACACCTATTTCCAGTCAACATCCGTCCTTATTTCCTCGATTCCTGGGGTGGCATACGCATAAAGCGGTCCGACTGGTGGCGGTTGAAGCGCTTGGTGTCTATCAGTCGCGTCAGTCTGCGAAATTTTCGGTTCGGGTTCGGGCATTGAGCGTACGCTTCTTGACGATCGCAACATGCTTCTTAGCGGCGGCCATCTGGTCCAGTCAGTATGCGGGCGCTGTTTCGACGTGAATGGCGACGTACTTTGTCTGCTGTGTGGGTTAGTTGCGACGATGAGGTCAAGAGATGAAATTGTGCAAGCCTGCGTGGTGGGCGGGCCTTGGCCGCGCTAGTGTCATAAGCGAGAATTTAGAAGGCGCGACCGACACCACACCATACCCCGGGTCGGGAACATCGAGACGAGACTATTAATCGAACATCAACATGCGAAGTTGCTCAGCACATCTAATGGCGATAACCTGAAGGTTGCCGAATAGCTGTTGAACGGCTACATGCTTTTCAAACTCTCTAGAGCACGTGCGCAGCTGTCAAGGGTCTGTCAGATCCATATTCCACTTCAATATTATCGACTGAAGATATTGCACACATGTCTACCCATCGTCCCGTATACATATTGCACGCACATTCATCAAGTACATGTTCTTGTATTCCGCTCTCAGGATACCATGCTTGGCTATTCTATCTGTTAAGATGCTTCGATCAAGACATGAAATGCCATTATGGCAAGCGTGGTTATGCGTTCACTCTTGATATCATGTCGCGCTGCAACCATCGCTGTGACCCCTAGCCAAACCGTGCCGGTCCAGGTACGTATAATCATACTCTTTATCCCGCCAGCGAGTATGCTTGTAGCGTTGGTGAAGTTAAGTGTCGACTCGAGAAGATGGCATGACTCAGTACTCCATCTCCTCTGTCTTTTTCTCAGCGCCGCCGCGCTTCTCGGTCTTGACCCACTCGACAAAGTCGTCGATGACAGACGGCCATGAAGACTCCTCGTTCCAGAAGCTAATGGCCTCGTCCTGGAGAGTGAGCTGTGCGAACTTCAGAGTCTCGTTCCACATGTCCTTGTTGACGCTCTTCTTCCAGGAAACAGCGAGAAACTCCTTCCACCAGTCCAGCCAGGGACTGTTGGGAGCCGTCCATTTGACCGCGGAAAGCGGCGAGGCAAGGAGAAGATCCCAGTAGTCCACGGCAGTATCGAGTGGGACCGCCTTTTGTTGCTCAGGCTTGGCAAGGAAGAATGTGTACTTGTAGATGCGCGTGAAGACGGTCTTGTCGCCCGGCAGCTGAGTCTTGAGATTGTTGATAAAGGTTTTCTGCTTCTCGATGTTGTCGCAGCTTACTTGAGTTAGTTTGCTGCGTGGTAGCATAGCATCAATACACGACTTACTCTCGCTCCAACCAACCGTTGACAAACCCCTCTCGGGTAATCTCGCCCATGGTGGGAGCTTGAACGATCTCGAGCGCAGCGAGACTGTCGATGCCCTCGAGGTTGATTTTCAGGTCTTGCAGGTACTTCATGGTGCCATCCACTCCAATGAGATCGGGCTCCGTGGTGGCGTTCTCGCGGTAGTTGTCGAACAGCTTGTTCAGGGTCGCTTTATTTGCAGAGTTTGCGTTCGAGCCGCCATCAGTGCCACTATAGTATCTAGCGGTATACTGTTAGCATATGTTGCAATTTGGTCACGGTGTGATGGGCAGTGTTATGCGCTAGTATTCGACAGGTAGGGCGATCTACCCGGCAGTGTACACAAGAGTGAGAAACAGATGCCGTGGATTAATGGCTGGAAATCCGTCGTCTAGGAGCGTTGTAGCAAGGATTCGTTGAATCTCGTCAGGAGACTGAGTGCCTCCGTACAAGGCTGATCCCAGGATCATCTTCGCTCGCTCTTCGAGTATGAGCCGGATCCATGCCCGGACGGAGGGCTTAAAGCTTAAAATGTATTGTCGTCGAGCCGGATTAGCCTCAGGACCTTGGCTGTCATCGAAGAGGGCATTGAACGATTGGCACCTCGCCGGAGATGCACGATGCAACAGGTCCATGAAGTGTCTGTAAGCTCGACCAGTGTTGTACAAGCGATCCCACATGTGATGTTTCTGAACTACCATCCAAGGAATGCGCGGCCCAGGATCCGCCCCGCCTCGTATCGATACAGCCTGTTGCGTGTCAAGAAAGTTGACAGAGAATGACCGACTGGTAAGATCATGCGCTGCCACTGGGATCGACAGATGGTCTTCCGTGTGTGCATGCGAAGCCGGTTCAGTAACATGGCGAACGTGTTGTAGGATCTTGGCTCCCCACCCGAGCATGCCGTATTGCTTCGTCTGACTCGGAGCTGCGAAATGATTTGGGGGTGGCGGCGTATCGTCGGTCGTGGTATCGTCATACAGCACCTGACTCAAGTACTCGGACTGACTCCGCTGCTGCTGCATACGCGGATGGAGGTCCTTAGCCATCATACGTGATAATGCCTCCTCGACGTCAGATACTGCGATGGGCTGTACGAGATGCTGCAGTTCTCTGAAGTCGTGCAAACTGTCGAGGGGGCCAAAGTCTGCGGGTGCGGGATGCTCAGGGATCGGCGTAGGCCTTGGGGGGTTCTGCTCGAAGATAGAAGATATCTCGCGGTGAAATAGCTGACTGAGTTGGCTCGAGGAGCTGGCAGACCTGTAGCTGGAGCTCGAATCGCTGGAACTGATACGCTTCCAGCGTTGGCGGCCAGCAAGCTGTCTGGCACGGTCCTCGGAGGCACCAAACATGATGCGTTATGGTGGTTGTAAAACGTGGCTGAACAGCGATGCTGGCGAAAGGTGATGCTCGAGAGAGAAGCAGCGCTGGCCGTGTTTATCGAGCGAGACGACATGTTGGCCGCTGTGGAAGGTAGCATGATGTTGTTTGCGGAGCCTAGAGAAGGCGTGCCCACTGCTTTCGGTCGATGACACCCGCGCATGTGTATTGCGACTCCCGAGAGGTGCACCAGGAATGCGCGCTGCGAGCACTGCTTGCATGCGCGGCCCGATGCCATGTGCGTTTGCCACGTTTGTGTACCGTTCCTGCCTTCCCAACTCTTCATCGTCGAGGATGCGCGCGCACCTCGTAGTCGATAGATCCAGAATATTCGCGGTCCGTTCAGGATATCGCACATCCAGTGCGCTATGTAAGAGGCGCAAACGTTTGGGAAAGAAAGAGAGCACGTAGATACTTACGCGTTGACAGCATTCTGGGCGTCCCAGCCACGACTCTTGAGCACTCGCACAGCGGCAGTGCGGTCCATGTTCGTGAAGCTCATGAACTGGCTGATCGCAGCCTTCTGCTGCATTGTGTATGCTGGAGGCATCTTGTGTTAGCGATTTTGTGTATCCGCCCCTTGAGGTGTTGCTGCGCGGTAGTAATCTTAGACCAGGATGCGCCGGATGGCAGGGTGTGCGCGCAGTTTGAGAATTTTAGTGAGGGAATTAGAGCGAGCAGGCTGTGGTAGGGAAAATAGGGCAAAGTGAACCAGAAGCTATGCTAAGCTTTGGAGAAGTCAACAGGGTCGTGGGCAAAGTGACGGCATGGCGAGGCAGAAGCCCCCGCCAATGGTGCCCCTCTCTCCGCGCCCCAGAAGCAAGGCTGACATTTGGCGCCAACCTCAATCCGTGTTTACCTCACCACGCTCTTTAACAGCGAATGCACAGGTCCCGGCATCAACAGTCGACTTACCCTCTTTCGTAGCTCTGGCTTTCTTCTTGACCGGCGTCGTCGCCGTTGTTGTGTCGGGGGCCCTGCGCTTTGGCGGCATCTTGCTAGAGGCACGATGATTGGTGTTAGTTGAAGTTGTCGCGGTGGTTGTAGCAAATGCCAGCAGAGAGCGGGTCGAGAGATGTTTTGCTGATCTTACGAGGCAGTGCAGGTACCCGTACGTCAGTGCGCCGGCTGTGAACGGGCGTGTGTGATGCTTGACCTATGCGCTGTCGAGAAGCAGTGAATGAGTGCCTGATCGTGTTGACTGCAAGTGCAAACGGGGAGTGACATTGAGAGCTTCATGCCGAGTGGAGGCTGGAAGGACATCTGAAGTCAGGAAGGAGCAGTGAACCACCACCCTCCAGGAGTCCAAATAACGTGCACGACGAGTTGACGACAACCATTGAAGGGGTTTGAATATTGGAAATATGGTGTCGATCAGATGCGCCAAACCCCTTCATTTCTCCAGTTCACCTAACAATGAGGATATATACACCCACGTCCCAACAAGAATGTAGAAAGTACACCAGAAACGCCTCCTTCGAACCTCTGCTGTCGTAGTGAGCCAAACTAAGCCCGGACGCTCGTTCGACAGCAGCACGACGTTTCAGGCTCCTAGTCCGTAGTCGGCATGCTCTCCACCTGTTCGCTCAATGCTCGCCAATTGTCTGCTTGCAATTCAGCGTACTTGACGCGCTCCTGGCTCCATTCCTGGTGTAGGCGGGATACATGGTACTGGCTCTTCTGGAAGTAGAGAAGCTCGTCGCGTATGCACTCCTTGATAAAGACGCCGCGGGCGTGTTGCTGGACGATGGATTCCTTGTCCTGAGGATATGTTAGTACATGAACCTGGAGTTGTTCGATATCTCAAAAGGTACCTTGGAGATCGCATCTTCCACCTTCTGCGCCTCACCGGGCTTGACCAAGTCTGCCGGTTTGTTTCTGATGTTCAGGAGCTTTGTTTCGTTGCTCGCTATCCGCCTCTCAAGCGCAGGGATATTATCCTTTGCGTACTTATCTCTGCGGTCGAACATGTCGCGTACGCTGACTAGGGTGTCTCGCTGCCTCTTAAGATCCTCGAGCACGCCTTCCTCCCACCCTCTCGCTTCATCTTCGAGCAGCTGTTTCGACTGGTCAAGATGTCTTGCCGTTGAGGTCAAGCCTTCGTTGAGCAGAGGGACATCGTTGGTGTCAACGGCGTACGTGTCCTGGGAGATCTCGGTGAGAGACTGAAGTGCTTGCGAGAAGCGGAAGAATTCAGCTGCCATGCCTTCGTTGCGGCGAGTAAGACGCTCCATCATACTGCACAGATTAATGTATGTCTCTGCGCTTCGGCGCACGCCAGAACGAACAGTCTCGCTGAGTTCGCCGAGGGTCTTGGGGAGGGAGTCTTCTAGGTCAGGAGGAAGAGGCTTGCCAGTGAACTCTTCTTGCACAGACAAGTTGGCCTGTTTACGCCAAACGGACAGCTCCTATATCATTGTCAGTCTTGTACATAGCTGCGCTTGCTGCAAAAACTTACTGTAGGTACTGTGAGGAACATGACGACAAGTTGCTCTTGTGAGAGGACGGGATGTCGCACAAGCGCATTCGTGAACCGTACCAGGCCCTTTCGTCGTTTCTCAAGGAAGCTCGCATCGGCAGCTATAGGATTACCGTTGACTAAGAATTCTCAACAATTATCATGATTATCTCAGGGCAAATACTCACTGCCGACTCTCTTGGGGGGTAGTAGAGGCAGTTGCCTGAACGGAAAGCGTTTGTGCAGGCAGTCCAGTAGCCATACAAAGTCGCTGTATCTGCGAACAACCTTGTTCGCGCGACGATTGCTCCCAACTTCATAGTTGCGGTGCTGGAACATGAACAGGCCCTCCTTCTCGGCGATAGCAGAGATTGTGACGATCTCTTCGTGGCCAGATCCACCTGGAAGGCGTCCAAGGGAGCCGCTCAGCCCAGAAGAGTGGCTGGGTCCGTTGTTGCCGCCTGCTGGCGCATCCTGGAAGCCCCCAGCGTCGAGGTCTGGTGCATTATACGGCTGGCTAGATGCTCCATTGTAGCCGCCCCAGCCGCCGTCACTCGGTAGTGAGCTTGGAGGCGGAGCAGCGGCCTGCGGGGTCGTTTGGTCGGTCGAAGACTGTGTCGTGAACTGGCTCGTTGTTCGCGCAGTAGGACGGGGGGTTGTTCCGTTCGTCTGCACGAGTACAGAGGTGTAGCTGTTGTGGTTGTGGCCTTTGTGCAGGTCTGGACTGCCCCAAGGATCTGCCTCTGGATCGCCGAACGACTGCTTGCGGAACGATGCACGCGCCCTGCCTGGGCTCGGGGTCTGCTGGCTGAGGGGTTGCTGCGACACCGAGGGTGTTTCTGAGACCTGCTCTTGCGGTGCAGGCGCAGGCGCGGGCGGCTCTGGTTTCGAGGACTTGGGCAGCGTCACGGTCGGCTTGGGCAGGTTCCTCTTGCGCTCATCCACACTATCGAGTGTGACGTCGTCGCCCTCTTGCGCCAGGCCGATGAGCGCAAAGAGCACATTGAACTCGTTCCTGCCGAGGCCTGCGACATCCTGATCGGGTTGAGCCACTATCTCGAGGATCTTCGATTGCGCGTCGCCCGGTATCCCACTACCGGCGAGTAGCTTCTTTGCGCCGTCAACACTGATACCCTTGCCAGTGCAGTCCCCAGCATCTAGCAGGGCGTCGAAGGCGTCGATGTACGAGTCGGGCACGTCCGAGGCAGGCAGCAGCAACTTGACCAACGACCCGCGACCGCCTTTCTTGGGTGTAGGGAACGCCCAGGGCGAATCGTTGCTATCGAAGCCGTCGTCGAACAAACCGCTGCCCGACTTGCCCGCGGGCTTCTGATCGTCGTCGAAGAGGCCGGTTGACTGGGAGCGCGACGGCACGTCGTCATCGCCGAACAAAGACATTATCGTCTATGTGTGCACGCGCAATGCTTCTTTGCAAAATAGAAGAAGCTGCAAAGAGTAACAGAGCAGCCGTCTACAACGCAGCAGACCAGTCGAAAGGCGCTCGAGGTGAGGATTGCATGAGCACTCGAGCTACGTCGATACTGGCAGCTCCAAGGAAGTGACCCGCGGTAGCGAGCATGGACCACCGGCCCACATGGAGTGGCTGGTAACTCGTGCTTTATCAACATCGGGCGATTGCGCTTGTGGCACACTAAACCATTTGATTTGAGATCTTCTATTCATTGCTAGTAACATATCATCTCGTCTCAGGTCGGATCTTTCGTCTGCTACATATACACAGCACAGCAATCCATCATATCCCTCAGACGTAAGTGTGAAGCCGAGTCCAGTGACATCGGCGGGTATCCAAAGAACATCTAGCCCTCCCTAAGGGCTCCCAGTCGCTCTCAACTTTTTGAGTCCAGACAATGTAATGCGCCAAGAACTATGCGGATGCAGCCGTCTCACCGTGCCACCAGTGCGCCGTTGAAAAAACATGGGGTATACAAGTATCGACGCTAAAGCGCGGCGAGAATATAAACAAAGAAGTGCAGAAATCATCGCCCAGGCCACGCTATCTGTCGTAGCTGGTGTGCTACTGAGATGACGATCCTGCTTGCGAGGCGTGGTCCAGCAGCGGAGTAGGACTTTGGATCTCTTCTACCAGACTGGCAGGCGACATGGTAGGATGTGCCGTCAGCCCCCCAGCCCGAGGCGTGTACCGTCTGCGCGCATTGCGATTGTCGTTGGCAGAGGTAGGAGGCTCGACAACCTCACTCGAGTTGACAGTCTGCTCGGAGTCTGTTGGTGATGGCACATCTGATTGCTCCTCGATCGTGGTTGGTATCCTTGCAATCTGAATGCCAGCGGTGGCTGACACCTCGCTTTGTGGGGTACCGATGTCTTCTCGTTGCTGCTGCTGACGCTGAAGGGAATCTGGCGACCACGTCTGGCCACGTGGCTGAGCTGGGATGATGGTCACGGGCAGGTTCATCTCAGACACTTGGATCTTCTTCTTCGACCTGAACCTTTCGCCTTGTTGCGCGGCGAATGTGCCCAATCGATCCGATATTGCCAGACCGTTGTAGTTGCGCGGTGGAATGTTGGCATGGACCTCATCGACAGCGAGCGGCTCGATGACCTGCCCTCTTTGCAGCTCCTGTGGTGGCGCCCGTCCCTTCCTTGTGAAGGGATTGGCTATGGCCTGCCAGTTCCATCTGCTGTTGCTGGCAAAGGACTCTGGATCCGTGGCACCCTTCTCAGGATCATTAGCGTTTGCAGGCTGTGCAACACCTTTCTGAGGCGCAGAAGTTTGCTGTGATTTTGCTGCTTCTGGCGTCAATCGATCTTCGATTGATCCAGATTGACGGATTGGCGGTGTTTCGTTGATGGGGTGGTACAGTACTGTATAGACGGTGGAGTCTGCACTTGTGGTGTCTGTCCTGCTGACTGGCGAAGCTACCACAGGGACGGCCGGTGGAGGCACTGGGCTCTGAACGCGTACGTACGCACTTGAGCTGCGGTCACCACCACGAGCGGACTCTGATCGCTGGTGCACTGGTGCTGGTGCAGGGACGTGGATGGTGCGCTTCTTGCGCGCTTCTGCTCGCGGTGACTCTGTCATCTTTCGTCCCCACTTCTGAGCGAGTTCACCAACACGGCTCGTCTGTCCCGCGGCGAAGGCACTCAGATTGAAACCGCCAAGACCACCGTCGCCTCCTCCCTTTTTCTCCGAAGAAGAAGTCCGTTTCGAGTATGGCCATTTCGATGTTGTTGAAGATGATGATGGGGTGTTGTCGAGCATGTCGTCTCCATCGTAGATCTCCCTCCCCAGGATTCCATCCTTCCTCTCTTCTCTTTCTAGCGCCTCAATGCGCTCTACCCATTCCCAGACAATGACACTGGCTGCCGCTGCTCCCACCCAACGGAAATAGTCTCCCCAGCCGGCAATGGTGTAGTTGGCGATATCGGTGATGAAGAATACGACAGGCGTGAGTATGGCGATGATTGACAGTAGGGCGACGACGCTCATGTTCCACATCATGGAGTGGTAGAAGGCGTATCGTCGCTTGGTGGTGGCGTAGTAGAGGACCCAGGCGGCGTACAACATGCTGAGAGACAGCTGGAAGAGGTAGCTTAGTGCGGGGATGGCGGTATCAAAGTGGGCGGGGCGGGGATTGTCGTCGTACGGACCGAAGCTGTTGAGGGCGCTGAAGATGATGTCGAGCAGTATGAGGGCGAAGCCCACCCACTTGATGATGACCTTTTCCTTGTGGCGGGGAAAGAGGCGGATCAGGGTCTGCACCTGTGCAAGCCACAAGAAGATGTCGGAGATGATGCGCGACACCTTGATCTCCATGCCTGAGACGACCTGGTCACGCAGCTCCATGGCATCGATGAAGCCCTCGCCGTACTGGCGTCCGGCAATCTTGAACGTGTCGGCGGTGGCCAGCGTCAGCGAGATGGCAACGGTCAGCGCAGCCACCTTCTGCAGCCACGGGCGACTGCCGACGCCGATGATGCTCCCGCCGCCCGACGCGCCGCTGATCATGCCGCGGCGGCCCATGAGGCCTGAGCGTCCAGAAGCGTTGCCGACAAAGAAGGTGCGCGGCGTGATGATCAGCATGATGACGAGCATCCAGGCGATGACGGTGGCGGCGCCGGTTGCGTAGGCCTGCGGGGTGATGGAGGCATGGAAGGGGTCGCGGATGTCGGCGACGCTGAGGACCTGGCCGGTGCCGTCGCCGTCGGCGCCCTGCGAGGCGGAGGTGCACTGTGGGCGGAAGATGGCATTCGTGGTCAGGTTGATGGTGTAGCCCGGGGAAATTTCAATTACCCCGTACTCGGGCAGTTTGTAGGACGGACAGTGCTGCGGGCGGGCGTCAGCAGATTGGTCGCGCACAGTCGCTGGGTGGGGGTTACTCACGTAGGGCCGGCTGGAGTCGCGCACCTCCAGCACTGGCGTCGCCCCTGTCCACGGCACGCCCGTGGCCTCGCGCATGGCGGCGTGTGTTATACTGGTCCAGCAGCAGCGGGTGCCTGCTTGGGTGCTCCCATGGGTGTTCAGACGATGCGGATGCGCGTGTGCGAGGGCGGTGCGGGTCGCAGCGTCGAGGGCGTCGTTGGAGCGGGAACGTTCGATGGGAGTGTAAGCGGGCGTCGAGGATGGCGAGGGGACCAAGGCGAGGACGATGCTGGGCAATTGCTTCGCTGCAGCGCTGGAACGGCACTGGACGGGGGGCCGGTGCCACCCCCGGCCCTACTCGTCTCAAGAGACCACGACGGAGCCGGACCCGCCCACATCTGGAACAAACTTCAGGCACTGCTGCTGCAGCGCAACAAGATTTGGCAGCCTGCAGCGCGGCGCCGTCTCAAACAGTTCCGCACTTTGCACGCGCTGTCGCAGCCTTGGCCGTGCGTGCTTTCTTGCAGCACAAGCACCGACGACAGCGTCGACAGCGGACAGCGTCGACAGACTCGACCACTGCTGGAACTTGGAAGAGACGCTGGCCAGCAGGCGTGGGGTGGGCCGTCACCTCACTGGATAAACTTCGGACGAACTCGCATCGCCCAATCATTAATGAGCTACCCACACCTCGGATTTGGAACGAGATGCCGGTGGGCTGATACGACTGGCCCTGCAGCCAGCGCTACCATTGCTGGAACAGATAATTCGTGCACGCAGCGCCTCTCCAAGCACTCAAACAGCCTCCACGTCAAGTGTCGCACGCACATGGATGGCAGCATGACATTCGCGTGTCTGGTCAGCGCCTTGGCTGCACTGGTTGCGCTGCTGGACCCTTGCCGGGCTTGCCCACATTCGCGGCTCCATGGCAGTCTGGAGTAAGGCCTGCGCTGCTGCACACTGACCGCGCCTAGACTGCATGGCCGAATGAAGCTCATCCAGCCCAACACAATGAGCTTGTCCCAGCCAGCCTCAAATACAATGTCCACAAATAAATGCATGTCGATACATGTCGCCCAAAAAGTGCGCAATGGCCAGAATACACTGTGCGTCAAATGCCCGTAGATGGCTTTTGCCTACCTCCTTTCTGTCCAGTCACGTTGCCTGCAGCCAACCTTGTCTGCAACACAGCAGCCCTTCTATGTCAGCCGGACAGGCCTCCGACCGAAGCTTGCCCTTTACTGTGTCCTAAACAGCCACGTGCACTATGGTGACAGTAAACTCCTGAAGCAGCACGAAACGACAGCCTCGAATCACATCCGTCCAATCTCGCTCCGGATGCTGTCGAATTGCAGTCCAAACTCAGTCTTCGAGCATTTGATCCTGACGTGTATATCCCCACCCCATGATGCGAAAACCGGATTGAGTAGCTCTTGACCGCAGATGATGTGAGACTAAAGGCCGTTCTTGCCGGAGCGAACCCGCACCACCATTGGTACCGGTAACGAAGAACAAGCTCGATCGCCAGCTCAGTACAGCGACCGACTGCGCTTGGCATTGGGGATCCGTGCTGCACACAACGACACTGAAATGCTGACGCTTTGACCTCGGAGTCTCTTCCGCCTGCGACAGACACACGCGATTACCGCGCTGAACTCTACTCTGGAGTGCTTCGATGGTCCAACCATAACCCAGTGCCTATGTCACTGGGTATGACACTCAAATAACGCTTGACACTAACTAGCAAGGGAGTACTTGCGAGCACCAGAAGACTGAACTGGTCACGAGCAAATGAACGCCATCCAGCCTCAACCCACCACTTCCCACTGAAAGCACGGGCAGATCTGCCACGTTTAGTCCAGTAGCCTCGACGACACTCGATCCACTCATACGTTCAAGCACAGTGACAAAAGCATCGAGTCCACGCAAGCATCCGTATCCAGTCCTCGAGCTCGCCTCAAGCTAGGTATCCAGCTCTCTCAGAACTCATGCCCAAGACGCTTGTGAAGGCCAAGCAGGCGGAAATCTCCGAGGGGCTGAGGACCCGGATCGTGTCCAGATCTAGGCCCTCATGGCGATGGGCGGCGACTATCATCAACGTGCGACTTGAGTGGGTGGTGATGTCAGTGCTGGCGTTGGGATGTGATGCGGTTGTTACGTTGTGTAGAATGGCTTCACAGCATGCTACCCGGACAAGCGACTGCAGTACTGCTCAAACTTTCTTCGTGTGTCAGCTTAGTTGTCGAGTTGACGGTGCGCGGCGAAGCCTGTAGATTCCAGGCTGATCAATTCGAAATTTACCCTTGCTGACTATCGCCGGCCTTGACCACGCCTAAACACGCGGATGGACTGTCTGTGGCGTCTACGCGGTGGTGCGAATGAAGACCAGCAAAAGACGCGGCAAAAGTGTCACAGTACATCAGGCATAATGCGGCACGAGTCTGCCTATTAGTAGTTATCTTTGTGGCGGAGGCTGAGGTCACAGCGGAGCTGACCTCCAAAATATCTCCAAGGCTCAAATAGGGGCTTTCAAGATCTCCTCTCGTTGTTACACTTTTTGAACGATGCGCAAGCATTCATACAGCTCTTTCCACGACCCACGTCAACTCGATGTCGCCGACTTTCCTGCGGTCCGCCGCTCTCTCAAAACACAATCTCAGCCAGGTCTGCCCCCAGTCACCATTGCCTGCACCACAGCCAGACGCGGAAAGCATCATCGACCATGTTCCAGGGGAGCCGAATGTCGATCTTAGCCAACCCAGCGTCTACGGTTTCCTGAGCTCCGAATTCCACACGCCCGTCCTTGATGAGCTCCATCCGCATCTGCGGTGTGTCGCATGACGGTCCAGCGACAACATCGACCCCGCAAATCGACAGATATTGAAGCAAAGGGAGATCCTTGCGATAGAAGACATCTCGTTACATTTAGTATGGCACCGCAGCAGGATCAACATCAAGCCCATGCCGCTCTTCTTGCTCAACTACGACTTCTGGGCAAAGTACCTCCAACATCCAAGCCAACACCATCTTCCTCCGCTCCATCCGCCAGACCCGTCTTTGATCGGAGTATTGCGTTGGGCTTCATGCTCACCTACGCCTTGCTTGTACGCCATCGTCTAGACTTCTTTTTGGCGCGTGAAGCGCACCTGTTCCCAGAAGACTTGGATTGGACCCAGCGGTCCAAGCTCATTGCTCACTTTCACCACGTCCAAGACGACGAGGTCGCCGAACGTTATCGCTATGGCCAGCCCCGCCTCTCTCGCTTGAACTGGGCCGTCCGGATATTCCGTCCAGCATCTGCGTTCAAGACAAAGTGGTTCTATATAGTGCCGCACTGGTCGGTTCTTTTGTATCTGGCGCGGGCGCTTACGCCTTTGATCTTTAGCTTTGCCAGTTTGTCTTTGGTGTTATCTTCTATGCAGGTTATACTGGCCATTTCGGGTGATGAGCTGGGGATTGTTGATGGGCTGAAAGCAACGAAGGCGATATTTTGGTTGTTTTCAGTCATTGTGCTGGTGTTCTCTACCTCGATGTGGATGTTACTGTTTGGTTCACCAATGTGTGGGTTCGTTTGGCAATTATCATGGGGCCAAAAGCATAGAGAGAGAACACTGACGAAAGTTAATACTCCGCACAGGACGGGTAATACTGCTAAAGTATGAGAGAATGTCAATGTTGGAAGGTGAATGTCATTTCTCCTGTTGCCTGTGCAACGAAGACGCAGGCACTCTCTACATATCTTAGCGTGCATCTGGGGCTTGAACACATATTATATAAGGAATTCCTAAAGGACGAGGCGTCATGATCCTTTTTGTCTTGAGGAAGGTCAAACACCTTCTAGGGTATTGTGTACTGTCCACAAATCTGGACCTTGAGGGACGAATAATAACTCTTGACAGACGAAGATCAGTTGGAACCAGGGACTAGCAACGACCTTGGTGAAACAGTTCGCAGCTTCTCTACGTATCTTTCTCGCGACCAAGCCGTTTAATCGCATCGAGACGAGAGGCTTTCTTACCCGGCCGAGGATTGACACCAGAGCCTCGTCGAGGTAGTCGTCGTTGACAGCTGCTTGAATTGAAGTCCTCCCGAGTTCACCTGCGTGATTTTTTCAAAACATCCTCGCTGCCACGAGCCGAACACATTGCGTCGTGGAAATAAGTGTGGTCGGTTGAGTATTGTTTGTTCTGCTGAATGAATTGTAAAAGTGCATGAAGAAAGTACTGTGGTGTCCATCTTACCCGAGCCATGCAATCACCTGATCTGCACTCGAGTAGGTGGTGTTCATTGCACGAGCGACGCAATGACGCGGTTGTTGATCGATGCCTGGAGCTAAGGGAACTAGCTCCAAACCTTAATGGTTCACGGGCAGGCGCGTGTCGCTCACACACCCCACCGCATATCAAGCTGCCATTGAGCTCGACGCGTCCAATCCCTCTACCGCACCGGTTTCCTGCCAAATCTACTCATACACAGCGCGCAATCATCATGAGCGCGGCAGTTGCGGCGTCTGAGGCCGGCGATGCCACCTCATCGAGCTCGCGACGGAAATCCGGACGCGTAACGAAGAAGCCCGAAAAGTTCACACCCGGCACAAGCCCAACAGGGACCTCGAAGAGAAAGCGCGACGAGGATAAAGACAGCGGCGTAGACGCAGATGACGCCACATCAGAAGAGGAGGATGAGAGCACCGAAGGCGAACCAGACGAAGAGGAATTGAGGGAGCTGCGGCGCAAGTCCAAGGGCAAGGGCTCAGCGAAACGACATGCGCCGAAGAAGGCCAAGACGAACGGGAAGAGCGTGTCATTGGCTATGCGCCCCGCCACGAGCGCGCCAAAGAAGTCAAGCAGGCTGCGCAAAGCGCCCATTCGCAAGAGCATCCTGGCTGGGGACGAGACGGAAGGGCTCTATGGTATGCAGACAATGTGCAGGTACAGGTAGACCAAGCTGACGCGCTACAGCGGACGTGTTCGCCAGCGGCGACCGTCTCGAGGATGTTGCGGCGCGTTGGGTGGCGCGATTCAACGAGCATGAGGCGAAAGCAGTCGCCGAGATCGTCAACTTCGTACTGCGCGCCGCCGGCTGCGGCCTCCGCATTGATGAGGACGACATCGCCGACCCGGATAACGCGTCGAGTCGCGTAGCAGAGCTCCAGGACGAATACCAAGCACAAGACGTGACTGAGTACCCGCTCATCGCGAAGGCAAAGGACGGTGGCGGTCAGGCTTTCAGGCAAGCGCTGCACCGCTTCTTCCTCACACTCGTACAGAGCGTCGCGCGGTCCGGGCTCATGTATGAGAACCAGGACTTGCTCGAGAACATCGCTGTCTGGATCGGCGCAATGTCCTCCAGCGCGAATCGACCATTCCGTCACACAGCCACAGTCGCAGCGTTAGCAATCACAACGGCGCTCGCCACGGTGGCTTCAGAGATCGTCGAGAACACAGCGAAGAAGATGCGACAGAGCGAGTCTGAAGCAAAGAAGTCTCGAGTCAACAAGGCTCGAGTCTCTGCAGCGAATCAGGAAGTCGAGGACTACAACGCAAAGCTGGAGTTGGTAGACGGCGCGCTCAACGACTGGTTCAGCCTGGTCTACGTCCACCGATATCGTGACGTGGACCATCACATTCGATTGGATTGCGTCGGCGCGTTGACGGACTGGATCATCGCTCATCCAGACAAGTTCTTCGACGGTAGTCATCTGCGCTACCTCGGCTGGGTGCTCTCGGATCCCAACGCTCCCGCGCGAGTTGAAGTGCTGCACCAGCTTGCACGGCTATTCAAGGACAAGGACAAGCTTGCTGGGCTGAAGACGTTCACAGAACGCTTCCGACCTCGAGTCGTCGAGATTGCGACACAAGATGCGGAAAACCACGTGCGCGCATCAGCAGTCGATCTGCTAGACATCCTTCGCGAAGCCGGCTTCCTCGAGCCTGATGATATCGACTCAATTGGCAAGCTTATCTTCGATGCAGACGCGAAGGTCCGCAAGGCGGTTGTTGGCTTCTTTGCCGAGAATGTCAATGCGGCCTACGAAGGCGTCGTCGACGACATGGGCGGACAAGAAGCACTAGACGAAGCGTTAGGGTCGCCAGACGACGAGGAAGAATATCAGAATCCACGACTGGAATGGCTAAAGCTAAAGTGTCTTGTCGATCAACTTCTGGCATACGACGAGGACGAGAACGAGTTACCAACACAGATCGAGCGCATCTCACACACAAGCGCTGAGCTAGGGCTAGCTACAGCTGGCGTTGAGTCGCGTTTCTCATTAGCTGCTCAGGCGTTGTACGAGGCCATCCCTGAGATAAGATCCTGGGAAGTGCTGGCAGGCTACCTGCTCTACGACCACACTCAGACGGCACAGAATGGTGGTGATGATGCTGAGGCTATGCTTCGACAAAATTGCCAGCTTGAGGAGAAGCACGAGACTGCCCTACTCGACATCCTTAACGCAGTCGTTCGTCTCCGGCTGCAGCGCCTCGCTGAAGCTCAGACAGACAGGAGGAGGACAAAAGCTCAACGCGAAAGTGACCAGGAAGAACAGGCAGAGATGGCAAGAAAGCTCACATTGCTTATTCCTGACCTGCTGAAGAAGTTCGGTGCGCTGCCAGAGGCTGCGGCACTGTGCCTTCGTCTCGAGCGTGAGCTGAGCTTAGATGTCTTCGAAGAGCTGCGACAGAACACAGCATTGACCGCGTTGCTCGACGACATCAACAAACAGTTCTTGACACATCATAATGAGCTTGTCTTGATCGAAGCCGTGGGATCAATGTTGCATGCTCAGGAGAACGAAGAACTCAAGGAGATCATTCACCACAAGATCCAAGCGCTCTGGGACGATCTCATCAATACATTTGACGCATTACGGCGTGGCAAAGACTTTGCGACACGTGGCAATCTCGAGCAAAATATCCTTGTCGGTGTCTCGAACATCGTCCTAAAGATCAGTCAACTCAGCAAGGTATCAAACGCAGCCGTTCTCGAGCATATTGTTGCGCCTGCAAACTCGAGAGGCAAGTCAAAGAAGGCTGCGTTAGACTCACCACCCATCACATCTATACTACAGATCTTGGATCGTGGCATCACATCAGACGATCTCGACGCAGAGGCGAACGAAGCAGAAGACTTACTCGTCCGCCACGCTATCTCGGTACTGCTCACTTACTTCGTGTGGAAGTGCAAAGAATGCATGGACCATATCGAAGCAGCCACCACAATGCCGGATGACGACCTCACAGCTCTTGTCGAGCGACGAGATGCATGTGTGACATCGCTCATGGCTATTATCGAGAACCGCAAGGGCGCTGATGAGGTCCGTCTTGAAGCTGCAAACCTCATCCTCGACATCTACAACATGTTTCGTTCGCTGAAGGTCAAGAAGGCGCAACTCAAGCAGCGCACGCCCAAGAAGCCGCAGAGCCGCGCTTCAAGAGGTGGTGGCGACGACGCCAGCGATGACTGGGAAGCTTTGGTCCAAGAGATCGACACATCCACCATCAAGCTGCTCATGCAAATCCTGACAGCCCAAGAAAACAACCTCGCTAAACTCGCGAACAAGCGCCTCGAAGAGCCAGATGTCGACGACGACCCCATCGACCCAGACGACGAGCCTGAGTCTGACGAAGACTCCGAAAACACGCGCACACAAGAAGACAAACAAGTCCGCCTTCTCATCGCCGAAGAGCGCCTCTGCCAATACGGTGGTCGCATTGTCCAAGCATACCTGGTTGGTAGTCTAGGCACCGACGGTAGCGAGGCCGTGAAGAGTCGTTTAGAGCGCAATAAAGCGAAGCTAACAACGACATGGAAAGAAGTCGTCGGCCATCTTGATGCACAGAAGTTCATCAAGAAGCCGAAAAAGGCTCCCGCTAAACCTCCTTCGAAGGCGGGGAAGAGCAAGGAAATTGTCGTCGAAAGCGACGAGGAAGAGGAGAATGAGGTTCCAGGGGACGAGATTGAGGATGAGGAGATGGCTGATGCGGATGTCGAGCAAGTCAATGGTGATGCTGACGAACCCGCGGCAGAGAGGGAGGTTGATGAGGAGAGCCTCCTGGGTGACTAGGCGCCATCGAGCGGTCCACTACGATCGAGGTGGATTCGTTGTACTATCTTGCGTCTTTTCCATGGTCGCGTAGCTTCTCGGGGCACACGACGGGCTGAGCGTTCACGCTGGCGCTGCGGCATTGTTTCCAGCGAGCGCTGTAGGCGTTTGTTTCATGTATGATCACAATCCAGATGCTTCGCTTCATTCCTGCGCCCACTTCTGGTCAGTGTGGATACATTACGTACTTGTTGTCAATCAAAGGAACGGGGACTGCTCATGTGACCGGGAACGGCGCTTGCTTTAAGCCCGTTCTCAACGGAAGTATCAGGCCGGCCTTCTCTCATCACCTCGTATCGCAGCGAGGCTGAAACAGGCGCCGATCCCATTCTTCTGGTACGAATGTATATTAAAGCATCACTTTTCGAAATTTTGCACTCAGCATATTCGCTACATTTGGTTTTTTAAACCTCGAGGCCGTTAAGCTCGACAATGGCTTTTACAGCTGTAGGCTTGACATTACCGTCGGGCCATTTGACTACGATATCTGTGGTTGTATGAAGAAAGCTTTGGGGGCAGTTGACTGAACTTTACATAGGGCATCCACTATGGCACACCTAGAGCCAACTCACTGCACCTCCTTCGCTACCACTGCAAGAAAGTATTCCAACGATGCAGAAATGGTCATCCTCAGCCCCAAAGGCGCGCCCAGTTCCGTGAGCTACGGGCAGTGTAGAAACCATTCATATATCAGTCGAGGAAGCCTACAAGGCCCTCGAAGACATTAAGACTATCGATGTCTTGGAGAAGGCAAGAGTTGACTCCAATGTGACCATCGAAACGTCCATCAAGGCGCTCGCAGAGCTTGTGGCAGAAGGAAAGATCGGAGGCATCGGTCTCAGTAAGGCAAGCGCAAATACGATTCGCACACCCAACGCAATGTCTAGCCCTGTCAGGCGGGATCTCCCTCCAGTACGAGTGCGCTGGAATTGCGATTCACGAACCCTTCTTCGCGGCGCACGATCTCTAGGGCATCTGGTCTTGCGTCTCCACCACCATCTCTTACCTCACCACATGCGCTTCATACTCAGTTGCTGCATATCTCACTGTTCCATTCACAGTCTTTGTATAGTTCGCATACGGCTTCGTGGTGCGCGCGAGCTGAGCTCACTTTGACGGGTTTGACGGCACGCCACTGCGAGAATTGGTTGGCTTCGAGCAGGTCTTGGAAAAGGCCAGTAATAAGTATGAGGCTGTGAAGAAGCTGTAAGTGGATGATGGGAGGTCCAAAATTGATCACTTCAACAGTTGAGCGAAGCCGTCTTGTGGTATGAGAGCTAAGGCCAATATGGGTCAGGCAGGAGAAAGCAACATTCGTGACACAGAAACAAGCATGCCCTCTTAACAAGTGCTTTTTTCGTGTCGCTCTTTCACTATCCACACGTTCTCATTGGACTTTCCGTTTTCTTTGTTGTTGCAATTAAGAATCTCAAATTTTGGCATACCTACTAGTATTGATTGACCATAGCAATGTACTAAATTTTCTAACACGAGGCACTTCCTAATATGCTATAGGTGCCCTCCTTAATCCTTAAACCTAAGACCTAGATATGATGACATCGGCGACCTTGTTCGACAATACGCCCAAAAAGCAATGTTGCTCGTAAAACTCGCGCCAGGAGAGTTTTACAAAAAAAATGGACCAATAGGGGATCGAACCCTAGACCTCCCGCATGCAAAGCGGGCGCGCTACCACTGCGCTATAAGCCCAAATATTGATTTGATGAAGTGTTCAACAAGAAGTTGATAAATAATCATAATAGCGCATGCGCTGGGTATGAAGGGCGGGGGATGAGGGCGATATAGTCGTATGCGGGGCAGACCGTGATGAGATTCGTAAGTTTTAGTACGACTTCACGACTATGAGTACTACAGTGGCATCTCAAACTTAGTTGAGCAGGACTGTCGCTGATTTTACTGCCGCATGTCCGGCGGAAGAGCTCTGCTGGTTTAGCTATTGTCAGTCCATCTGTCGATAATCTCAGGAGCACTACTTCGTAGGATGAACGCCAGATTTTCTATCCGCAACGAACACCGAGTTTGCAACCACAATATCAGCGTTTCATCCCTTGTGCAGAGTTGGCCTTGTCTTGCTTCGTGGTTGGATTGTTCACAAAGACCTGAGCAGTGAGTACTGACGACTGATGGACAGGATGAGAGACCTGTTATTCGTTTGTCGTTACAAATCTGAAAAGCAACACTTACTTTGACGACATCGAGCTTCACCGAAGGAAAAAAATGAAAGAGAATATAACGCGAAATTTGTAGGGCCCTGGACAGGGCACGCTAGCACGCGGGACGCGTGCTGAGTGATGAAGGTGGGAGCTCCACGAGGGTCAAAACCGCACGCGCGTCGAGCTTAACGCAACTGACATGCCTTCAGCACGATCCTGAAGCGAAAACGTAGCAAGGTGACCAACTAAAATTGCAGAATCTTGCACGGGCAAGCAGTATCGGGTCACTGTTCTATGAAGCTCTAATGCATACAGATTGTCAGGAAGAATGCGTCTCCTGCCATATCAAATCATGCTCTCAAACAATGCAACCATTGTACCTCCAAGATCTTGAGCTTGATCAGATCAAAGGAACCCACTTAAACACACGAATACTACATGTGATCTTGGGCTATAATTCATTGTATAAGTGGACCAAATGAAGCATTCAGCATGCCAAATCACAATGCAGGCGGGAAAAGGCCGAGTCATCATGATCATGCTTATTGCCTGGGTATCACTTTCTCCTACGCCCTCGCCCTCGAGGTCCTTTCCTCCTTCTTCGCAGCCATCAGCTCCCTGTACGTGTCGATAAGCGTCCTGCGCTCCTCGCCCAGCTCTTCACGCTTCCTCAAACTTCCCGCCGCGTTCGGCACGTTGTTCACGTTGACCTTTGCGCCATTCTTGACTTTGAAGATCTCCCGCGGCACCTTGCTAAACGTCGGCGGCGCATGCACAACATCATGCAGCCCCTTCCTCTGCTCTCTTTTCCTCTCCAGCGCCTCCCACTCGTCCTCGCTGTGATTATCAACCTCGCCAACAACCTTCTTCCGCTTCAAAGCCTTGGCCTTCTTCCCGTTGGCCCGCAGCCCTGGCGCGACTTCTTCCGTCTTGTCTTCCCATATCAAAGCCTGCTCGTCGCGCTCCTCTTCGGCGAGCTCCGCCTCCTCGGCTTCCTTGTCGCGAATGCGCGCTTCTTCCTCGCGCCACCCAGCTTGCAGCTTCTTCAGCCGCTTCTCGTGCTTGGTCACGCGGTGGTCTGCCACGCCAGCGACTTTCTTGCCGGATTTTGCGACGCCAGCGAGTGGCAGCGCAGCATCCACGCGTGAGCTGTACTCAGCCATGGACTCCCCTGGCTGGATCCTGGGAATCTGTTTCGCCTCGGCGGTCGCATTGGCTTTGTTCAGGCTGCCTTTAGACTCGGTGTCTGAGCCGGCGTCGGCGGATTGCTGGGCTGCGCGCTTCGCGGCGGCTTTCTGCTTCTTGGACAGCACGAGGCCGTCGTCGAGGCCGGAGCGCTTTTTGTTGGCGCCGACGCCGGATTGTGAGAAGGCCATCAGCCGCTGGAAGGCTTTGGGGGTGTCATCTTGCCCGTAGCCATCGACATGGGCTATCTTGCGCTTCTTCGGCTTTGCGGCCGTCTTGTTCTTGCCTACTGGGAGGGGAGCGGCGCGCGATGTGGGTGGGAGATCGAAACTGCTGCGGCGTTAGATAAAGGCCGAGGCCGAGGATCGAGTTTGCGCGGGGCCGGAAACATACTCTGGCGCATCGCCTGCTTTGCGCTTATGTTTGTGAGGCATAATTGCGGCTATGTGTATAGAGTCTCGCTGTGCTACAGCCGATCAGATTCATCACTGTCGCAAATTGTTGCAGGGACCCTGCGCTAGTGGACATAAGCTTTTTGGAGTGGGTCTTAGCTCCGCTCGCTCGCACGTGAGCTTCTCGTTCACCCCACCTTCCCTATCGAACATCGTTACAAAGCCTCGCCGGAGGCATCTCGCTCTGGTGCTGGGCCTGGACACGCAGATTGTGGCTTGAATGGTGCCATGCAAGATCGTGCTCTGGTTCGCGAAGTGCGGAGATACCGTCTCGAAGTGCCACCGTGCAGTCCCCCGCAGATCTAGACCGCCACTAAAGTAGGAACTGGCATTTCGGGTAAACAGCATCAGAACAAGGGCTGAGCTTATTCCGGGGGCATTTGCATCAAGTGTGCAGTCTGCAGTTTCGAATCGAGGCTCCATGCCTGATCCGTCGGCGCAATTATGGCGGGCCCAAACTCAGGCGTACCTCGATCCACGAGAACACCAAGAGTACAACGGAAGGCCTGATGATCTTGGCCAATCGCAGAATCTTTCCGCAAAGGGCTTTCTCAAGGCTCACCGGTCCTAACAATAGATCGCCTTTTTCTCTGCAAGCCATACGCAAACAATCCCCCTCGTGTTGTGAGCTCGAGACCGTCAGGCTGCCACTTGACTGTGTATATTGTGGAAACTCCTACACCAATCACACCCTCTGCTGCCGCTACGTGCACCAGATCAGCCAACAAGCTCGGCCGCTTACCGCGAGGTCGAGATCAATAGGCGCACATCGACAGCCTGTGTGCCTGCCACAAACGATTCCAAGTCGGTCGAGTGAACAATAAATGCTGCAGCACCCACATCCTCAACTCAAAGTCATCTCCATCGGACGGATCTGACAGCCACGAAATAGCCATCAACCACGCGGAACGCGCGACGCTCCTATTTTCGGCCCCTTTGGATACTGGCTGCGCGACTTTCTTGCCCTGTCGAGCATTATTGTGGAATGCTGACCATTCGTGTATTCCGCGCTATAGCTTGCTCAGTTTGGCGTAGGCCCGGGGTTGGATTCACGGAAGTCTGGATTGTGCCCACAGCTTGTGGCACCGCCACCAAATTCGTTTCGGAAGGTGACCTAGGGTGCGGGCAGCGCGAGAGCAATTGGCATATACAGCGTCCGGCCGTCCACGGCGGTGTTGCAGCTGTCTAGCACCCGTCTCGCCGCTGAATTGCAGCATCTCTTGGCCATCCGCACCTTCTGCTAGGGTCCGATCTGCTGCAGGGGTCGCCATCATTGCCAATCTGACAGCCATGGCTTCCGACAACGCCGAATTGCGGATTGCCTCACCCAGCGCGCAGCCTCTCTTGCACAACCATCTCACATCTGACTTTGACGTTTCGCGGGCAAAGAGTCCTCGTGGAGACAAAGATTTTTCGACTGTAACAGAACGCGCTTTGGAGAATGGCGATACTTCGGACTCAGACAGCGACGCTTCATTAGGACCACACCCCACGTTCTGGGGCCGTTGCTTGATGGCAGTTCGGAGGAGGCGGCCTTCTGTCCCAAGAGCTGACTACGAGACGGGAAGATTACCGACTTTCGAGAAGAGACGGAGAGCCTGGCGTGCAAAGAAGTATGTTTGGAGGAAGAGACACGGTGCGTGGGGATGTCTGGCGATTGTGGGCTTCGTAGTGTTCTTCTTGTAAGTGATCCGCTGTCTGCCGGGTATACGGTGTACGCGGCCATGGCATTCTCAGCCTTGTCGCTTCGCACCACCCCTCCGCGGGCTAGAACAACACCATACTAACAAACCCAGTGGTTGTGTGCACATCGTCAATGTCGGCCTGGGATACCTTCCCCTGATCCACGATGATCCTGCCGCCGCTGCCTTGGACTGGAGCCAGCCCAACCAAGCGTCCACAGATATGGCATCATATCTTCTGGACGTTACCAAGGACGTGACTCCCATCCCCTGCCACTCCCACAACGACTATTGGCGCCGTGTCCCCCTCTACGATGCCCTGCGCTGGGGCTGCACTGGCGTAGAAGCCGACGTGTGGCTGTTCGACGAAGACCTCTTCGTGGGCCACAGCACGCAGTCACTCACTAAGAACCACACCTTCACGTCCATGTACGTAGACCCGCTCGTTAAGATGCTGGACTCGAAGAACAAAAACACAACCTTCCTCCCCCCCTCGGAACTAAACTCCACCGCCAAGCTCGGCGTCTTCGACACCGCGCCCCAGCAGACTCTCGTCCTGCTCGTCGACTTCAAGAACGACGGCTCCCAGATCTGGCCCTACGTGTCGTCCCAACTCGCCACGCTGCGCGAGAAGGGCTACCTGACATACTACGACGGCGCCGCCATACACGAAGGTCCCATCACTGTCGTGGCGACAGGAAACGCACCCTTCAGCCTCGTCGTCGCAAACTCAACCTACCGCGACATCTTCTTTGACGCGCCGCTCGACCGCTTATACGTCGAGCCGTCCTCTTCGGACGCCGCCAGTCAGGACCAGGCGCAGTACGACGACGCCAATCCGACCACGCCCGCAGCGGTGAGCACGTCGGGCCAGGGCACCGTCGGCACGACGCCTGGGAGCCACTTCGATTCCACAAACTCATTCTACGCGAGCACAAACTTCCAGGCATCCATCGGCAGGATCTGGTGGGGCCGCATCAGCGGGCGTCAGCGCGAGCTGATACGCGGCCAGATCAAGGGCGCGCATGAGCGCGGGCTCAAGGCGCGGTATTGGGGCGCGCCCAAGTGGCCCATTGCGCTGCGGAACCGCGTCTGGTGGGACCTGGTCGGTTTGGGTGTCGACTATCTCAACGGAGATGATCTGGTGGGCATGACGCGGTTCGATTGGAGCGTGCGCCGGCACTGGAGTTGGTTGAGGTAGCGCGCGGAGCGAAGGGTGGATGGCTACGATCTGTATGAGCACTCACGATGGCGTTTCTGGTGATACCCTGCCTTTTGGCGGATGGCGGAGAGAAGACGGAGAAAGCACTGCTAGACTAGCATTAGATCTAGATCGCCAATTAACGTTGTGTACACTACATCGCATTCAACGAGACAACATGTAACGTCTCGACGCACTGCGTTCCGGCCTACAGTAACACAAGACCCCCCCCCCCCCCACCTCACCGCTACGCAATATACGCATACAACCCATCCTCCTCGCGCTCCAGAAACTCCTTCTCAATCAGCCGGTCGATATTGCGCTTAATCCCACTGACCTCCAACGTGCCCCTGCTCCGCGTCGCCGTGATGGTCTCAGCAACCAGCTCGGCGTGGCTGATGCGCTTGCGCGCCTTGAGGATGCGGACGATGGCGGCCTGGGTCTCGTAGTTGCGGTCCGCGGCGACGCGCTCGTGGGTCTCCTTGTTCTCTGCGGCCGTCTCTTTGAGCTGCACCGTGTTGATCTTGATGCGGTACTTGGGGTCGCTGAAGGACGCGTTCAGGGTGAAGGTGTCGGTGGGCGCGATCTCGCGGCCCTTGGGGTGCTTGGTCAGGGGCCGCAGTTTGGCACAGGCGAGGGACTGGAGGGTGCGGTTTAGCTCTGCGGGGGCTGGGGGTTGTTAGTGAGCAACGGTTTGGGATGGGATGGGTAGTGGACTCACGGAGACCGGTCGCTTGCTTCAGGTAGTTGTAGTCAATGTGCTCGGCCGCTGGTCTGCCGTTGAAGAGCAGGAGCACGATGGCTTGGAACGAGGAGACGACGAGTTCCTTGTTGCCTTTGGGGAAGTTGGCTTTGAGTTGGCAGTGGGCGAGGGCGTGCTTGAGTTCTAGCTTGCGGCCTGAGTGCTTCGACTTGTAGTGCGCTTCGAACTTGTCGATGGCGGACTTGATCTCCGGCGGGATGATGACGGGGACTGTGGGGTAGGTGGGCCATGAGGATGCGGAGAGGATGTTGACGTTTAGGTCGACGCTTTGCTTTTGACCGCGCTCTTCGCAGATCATCTTGTAGGATGCCAGCTCTTCGCGCGAGAGCTCGATGTCGCGGAACATCTGCTCGAGGTTTGCTGTGAAGCCCGCGCCACATTCTGTGTCGGTGTTAGCGAATCATGCAGTGAGCAATCCATCACGGCGCCTACCTGTCTTCAGCCTTGACAGCATACTCCTTTCAGCGTCCGCACTGGCACTCCTGCCCATCAACAGACGCCTAGCCAGGTCCTTCTTGTAGAACGCCTCGAACACAGCCTTGCCATGCACAAATCGGAACAAATCCAGTACTTGATCCAGCTGATTGTTGACTTCGGTGTCCTCATCATAGATTGCCTCCTCGTTGTCGTCCTCAGCCTCTGCGACATCCACCTTGGCCGATGCTCTCCGGCTGAGCTGCGCAGGAATAGCCTTCGCGCCACCTCGCAACAGCATATCGACGTACTTGGCAATCATCTCGCCAGTCTTGGAGTTGTCGGTACCCCAGCTTGCGCTCGTCTTCTTCGTCTTGTTCATGAACAATTCAAACGACTCGCGCAGACCATGGCCAAGCTCGTCATCGCGATGGAAAGACACTTTCCAGAAGGTGTCTAGCTGCCGCTTGAGCGTCAAGAGCTGAACGACCATGTTCTCCTGCTCCTTCTCGTTGAACACAATTGCCGTGCCCTCATCCTCGATCCACTTCGTGAAACCCCGTCGTAGCTTGTTTCCGAGTCTACGTCTCTCGAGGAGCGAGTACAAGAGCTCAAGATCCTCGACCGAGTTTGCTTCCAGCAGATCTGCAAACTCGTCTTGGTTGATCAGCCTCTCCTCCTTCCGCGAGATCAGGTGGTCCTCGAGCAAGGTAAGGAGGTCGCGCTTCGTCGTGTTCGGCAGCCGGTACGAGTCGGCCCTCTGCATCTCACGGTCCATGAGCGCTCTTGCGCTGCGCACGTACTCGGGCAACGACTTCTGCTCGCTTTCGACATCGGCCCACTTCAAGACGTATTCCTGACTGAGCTCAAGCAGCCGGGGCTCAAAGTGCTCTGTGTAGACGCTCATGTCGTGGAACATATCTACTGTCTTCTTGAACATGTCGCTGTCTAAATGCCCGCCCGTTCGATCGGCAGTAACGAGATGGCAGGCGCCGTCGATGATGCGCGGGTTGAGCTTTGCATGCTCGAAGATGATGGCGCGGAAGAGCCCGACCGAGAGGTCGCGCAGAGACTCGTGGCGAGGAAGCAAGTACGAACGATCGAGGTAGCAGAAGATCCAGTCGAGGTACTGGACCTGGTCATGCCATGTGCTCCAGGCCTGCAGCGTGGCACGGAGCACGTCGACGTCGGTCCGGCCCAGACTCTCCTTGACCCTAGCCTTCAGCGCGCCGCTCACGTACTCCTTGCACTTCTTGACGAGCCTGTCCTTGACGTCGCGCGCCATGTTCTGTCGGCAGAGGTTCTCGACGCCGCGGTACAGCTCCTCGAGGCTGAAGTCGATCTCGGCCTGCTTGAAGACGGTGTTCAGCGCGGCCTCGATCTTCTGCCATGTCTGGTCGAGAAAGTCCCTGGGATCGACTTTGCGGACGGGGCGGAAGTTCTTGACCATTAATCGCTTGGGTGCGGCGTTGACGCCCATGCTCGGTGCTGTCTTGCGCATAACGCCGTTGCGAGGCTTCGCGGGGCTGTTGTCCGGGCTCGACGTCATGTCCACGACCTCTTTGCCGTTCGGCACGCTCGCCCGCTTGCTGGGGAAGCTGTACATGTCGGCGGTGCTCATGATGCTTGGTGTGGCGGCTTCGCGGGGGGAGCTCTCGCGGCGGGTGCGCTTGTTCGTGGGCGAGAGGGCAGCCGTGGCGGCCGAGTTGGGCTTCTGCTGGGCGGTGAAGGACAGCTTCTGCTGGGTGGACACAGAGTGCTTCCGTTTCAGCGTGCTAGAGTCGGCGGAGGACATTGAACAGGCCGTCGAGAGTGCGGAGCGGTCGACGGCTGCACGTCGCTGGAGCTCGGCTGCTAGGATGACGCGCCGCTAGTGCTGCAGCTGCATAGTCGTGATGATGTCGGTAGCAACAAGATATGTCCAGGACTGCAGTATGGATGTTGTTAAATCGCCTCGAGTACGCCTCTAGGTTGAGAGACCACTGCAGACACACATATCGCCCTCGTGGCGACGCTCCCCTGATGCTGTGCTGTGTAACGTGCATGACTTCTGCGATGCTGTGCACACCGGAGATACCGGCAATAAGCTGCCTCCACCGACAGGCTGTCATGAATACACAGTCAACAGGCTGTCATGAATACACAGCCAACAGGCTGACGTGAATACACAGTCAACAGGCTGTCATGAATACACAGTCAACAGGCTGACATTCAAATCTAGAGTGTACAAGCAGACGAAGTAGAGTCTCGCCCCTTTGTGGTATCTTAACGCCAAGCACCATGCAATCTATGCACCAACAGTTACAATCATACACGGCGAGCGCCGCTAGAACAGACTCCACCCACCGCCCTGCTTCTTCATCCTCTCCCTCTCCTCCCTCCTGCTCACCGCCCTCTTCTCTCGCGCTTCAAGCTGCCTCAGCCCCTCCATCTCTTTGAGTACATGCTCAAGCAAGTCCTTTCTTCTCACCACATCCAAATGCCTCTTGATCTTTGGGTCTTCGCGCGCAAAACGATCAATCTCATCCTGGCTCAGTCCGCGTCCTAGTCTCGCGTCGAGCTCGCGGGGGAGCTGGTAGTAGAATTTGGACAGGAGCTCGGCGTCGAGGAATAAATCGGCCGTGGTGGTGAGTTTGTCTGCAACAGCGTCGAGGAACACTTCGGGACAGTGGTATTTGTTCTTGCGGCTGGCGCATTGTTTCGATTTCACGGCGAGGATGCGCAGTTTGATTATGTCGACGCGGTCGCGGAGGAAGACTGCCTCCCTTCCTGTTGTATCCTTAGTTTCAACTTCGTAGTAGGAGGACGGGACATACCTTTACTCAATAGCGCCTGACTGAACCCTCCAGCGCCACCAACACCGTCACCCTCGAGCACCACTTGTCCGCCGCGCACGCGATCAATGAAAGACATGACGTCCTTGACCTTTTTGCGCCCACCCATCAACTCCTCAAGCCGCTTGCTCGCCGCCTCTGCGACCTTGAGCTCCTCCTTCAGGACAGCGGTGACGTTCTCGCGGCCCTTGGCCCACTCGCTGTCTTCGAGGTCGATGCGGTACTTGTATGGCTTTATGCAGATCTCGAGCTCATCGGAGATGTCATAACTCAGGTCCTTGAGGATAGCCGTCGACGCCTCGGTGATGGCCTGGCGCGCGAAGGGGTGCGCAGAGAAGCGTGAGTTGGCGATGAGAAACTCAATGTTCCGTTGAAGTGCACTCGCAACGACGCTGGTTGCCAGACGGCCGACACCCAGCTTTGTGAGTGCGGCGCTGGAGCTGTCGAGCTTGATCTTCCAGATCGAGTCTTCACCCTCGGGGTCGGCTTTCGCGAGGCTGCTGAGCGGATCGGTTTCCGGGAAGGGTGGGCTGAGGTCGTCGAAGGGGCGGTTCCAGTAGCGCTGGGCGAGGAGGTTGAGGACTTGCTGGTCGAGTTCGTGTTTGAGGAGCTCGCGGACCTCGCGGCGGCCAAAGGACTCTGTGAAGCCACGGAAGGAGTGCTTGAAGCTGTCGAGAGATTCTGCGAGGTACGACTCTGCGCTCAGTGGACGCTCGTTGTACTGTACCTTGAACTCGTATGTGGCTTCAGCTAGCTCGCGTTGAATTGCTTCGCTTGTTGTTTTCAGGCTGGCTGCCATGGTCTGTTCGAGGACATGCATAAGCTTCTTCTTGAGGTTTCTGGTGCCAACTTCGACATGCTCCTCGGGCGCGAATTCGACATGTGAGCTGAAGTACGCGCTTTCGTTCTTGGCAATGGCGTTTTGAATGTTGCCGCTCCCACGGTGGAACAGCTTGCCGCCTCCTGCACCGGCTGGGACGCGGCATACAACGCCCACATAGCCTAGGCGCAGGGCGTACTTCTTATCGTTCAGTAAGCTCACAGCGCGCTCAGGCTCGACAAGATCCATCTTCGTGATGACTCCAATGGTTCGCTCACCGCGAGGATCAACCTTTCTCGATGCTCGCAGCGCGGTGCTGTTGGCCAGATCCACGTCTGCTGCTGAGATTGCGAGAATGACATTGGGCGCACGAATGTACTTCTCGCACAGCTGGCTAATGCGCTCCTTCAGCTCTGGGGGCTGGTCTCGTCCTACAACTTGGATGTACCCAGGCAGATCAATCAGCGAAAGGTCTGGTACGTTCGGCGAGTGGATGCGCAGCTGGATGGGGTCGTCAGAAACACAATCGGACGCCGGTACGGCCAGGTTCAGATCCGTCAACGTCCTCTGGATCTGGCTGAAGTCGGTGAGCTTCCCAAGCCCCAATGCGGGGAACTCTCCGTACTCGGCGTGGGCATCGGGTGTGTTGACGAGGGTGAGTTCGATCGGGCGGCGCGTGACCATGTTGTGGCCCTTGGGGAGGAACTCGTGCCCGACAATGGCTTCCAGCACGGAGCTCTTGCCGGAGGACTGCGATCCAATGACGACGATGGAGGGCAGCGTCAGCGAGTCGGACTGGCCGACGGTCTGCAGCAGGCCGCGGATCTCGATCATCTTCTTGGTGAGCATCATCATCTGCTCGTCGCGAGCAATCTTCTCGGCGTCCTGCTTGTCGTCATCGTCGTCCTGGCCGTATCCGAAAGCGGCTGCTGTCGACGCACCCGCCGCTGCAGCCCCGGCACCGCTCTGCTTGGGCTCCTCGGGCCCTTGTCCGCCGCCATTGCCGCCGCCAGCGCCGCCAGCCGTGTCGACGGCCAGCAGCTTCTGCACCCATTCGGGGTAGTCGGCCTTCTCGAGGCTGTCCTTTGTGCTGCGCCAGCCCTGGTCGATCTGCGCGAAGAAGCCGTTGGCGGAATCGAGCGCGCCGCCCGCGACGCTGCCAACGCCATCCCTTGCGCGGCCGAAGAGGTCGATGGCGAAGCTCCCAGCCTCTGTGGCGCGTTAGCTGTCTCCCTGGGGGACTTGTGGACGAGACGGTTGCACGTACGGCCGGCCTGGTACTGGATATAGGAGACGCCCGCAATGACTGCGCCGCCCGCTGCTGCGCCGGCGGTCGCAAGCTTGGTAACGAGCTTCGGGACTACTCGTGCGAATGAGATGGACCGCATGGCCGGGAGGTTGTGCAGCGCATAGCTGCCGAGGGGCCACGGCCGTCGCTTGATCAGGCGCAGGCCGGCTTCGTTGCGCAGCAGACCGCCGGCGGGCAGCGAGTGCGTCGTGTACCGGCGTGGCGTGTGCAGGGCGGCACGGCGCGCAAGCGTTGCGAGACGCGCAGTGACGAGCCTGCCGCTCATGGTGACGACGAGTGTGGGTGTGGTATGCGTGGATGTGTGCAGGTCATGGGACTCGAGTTGGCTGTCGCGCAGCGTCGCGCAGCGTTGGCCGTGGTTGCTTGTGATGCCTGGCGGGTCGGCGAATCCATCTGCGGTCGGGCACTCGTTCGTCACTGGCTCGGCGCCCCACGTGGCATTCAGCCTTGCACGACTGACATGACAGGGGAAGACTGGCTGGTGCAGCACCAAAAAAAGCCACATGCGGCTGATGCCGTGGCTATGGCTGTGGCTATCGTCGTCTACTTCAGACACAGCAGCGCCCGCTCGCCGAATGCATGCACTACTGACCCCTCCTCCCTGACCATGTCTCGCAGCCAGCCCCGCGAACCCTCTACCTCCGTGCTCGCAAACTTGACCAGCACAAAGTCGCGCACGTGTGCAGCACTCCACACAGCACGATCCCTGGTCTCTCTTGCCTGCCTGGCTGCGCGCCACTGCTCCTTGCTGCTCAGCTTCTCTTGCACTGCATCGCCCCAGTTTCTGCCCCCGATTCTCGGTAGTGCTTCAAACTCCTCCAAGAAGAATTTTGCCAGCGACGCAAACGCGGGCCCCCTGATAATGAGCGTGCCGAAGACAGAGAACCCATCCATGCGAGAAGACAAATGCACATCTGTCCGTCCATGCTTGTCCAAGATCAAGTTGTCTCGCAACAATAACCTCGTCTTCCCCGACGCCTCCGTCGCCCATACCTCATTCCGACTCTGGTACTCGTACATGTCCCAATCTTCGCCTCTGGCTGAGCGGCCGCTTGTGACCCAGTCGCACACGCATAGGCTGCCCTTGCCTTGCTCCAGGTGATAGAGCTGCGACTGCGAAAACGCTGTGCGTGCAAATGGCTGCACAGGGTCCGGCAGGTACAGCAACGCAGCGCCGTGCTTCAAGTGGACCTTCATGTGCTGGTGAGAGACTATTTGCGGATCGAGCGTCTTAAAGATCTTGGTGGATCCTTGGGTGAGAAGCAGGAGCCGCGTTTGATGGTCCAGACGCACAACCAGGTCTATGCTGTCTCCAGCGACGATGCCGCCTCCATATGTCAGGAGGTACACCGTGTGAACGAGACGTGGCGTGTCTGCCTCTGCGACAAAGTCCGGTGGAGGAAGAGGCTCCGGAGCGATCAATTTCAACGGATACTGGTAAGATACAGTCTTGAGTACTGGTGTGCTCGGCGGCAGAATCTCGATAATGATGGTGCCATGGCCGGGCTTCGACGCGGATTTGGCAAAAGGAGAGGTAAAGGACATGGCGGGGCTTTATTTTCTGCTATGATCGAGCATGGTTGAGCTGAAAGCAAGCGCGTGCTATGTCAACACGATGACCCTCCGTAGCGGGCGACGACAATGTCAAGAACGAGCTAACATGATGCGAATCGAGTGGGTCTGCACGTCGAGCCCAAGTAAAGGACAGCCGCGCTTGTCTTATCGATGGTTGCGATAGGTACCTGATTAATGCCAAGCGAACCACAACTTTTTCCAAAAGTTAATTGCCCCTCCTGTTGCCCGCCGTTTGTCCTTCGCTTCCGTATCCACCTTTGTGCAGCCAGCCAGCGCCAAAATTACTGCTTCGAGTTTTTCCATAACGACGCCTCCCAGAATCGAACTCGCGAACCTTGTCCATGTCACCCCAATCGCGGTAGTTGAGTGTTCGGCCTGCAATGGCGAAAGGCGTGGATGAGCTTGTCAATCACGTGCTCTCTGAGATTGCCCTAACCGGTGTGCAAGGTAAGCATGACGCGCCTTTCTGTTTTGCTTCTGGGTCGAACTTTGTCCAAGTCAGACTAGTTTGCTTGCTCTTCGCGCAACACCTCCTCTGCAGCCGCCCGCGTGTGGTTGTTGTGCTTGAGTAACACCAGACCCCGCTATCGCCTCATTCGGTGTTCGAGTCTCATCCCGAGCACTATTCGGTCATGCATAAGGCCACCCAACTGACCGACCACAGGAGCTGGCAGTGCCGACTTCAAGCGTTTCATACAGTCCTTTTACGAGAAGCAGCAAAGTGAAGATGGATCGTGCTCGCGTCTTCGACCAGAGCAGCTGGGATCCACGTTGCATGAGAGGATTTGGCGCTGGGTGACCGACCATGCAGATATTCGCATCATGCACCATGGGGTTACACGGCAATATACTCTCACCGAATTCGAAGCAGCAGAGAAGCCAGGATCGACGCCGAACAACACTGCGTCTGCAGCTGCGCCTACAGATTCTACCAACGCAGTGAAAGAGACACAAGACCCCGCAAAATCTCTCCTAGCATTGCGGGACTCCATGCGCCAGCGTCTTATCAAAGAAGGGCTCACCCCCCAGACCGCTGCCACAAAGAAGCCCTTAGGATTACAGAGCTCTTCGTCATCTCAAGATCCCGCAATCGAAGGGCCACCCAATGTCAGCTTGTCGCAACAGGCCGTTCGTGCACCTCGTGTCCTTCCAAGTCTGTCAAACGATGGCGATACAGTCTTCGACGATCCTCCAGCCGACACTCCCGCGCCTCGTCTCTTCGCGAGTCAAAATCGTATCTGGCAGGCATTGACTGGTCATGGCATCGATCTCAAGAAGGTTCCCACCATGGAGTTCATTTTGCTCTCTCTGATTGCTTCGCACGGAACAGCTGGAGTCACACAGCCCGACTTGACGGCCATGAGCGGGCAAGATAAGCGCTCAGTGCCCCACAGGACCGATGAGCTTTGTCGCAAGGGCTACATCGAGAAGCGCCCTGTTCAATCTGGCAAGCTGCGTACTAGTCTCTGCGTCCACCAGAAGTTTGTTTCGGCGGACCATTTCTTAACTTCAGGTAAAGTCGAAGACGTCTTCCAATACAAGAAGTTCGTGTTGTCTGGTTTTGTGCACCTTCTCTACAACACGCTGAAGGATGCTGGTGTCGTGCCGACGAGAGACATCCGAAAGCGATTGGTAGGAGCTCGAACCGCCCGGCTATTGTGCAGCCGCTAACAAGAAGCAGAATGTACCGATGACCACTTGGAATAAGCGAGCCGTGCAGGGCGCTCTCATCCGCCTTGATCAAACCGGGATGGTGAAGCGCTTCAGAGCACGTAGGAAAGACGCCGAAGACAACTGGCTCACATGCATCGAGGTGTTGCGCGAACCTCGACCAGAAGACCACGAAAACCTGAAGTTCCGACGCCAGGTCACTCTCGAAGAGGATGCCGAGGAGCAGTCAGACGAGGACGTTGACGGTGATACGTTGATGCGGGACCTGGAGGTTGACATACTCAACAATGACTCGCAAGATGTCGACGGTGTCAAGGAAGACGCCGGTCGCATTCCGCCCCAGTGGATACCCGAACGCCTGTTGTCTAACACGCTATATGAGGTTATAGGCATGGGCGGCGCAGAAGGATGGGATGCTGTAGTCGTGCGCGACCGAATTGTGGGCAAGTTTTGGCGGCGACCGATGGAGTCGTATCTCACTCGATTGACGGATGATTGGGAGGCGACTCAGCCAGCTCATCTCCGACACCTTGCAATTATTCGAGACACACGCAACACACAGGAGAAGAAGTTTGTACATTACGTGTATCGTACATACGGCAACTTCCAGGAGGCTGTGGACGCAGGCGAAGTCATTTGGGCCGGAGTTAGTAAGCCTGCGCCAAAACAATCGTCAGCAGCCAAGGGCGGCCGACCGAAGAAGGATGCACCTGGCGCACAGGTTGATGCTTGGGGATTTCGCGCTCTCAGCTCAAAAGATTTTGTTGACAAAGATGGTTCAGCATCACTTTCACAATGTCGCAGAGCCATCGTCCTACCAAGGAAGTATGGGCCACGATGGGATAATCTGCTTGCTGATGACATTGGGTATGAGAAGGCTGAGACACCCATGTCGGAGAAGACCATGCGGAGGAATAAGCCAAAAGCTACATCCAAAGACCTGTTATCATCTCAAACACCAAGGTCTGAGAATCCGGTAACTCCAAGTCAACGCAGCATACTCAGCGATGCGGCTACCGACGGCGACGACGCGACGCCCGTGGCTGCAGCCAAAATTCTGGGTCTCCCGAAGTTGAAGCACGAGACAGGGCTACTCACCATAGACCAGAGGATAGCCCTGGGACTGAAGCCGAAAGGCCGCCTCAGCAAGTTTGTTGAGGATCAGATTCGAGAGCATCGCAAGCAGACAGGAGAGCTGATGTCGATTCCAGAGTCGATTGTACTGGAAAGACCATCAAGCGCGAATACAACACCCGTCCTCGCTAAGTCTGGACCGCTCATGACCAAGGAAGAGCGGATCGCTGCAGGGCTGCCAGCCCGTGGGCGTCTGGGTCAGAAGATCGAAGACCAAATCCGCCAGCAACGTGGACTCCCAACGATTGGATCTAAGGTCAAAAAGCCGCGAAAGAGTCGGCCAGCCAACGAACCAGCACTGCTGAGCAAAGATCAGAGAATCAAGCTCGGTATCATACCCCATGGGCGTTTACCGCAGTCGCTTATGGAAGGGCTGCGTGAGGAGCGCGACTTCGAGATTCCTTTCGAGCAGTCCAAAGTCATCCCAGCGTATCTTGATGCCGTGAAGGAGAAGCTACCCAAAGCACAGCTGACTAGAGCAATCGATGGGGTCAGGGTACAGACGATGCGGGAAAAGGATCCAAACTATGATCCGACTCGAGGATTGGACAACTCTGATGACGACACCCCTGTTCTCAATGACCCTGACGAGTCAGTAGTGATAGCCTCGAGAACCAGCACGCCAGCCGTTGAGAAGCGAAAGGCTGATGATGATACTTCCGTTTCGCAACCCCCCAAGCGACTACGAACTGAGCGAGACGATTCCGCGGAAGAGTCCGGCGCGGTAGTACCGACACCACCACCAACAACGTCCCCTGCGATCACTGAGCCAATTTTTGAACCGCAAGAGCAGGACGATTCGAGTACAACCAATGTGGAGGAGGAGAGTACACTTGTCGCAACCAGTCTTCCACAACAAGACCGTCCAAAGATAGTCACGCCTCCTCGCGAGAGCTCTCCTCCCATCATCGATTTGGCCGCTGTCGATGAGAAGATTCATTCGATCAAAGATAAATACAGCAACCGATCTGTTCCTGGCGTCTATATCGATCCATTTGCGAAACGTAAGATTGGCCAAGGTAGACCGCGCAACGCTTACATTGCGACTTTTCGGCTGCAAGGGCTCACGGATCTGGACTGGTTCAGGAATGAGACAACGACTTCTACAAGCGAGAAGCAGGAACCATCACCACGCCGCCCGGTGGAATCGCCTGAAAAAGAGGTCGAGACAGAAGAGCAGCGTACAGACAACGATGAGCGTGACGCGACCATCGCCCCTTCAACATCTGCGGCGGGGGACAGCGTCGAGCCCGATGCAGCACTTGCCAATTCAGGCGCGGATGGTGTTACATTGTCTCAAAGCGATGTCCTGGATGCCGAACAGTCAGGAGATCAACACATGACTGACGAGACCCATGTTTCCCAGCATACGCCAGCTGGTGCCGAGCATATGAACCCCTCGGGACAGAGTCGGAAGGCAACTCAAGCAATACAACAGTATGCTCGTCCGGTTGCTGGCTGGAATGCAATCAACAAGCCGCTACAACCAGAGTCTGCATACCAAAGCCCTTATGCATCTGCTGATCCTACAGAGCCAATTCATGTCGATGAACCACAGCTCGAGGATGACACAGCGGAACAAGAGACGCAAGATGATGCAAACGATTCTCAGATCCAGGGCGTATGTGGTCCGATTAGGGAAGAAGACATGATGAGCCGGAGTGCCAGGAAGCTCGCAGCATACATGGGTACCAAGACGGGAGGCGGAAGTCAGAAGATGTTCCGTCACAAGGTCATTATGCAGATCATCGACCTTTGCGATGGTGTTTATCCCATGCATGGAGAAATTGGACGACCATTCACCACTCTTTGGAAGCAGCTATATCCCAACGTGGCTCCGCCAAATTCGAGCACCGTGCTGTCGAATCTGAGAGACATGATCGCTGATCCACGCAACAGGCTCAAGAAGTTCAGCTTCCTGATCAGGCTTCGACAGAGTGCCGGCTTGAAAAAGAAGGACATGGTGGTGTACGAACATCTCACCCCTACAAGCCCGCAGGTTACGAAACTCGCATACAAGATGGCCAACTACTCCAGCACGAAGGCACATCAGTACTATCCGGAAGAGATCCTTCACTTGGTATCTGATGAGTCATTCTACGTGCCGATGCCAGTCGCGCCGAAAGACGAGACCGTCAGCCTGGAGCGTCTTAATCCAAGTCTCAGGAGCAAGATTAAGGAGGCCAACCTCGAGCGACGGAGGCGGTACTACCACAAGCAGAAAAATGAAGAACTCGCGCGCGACGCTCAAAACGCAGGAGTGGAGGCACCTCTCAAACAGACCGCGAAGGTCGACGGACAGCCGCGGGCCAAGCGAGCGCGTCTTGCAAGTCTCAATGACAAGAACAAACGATATCGTCGTGCTCCGCTATCGACTGCGCCCTCGACAACTCTTGATCCAGAGCTTGGGGAGAGCATAACCGAAGAGATTGAACCAGCGGCAGATGAAGCTCAGCAGGGGCGATCCTTGACGTGGAGGGATCCTTGGGTGGGTCCTGCCGTGGGTCAGTCTACGCTATCGGACAACTCAGCTCCCACAGTTCCCTCGATTGGATATTACGTTTCGTCAATCACTGCGCCCATTGTCCGCTTCTATTCAACGAACGGAACCTTCTCTACGGAACTTGGCTTTGTTCGTGCGACCGACTTGCTTGGTATCCCACTTCCGACAAAGGCTACGGATGCTTCGATTGCGCCGTCGAAAAGCAGAAAACGAGTCAGGATCATCGAGCCTGCATCAAAGCCCAGCAAGAAAGTTCGTCTTGGTACGGGCAAGCCTGTTCCTGTTACTGAACCCAGTCTTGTCATTAGCTCCAGCGACGGGAGTGACGATCCCTACACCTCTGATTCGTCCTCAACTTCTTCTGATAGTGAAGACCATGTCCCTCTTATGCAACTCAGCAAGGCTCAGGCCAAGACCAAGGCAAGGGCGAAGGCTAAAGCCAAGGCCAAAGAAAAGGCGAATGCCAAACGAGGCAGCAAAAAGGACCCGCCTCCTACCCTACTCGAACGTCTCACTGGTCTTACTGGAGACCTTAACGAGCCTGTCTACCTTCCACCAAAGCCGAGGTCTCAATCGCAGAAGACATACCAGGCCTGGACCGAAAGAAAGAAGGCTGGCTTCGACAAACGGCAACGGGAGCGCAAGTATGCCGAAAGCCAGGACCCTGTTGACAAATTTAAGAAGCTGGTCTGCACTCTCGTCATTGCTTCATCGATGGCAGGAGTCGAAGGCAGCATTGACTGGAGTATCGTCGAGAAGGCACACGATGCCAAGGGCTTCGATCTCGCTAAAACAAAAGCTCTATGGCGCTGGATGCAAACAAACATGGCTACACAGATCGAAGATTTGACATCAGACTTCGAAACTCGCTTCCTGGAGGCATACGAGAACAACAGGATCGCAGCGATCGAAGATCCGACGAAATATGATTGGGCAAACCTGGTCAGGTGGGCTATGCACACTTGTGTGTACCCTGAACTCTCTTTGCCTGTGTACCGGGAGGCGCTTCAGCATTTCATCGTCGATTTGTCGAGCTACGAGGCTCTGGATCGACCCAAGTGGTATCGTGAGAGGGTTGCAGACAGAGTACGCACGCAGCTACAGCTGCAGTACCCCTTCACTGCGCCTCTGCACCAGTCTCACGCTCACGCGAAACGAAACAGCGTTGACGAAACCGAGCTTAAGGCGCGATCATGGATTCGGGCGAATACAGCTACGCCACAGGACCGCTACGACAGCAAGACAGCTCATGAGAAGCTTAGGGCGCTAGGTGATCCTGTGCTTGCAAAGGTTGTGGGCGAGTACGTCGACCGACAAATGCTGCGGATGCGCCAGCTAAAGCGCCTGTTGCCCGGCAGGAACTACACATTCACAGCACGACTTGCAAAGAAGTACGGGCGCACCTTCGAGCTCAGCGACTTCATGGCTGCTGTCAAGATCAAGAAGGATATGGACGCTGCTTTTGCGCAGGACGATCCTGAGAAGCGTATCTATTCTATCTCCCGCGCCGAACCAGATGGCGCCATCATGGCAGTCATGTCGTTGCTCAGCAACGGCAAAGTCAAGTTTGCTCCCCAGCTCCCGTCTGTCAACAACGAGTTTGGTGCTCCGTTGCCGCGATTGTCTGTATGGGGTTTCATGGAAGGCGATTATGTGCACCGTGGCATTGACAGGCAGCGTTTGTTCTGGGACATTCATGTGGTTCCTACTGAGACATACGACTATGGGAATCCACTGCAGCCGGCATCTGCGCCGCTTGGAGAATTGGCAACCAGTCTCGCAGCTTGGCCGCCGCTTCCAGTGCCACCGCTGCCTGGTAAACATGACTTCAATGCCCTACTGCCGATCTGGAGCAGCATGGATGGGCAGAAGGTCACCTGGCCCTGGTGGTACCGGATCCTGAATCTAGTGTTGCAACCTCTTATCTTCCAGCCCGGTGCAACGGTCGAAGACATCCACGCAAACTGTGATGAGTACACAACCGAGATATTCGAGATCCAGCTCGTCTTGCAGTGGCTGGAGTCGGTTAACGCAGTCAAAAAAGTCATCGGCGGTGGCTATATCACTCTGCCGTGCATTTGGGCTGTATTCGGCGATGTCCTGCACGATTTAGAGGACGACTGGCTCAACGCGCATGTCAAACGCAAATACAAGAAGCACGAGAAACAGCAATGGCGTGACAAGTATCACCTAAGGTATTCCACGTTGCTGGGGCGCGATGCGAGGCCGTCACCGAGCGATGACAATGAGTCTGACGCGCAAACCGATGACGAGCGCGAAGGAGCGATGACTGCGAGCACAAAGATCATGCGTCACCCGAAAGAGCAGTATGCAATTATGAGGGATCAAATCGCTGCTGCGGCGTCTAAACCTTCTGCTACCGATCGAGCTGCGGATACTTTGGTACAAGAGGCAGAGCATCGACCTGCGTCCGAGAGCAAGGCAAATGGAGCGCAGACCTCCGAGACCGCTGGCACTGCAGATGAAAATGTCCCCATGCAGGACCTAGATGGTACGGAAGAGATGGATGCCGAGGGTGAGATGGAAGTTTAATCGGGAGCAAATCATCACGATCCGTATTACGGTGTAAAGCACAATGATGTAGAGCATGCATGTGCTGTAGAAACAACGATGAAGATATGTGTAGTACGGAATGGTGTTCGCAAGGCCCTGCGAAGGACTATGTTGGTGCTATTCTGTTCTTGTACAATAGAGGTACGTCGAAACGTCAAGCCCTCATCCTCTGCTACTCTAGAGAAACAAAAAGATTAGAAGACATGATACAAAGTCTGATCAGCGATTGGATTTTTTCCAGATGTTCAGTGACGCCACTGTGGAGATTGCTGATCGGCAGTTAGTGAAGTTTTCATAGCTCTGCTCAGCCAATCAAGAATCTGTGATGGACTGTAGCCCTGTACAGTTGTATCTGGTTTAACGTAGCCTTTCAACAGTCCGAGGTGCTCGATGCGACAGCTCGAACACGCTTCCGCCATAAATCGTCCGCTCGTTCGCGCTGTGTGACCTCTGGGAACGTAGCAGAGAGCCAGCCAACAAAGACGTTCATTGGGTCGTTCCTCCGCGCATTGCCTGGCTGACCAATTCTGTGCAAAAATCATAAATAACCTACAGGTCGTGTGCAAAGATGGTGGAGCGGCAGGATCGCATTCTGAATATTTATGGCACAACGGATCTGCATGCATACGGATCTACATCGAACACAGCGATGCACCTGCGCCCCAAACAGAGTAACTAATCATATTCTGACCACCACATGCTATATCGACCCTAAAGCGAACCTACTGCCAATCAGCAGCCATGTCCATCTCCATCGCCGGCATCAGCAGTAAGTTGGCGTTGCGTATTGCCTTCAACCTCCTTCAACAACCTGGCATTCGACTGCGTGGCTCCTGTCGCGATATCAGCAAACTCCCATACACTCTTAGGACTCACCCGAATCTTCAATTGATTCAGACTGGTTCCTACGACACTGAAGCCTTGCGTTCACTTGTTCGCGGCTCCGACACCGTCATCTGTTGCTACTATGCTGATAATGAGACCATGATGTCTGGACAGAAGCTCCTTGTCGATCTGTGTGAAGCAGAAGGTGTGCACATATACATGGCAAGTGACTACACGGGTGATTACCGGAAACTAGAGTATAGAGAATCGAATCACGGGTAAAATATGTCCCAAATTCCTTTGGGATAGCCAACGCGAAACTCACGCCTGACTAAACAAGGGGGAAAGAAAGCAACGCCGTGCAATGTAAACCCCGGCTCCACTGTTGCCACCCTCTCAGCTGTAGTGTATGTATCAGTCTCCGAGAGGGGGTTAGATACCTTGCGATCATACCCATTCCCTCTTCAAGCTCGTTCGGCTCGTCACTGGGCTCATGCAGATCACGGGGAAGCCATCTTAACTTTTGAATACCCTAGTTACCTCCCCGAGGCCCAGTATCCCACACGCATACTGTCGACTCTACCGATGAGGTGTACGAGATATCGGAGGACACTTGTCGTGACGGCGGGTACTTCGAAGGCTCAATGGGTTCTTTGGTGATCGCATGCCGCTATTCCAGACTTATGATGATATAGCGCTTGAAGAAACGTCGCAACAGTCGTCTTGTTGTCAGAATACTGTTGACAGGAGAGTGTTGCGGTACTTTCGAGCCGATCAGAAGGTCAACCATGCGTTAGGACCGAGGACGACCTACAAATTGGAGTCGGCATCGTCGTTGGAGACAAGAAAGACGTGGAGATGCATAATATGCATCAGGTGAAAGCTGTTGCAATGACACAGGCGAGGAAGCTGCTGTTTTGGATGAAATATTTGTGGACGCACAGAAAGGCTTAGATAGGAGAAGGTATCGACAGGCGCTAGAATGCTGTGGCCGATGTTGGAGATCTGATAAACATATGCGTGATGCAGCATATGCACGACAATACCACGATGAGCGAAGGGTATGAGGATCGTAGTGGAATGTAGAAGATATAGGATGGTCAGGACTGGAAGGTAGAGAATCCTCATGTGCTGGCAAAATTTGGACGTGCTGGGTTCAGAGAAACAGTAAACAAACACAGTGCGGCATAGATGGAAGGTATCACAAAGCTGGGGACGAAGAGCACATCAGGAGGTACGTTCAATGTTTTACTGCAATACGCATGAAATGCTTCCGATAAGTGACTACCAGTCTTGTCGCACTGAAGGGTAGTCCGCGCTCACATTGGCTAAGTGGGCGTCAACCACCTAATACTTACGTAGAAGTAATTAGAGCAGAAGTAAAAAACAATAGAGGAAGGCATACCAATCAGAGATTTTCAGCGCTGTCAAGGAGATAAGAGCATCGTGTCTTTGAGCCAAACCACGTAGAGGATCGGCTAACATATTACTCTTAGCTTCTCCAGGCCTTGACAGCATGGGCGAATGAGTAGTCGTTATACTCAGTACCGCTCTAGATGCACTTCCGGGCATCTTACACCGTGCTTGAATGTACCCCGACACCACACACCATCCACGCTTACACCGACTTCCATGTAATCCTGCGTCCACCTCACCACCTCCCCTGTGCAAGCTTAATATCCCTGATTTGATTGAAAACCCTCATCAAACTACCCGCCAGCCTCCGCTTTAGCTCCTCCACAGCAGCATCGGGCTTCATCTCCTCCTTCTCCACGATCGCCATCCTGTCGCCCTCGAAAAAGCACCTCACAGCTCCAACTCCAGGCGCGTTGACAAGCAGACCCATGTAGCACTCTTTACCTTCGTATCCGATACCGATGAACACATCTTCTGTGCTCTGGATGCCGTTGGGACCCAGCTGGTTGTTCTTCCTCACGCGGATGAGGGTGCTGCAGATGTGGGCGACGAGGAACGCGACGTTGTCTGGGTGTGCGTTAGGAAGCAGTGGACGGATGAGAGTGATGAGACGGAGGCGGATGGAGGCGTCGTTGTAGCTGTATTGCTGGGTCGTTTGTATGTATCTAGATGTCAGCTGCGATGGTGCGAGCTGTGATGACGCGACCATGGCGATTGAGTACGTGAGGGGAGTGTATGGCCGTGTAGGTGGATTGGTAGCGGAGGTAGTGGCGGGCGTTGAGACTGACCGAGTTTTGTATGCGTGGATGATGGCTTGACGGCTAGGATGGGAATATTGTTCAGGGAAGAGAGGAGCGGCAGGTTTGCAATTAGACATGCTTGCAATTAGACATGCTTGCACTAGTAGATAAGTCGAGGTGATCGCAAATGATCGTACAATCGCGAGATGTGGCTTGAGAGTACTCAAAAATATGAAGTGAAAGTGAAGCAGGATTGCCCAAGACAGATAGACTGGAGAAGCAGTCGTGTGACTTGACGAAAGACAATCGCAGTGACGAAGGAAAGCCCACCTACTATACCTTTGGCTTACGGTTGTTGCTTCCTTCCGCATGGTGGAGTCTCCCTTCCATGTTGATGCTCTCCCCCCATTTTTTTCAGGAACACGCCTCGGTACCTTGCACCGGCATCAAGCACGGCCTCAACGAAGAGTACTGTAGCTTCGGTCGGGGTATCTGCGCATTCGCCTCATAGGGTGACCTTCCTGCCATTGTCTGCGGTTACACCGGCATAAGGTTTTGTTGTCAGTTGTGCCACAAGTGACGTTCAGTGAGTCTGTATCCAGCTTCTCGTCTGGCCCAGCAAGTCCTTGGAGTATCGTTGTGTGAGCGCGGATCGACAGTCTACCTATCGATGGTCAGTATACTCACTGTATGCGTTTACTCCCATCTCTTACGGCAGAGAAAGAGATACTCAACCACGGAGCGTGCTATCAGTTGCATGTTGAGAAGATCACCGATGCGGTGCTTATGCTGCAATTAGTCGGGCTTCACATAACGATCAATCCAGTTGCTGATCTTGGCAAGCTCTTTTTTTCGTCAGGGAAGGCGGGCGTCATTCGGCCGTTGGCGTCCTTGAGAGAATTCGGCTCGAGAGAAGACATAATCGTTTCTGGAGACCAGTCGCTGGCTGTGACTGATCAGCTGCTTAGCATGGTGAGCCAGATTCACAATGTCAGCGATGTGTCTGCTCAATCTTGATGGCATTCACAAGCTTTACTCGACGTGATCAAGCGGAAAATCCTGTCAGAACGGCACCGGGCTCGAAGAACCTTGACGATAATCCTGAGCTCGTGTTGATCAACGTGTTGGAGGCAAAAATCCAAGGACCGTATTTAGCGTGAATAGGTAGTTCCCTATCTATATATAGACAGCCAGATTCATCGTTGCATGTTACCTGAGGGCGTGAATAGCAGAAGTACTCAGTTGTCGCTGGATATTTTCACGTTTTCCAGCGCCTGTTGCTCACATATGAAAGTTGACACAGATGAAATACAAGTCATGGTGCTGAGGGCTCGAGCAGCCGGAAAGCGAGACCGGAGAAAATTGGGGCCTGCAGGGTTCGATTCGCGCGTGGCTCGTGCGCGCTCCCTTGTCGCCTGTCGCCTGTCGCTCCTGGTATCTGCGACTCCCTGACAACCATCTCTCTCCACAGCGATAGGACCGACCCACGCACCCCACGCGCTCCTTCCCTGCTGCGTTCCCTACGCGTACATTCACTATCAACACTCGCTTTTGCACGACTCTCACTGCGACCCACGAAGCGTCCCTTCACTGTCGCACCTCCCCGGCTCTCGCTGTTCCGTGCCGCAATACACAGCCTCGTCGCCAGAGAACATCGCACCCAAAGCGGCACCACACCTCCTACAACGCTCGACAATGGGGTTCGGCGATTTTACAACACTATGCGCAAAGGCGTCGATACCTCTGTGCGCCCTCGTTGGGCACCAAGAAATCAATGGCGGCGCTGGAATTCAGACGAAATGCTATGCACGAACGATTGAGATTGCGAACACTCTCATCTTCCAGGCGGCGAACGACTTCATGCACATCCTGGCCCTGATAATGACAGTGGTCATGATAATACATGTCCGTTCCAAGTTCACTGCTGTTGGTATGTTGCGCCACTCAACCATGTTTTATAGAACATGCGAAAGTACTAACATGCACGTGCAGGTCGTAAAGAGATCACCTCGTTCTTCTACATCTACTTCCTCCTCACCATTGTTTCGCTCATACTCGATGCCGGCGTCGCTGCACCCGGCTCTGCTGCGTACCCATACTTCGCCGCCGCCCAGAATGGGCTTGTCTCTGCGCTCTGCACCAGCCTGCTGATCAACGGATTCGTCGGTTTCCAGCTGTACGAGGATGGGACAACTCTGTCAGTTTGGTTGCTTCGACTGACCTCCCTCGGCATGTTCATTATTGGCGGCGCCATTTCCCTACTCACCTTCAAGAACTGGGCCGGTCTGGATGCTAAGAACCCCATCGGCGTCTTCGTTGTCACCTACCTTGTCAACGCCATCTTCCTCTTCATCTACCTCGTCAGCCAGATCATCCTGGTCATGGGCACGTTGGAGGACCGCTGGCCGCTGGGCGACATCATCTTCGGCGTCTTCTTCTTTGTCATTGGACAGGTCATCTTGTACGTCTTTGGCGACGTTATCTGCGACGGTATCCAGCACTACCTCGACGGCCTGTTCTTTGCAACTATCTGCAACCTGCTTGCAGTCATGATGGTCTACAAGGTTTGTGATCCCCACACTACCTAAAGCGTTTACCCACTAACGTGTCCAAAAAATAGTACTGGGACTCCATCACTCGCGAAGATCTCGAGTTCTCGGTTGGTGTCAAGCAGCACAACTGGGAAGTCAAGGAGCTCTTGCCAGAGGAGGACAAGCGTGGCACCGTCTACCAGGAGTCAGAGTACGCATCGTCGGTGTACCAGCAACCGTACCCGCGACACTCGCAATACTCTAATCTAGACCGTCACTAAGCGGTAATGACCGTTTCTGTCGCATTTACCTTTCAAACAAGCTCCCTTTCTTGTATAAACGACTCATCAGCATGACATGGCGTTGGCGGCGCATTTGAGCCCAAGTATTACACTCGTAATTTTGTAGCAAGAGGAGGATCTTTGGACAAGATCGTCCAGTCTAGGAGATACTGGCTCAAGAAGGAGCAACTGATACACCTGGCGCCCGAAGCGTGTATCGTGGAGTATTACGACCATCTTGACGACTACCATAGCCTTACATAGTATAGTATTCAGATCGCTGCGGTGACGCAGCTTCCACATCTCTTGTGCACACTCGCCTCGAATGCGGACCAAAGCTTCTCAAACAAACGGTCAAGTGCCGCAGATGCAATCTTCTATGACGCTTTATTGTGGAAGTCTTGGCATCAGCCTTGCACTTTGTGTGCCTCGAGACGGGCGCTCGCTCTTCCTCGTCAAACAAACCAGCATTGGCGAGCTAAACCATGCCTGCCAACCCACGGGCCCACTCCTTCGACAGTGTCCGAGCAGAAATCGCGGAGGCCACAGGTACACATGTCTCTCTCTCTTGCCAAGCTTACAGCGCGTCGCTGGATCGGACCCGGCGCCGGAGCGAGCCTCGAGCCCAAGCTCCAAACCAAAGAACCGGCATCAGCCACCGGAACTTCCGCATCAGGTAACGCCGGCGCAAACACACAGCAACGCGCTCACATCTTCCGCGCGCCTTGTCCTCATGCAGTACTCCTGAGCCCAGTAAAGAGCCTCATGTCGTCGGCTTACCTTTTGACGTCGTGACGGGCATGTTTTACGCGTGCTAAGCAAGACCGGGCGACCTGCTCAATGGCGCGTGGCTGATGGCGCGCCGGAGCTCGATGAGGGGTGACAAGCGGGGTTCGCGAGCTGGGTAAATCTGCGCGGGATATATAGACACGGCCTTTCAGCCGCGAATGCTAGGTCTGATATTCCTTGCGGGCTTTCGATCTTCTGATACCTCGTGCTGGATTTGTTGTAGAATCGATCGAGGAGTTGGTGTACCTAGTGAGTCAATCCAGCTCTGTACATGTTGCGGTTGCAGGCGAACATTAGCAAGCAGGTTACTGACGGCTCTAAGGCACCACACGTGACATCGGATTGTATCGTTGCAAAGCCAGAGCCCAGCATTGAACGGAACAGATATTGGAATTAATCGGAAGCAATCAATTCTCCCTCCATCTCTTACTGCAGCCATGTCGAGGAAGCACTTCTTTCCCAACCCTGAGGGCGTGGTCGTCCACATGCTCCACTCCCTCGTCAAACGCAATTCCTTCATGGGCCTGGACGTGACAAATCGCGTCGTCTACAACACCGCACATCCTCCGGACCAGGTTACCATCATTTCCGGAGGTGGTTCCGGTCACGAGCCCGCTTGGTCTGGCTTCGTTGGCGATGGTATGCTGTCTGCCGCTGTCTGCGGCGACATCTTTGCATCGCCGAGCACCAAGCAGATTATGGCGGGTATCAGGAACGTTCCCTCGAGCGAGGGGGTTATTCTATGTATCACGAACTACACTGGCGATATGCTGCACTTCGGCCTAGCAAGGGAGAAGGGTCAGGCGTTGGGGTACAAGGTTGATGTCATTTGTATGGCTGAGGATGCGGCTCTGGGGCGAGAGAAGAGCGGAAAGGTTGGGAGAAGAGGACTGGCGGGTAATCTGCTCGGTGAGTGGTCAAATTACGCACAACTCTATGTTTGCTGATGATTTCAGTCATCAAGTTGTCTGGTGCGGCAAGTCAAAAGGGGTGGGGCTTCCAGCGAGTACGAAAGATTGGTGAGCTGGGCAACGGACAGTTGGTGACCATCGGTGCAAGTCTGGACCACTGCCACGTGCCCGGCCGAGAAGCGTTTGAATCGGTCCCAGATGATTCATATGTTGTTGGTATGGGTATTCACAACGAGCCGGTACGATACTTCAGCAAAAACACAGCGATGCGGTGACTAACTGATTCAGGGCCTCCGAACAGTATCTCCTATGCCTGCACCGGAAGACATCATCAAGGAGATGCTGACGTACCTCCTCGATCCCAAAGATACCGACCGCGCTTTCGTACCTTTCTCGCCGTCTGACTCGATCGTCATGCTCGTCAACAATTTCGGTGGACTGTCAAACCTCGAGTTCGACGCTATGGTCAACATTGCCCTGCAAGTGCTCGAAAAAGACTACAACCTCAAGCCCGTCCGGATCTACGCCGGCGTTCTCGAGACCTCCCTTAACGGCCAAGGCTTCTCTATCACCCTCGGCAACATGTCGGGCATGGCCAAGGGCATGGAGTTGAGCGATGAAGAGGTCATCGAGCTCCTCGATGCACCCACCAATGCCCCGGCATGGCCCAAGAACGGCTACCGTCCCACAAACTACAGCAAAGAAACAGAGGAACTTCGCAACAAGGCCAACGCCGCATACGAGAGTCAAAGCGGCCGTGACAAGGGCCCTGAAACACCTGCCTCTCTCATCCCAGCGCTTCGGAAAGCATGTAATGATGCGCTCGCCGCAGAACCCAAGATCACACAATATGACTTGCAAATGGGCGACGGCGACTGCGGTGAGGCTGTAGCCGGTGTATGCAAGAATATCCTTGCAAACCTCTCCTCTATCGAAAAGGACCCTCCCGCCGTGCTCGCTCTCCTTGAAAGCGTAGGCGAGAACGTCGAAGACGTCGGCGGCTCCCTCGGCGCCATCCTCTCCATCCTCGTCACAGCCTTCACCAATGCACTCTCGACCGCAACACTGCAATCCAACGCGCCTCTCTCCATAGAGACAGTGTCTAAGGCAGCATCGGTGGCGCTGGAGAATCTGAAGAACTACACTAGTGCAAGAGAGGGCGATAGGACCGTGATGGACGTGCTGATTCCGTTCATCGAGACGCTGGCGAAGACAAAAGATCTGGCGAAGAGTGTCGAGGTTGCGCAGCAGAAGGCTCAGGATACTGCGACGATGAAAGCGAAGTTCGGCCGCGCAACTTATATCGGTGATGGGATGGGCGAGGATAGGAGCAAGATCCCGGATCCGGGGGCGTACGCAGCAGGTGTATGGCTGAAGGGATTGGCGGAGGGTTTCAAGGGTGCCTAAGGAGAGTGTCTATGGAGAAGAAGATACGTAATTACACATTTAAGTTTATTGAAGTAACGTTAAGAATTGTGCCTGTGCAAGCAAAGCATATGTGCGCGTGTAATGGCCATCGCTTGTGGGATTCCCATGCGCCTGTGTCCAATTCAGCGTGTGACAGCTCGACAAGCAGAACCATCTACATATACTCGCGCATCCCCACAGGATACCATCACTAACTGAACCCCACAAAAACATGAGCAATACACAGCCCTCCAGATCTACCGACCCTGCGCCCTTGTTACTAGCCATGCACCTCCGCCACCTCGTAACCGACGCAGATAAGAACCTCGCCGAAGACACAATCCAAACCTGGATCCGTAAGCCCTCATTCCAATTCCGATTCCCATCGCACCACCACTCATAGAGCATCGCAGAGAACGCCTCCGTCCTCATCCGAGACGCAGAGTAGCGCGCCTTGCGCCGCATGACCGCCGCCCTTCAGTGGCTGAAGATGAAGCTCCGCACTCCGATCGTTGATAACTTGATATTCCTGGGCGATTATACGCTGTTCTACGAGTGGCCGGGGAGTGGCATGGAGCCCATTGTTCGTGCGGATCAGGTCCAGTATGGGTTCTGGGGGCTGAGGAGTGCGGTTGCGAGGGCGGCTACGCGGATCATCGCGGCGAATAAGGCTACAGGTTTGCTGATGTTGGGATATGGCTCTAGGGTTAGGTTTGTGGGATTGCAGTTGGTTTGGTGGGAGATGTGTGGTTTTGGGTTGAGGTTTGCTGTGTCGCGACTCGCGCGTGTGCATGTCATCACAATCAATCGTTCTCCATTTTAGCACTACTCTCTATAACGCGCTACTTTACCCATATGATCACGCAGATTACCGGGGCATAAGATATGATGAATTAAGCGTCAAGTTGGCCCATGCGTCCCTCTCTCTGGTGGTTCCTCAGCCACGTAGCAAACTCCTCAACATCCTCCCTTAGGGTTCGAAACATCTTCTGATCACTCCTAAGAAGCGTACGTGGCGTAGACCTCCAGTTTAGCGCCCCCATAGGGAGCGTTGGTATCCTCCTCCCAGTACCACACTCCGTACTTGTCGTCAATTCTCCACAGGTACACATTCTGTTGCGGTATCAAGTGCAAATGTGAAATAAGTATATTCTGTTGTTCTTTGCTGTTGTTCTGCTTGTGTCTGGCCTTTCGAAGGCTGGCTGCGGGGTCTGTTTTGCATGACGTGTTTGTGATGCAGCTGAGATAAGAGGTGCTCAACAACATGAGGAAGCAGCACCAGACCACCGCCAACAGCACGTGATCTGCTTCTCCTCACAACCGTTACACATTCTCAGGGCTCTTACGCAGCATGCCGAACCTGCTCTCTTCTTGGTTTATGACGATGGTGATGATGTCATCTGTGCGGTCTATCAGTGTGGTTGATGCGGAGTGAGATGAAGGGCGTACGGAGGAAGGCGTTCATTTCCGCCTCTGAAAGTTCGGGGTCAGCTTTCTTTGCCATTTCTTTCAAAACGACTCACAGATCGTTGCTGGTCCCGGGCTCAGCCATAGTTTAATCTGGTCTGTCAGCCATAGCTGCGATTTTGTTGCTGCGTAGAGGTTTACAGTGTCTCAGTCTTTATATACCCCGTACTCTTGGTAAACTCATAAGGTAAAGAGACATGCGCACCTGGCATGGCCCTTTGATAGACTCATTGATATCTCGTGCTTACATTATGGTAGCAAGCAGAATCTGCTCAAGACCAGTTATCTCCTCAAATGCAGCGCCTTCTCGAGGCACAGAATGACAGACACACAATTAACCTCACCAACTGAAGACAATATTGAAAGTCTGATAGAGCACCTGCGAGACTTGGGCGGGCGGGCAGACCGGTTTTTAGATCCCTTCGAAGCGTAGACCTTTGTTGGTCAGACATCTCCTTTTCTTGCTCCCTTCCTAGGCTGATAGTTACCACAGACGACACCATCACCATAATCCAGTTGCTCGACAAGGGCGGACACTACCCGTATCTCCTGGACAAATGCTACCTGTTTCTCGAAAGGCTGAGCATTGAAGTCACATACGGACTCTATGTGCTGATATACCATCATGGGAGTGGTGCTGACGAGGACCAGTTTGGAGCGCTGAGAGCGAAGACGTCCTTCTATGCTAAGTGGATTAGGGACAATCAGTCGGATGAGCTCGCGGCGAGGCGACTGCAAGGTAGTTCAGGCCCAGAACAGTCGTGAGGAAAGTATCGTACTTGATTCACTAAATCTTGATGGTGATACATCGGTTTTCCAGCTCAAGGATGGAATGTTGAGCGATCAAAGGAACGTTAGTTGGTCGATCTTGCGTTAATGAGGCTAGTCATGCTACCTTACCCTCGATGGTCTCGTCCGTTCCTCAATTGGCGGAGGGCCAACGTTTGCTGTTCAAGATGCTGTGTACCACAACTTGAGGGTATGATACAGCTGGTATTGACCGGGGTCAACGAGCCGTCCTATATGCGAACTGGCGGTATGGGGGCGATCATGATCGGTGCGCAAACCCCCGAGACTCGACTTGACAAACGCATAGTTTTCCACCGAGAAGAACGTATCTCTGGACGAATTCGGTGTAAGGGTGGTGGCATGTCGCACCAGCAATCGAAAGTTAATCGCACCCGCCAATCCCACGTTAGGAGGGGTTTCTGGGAAGGTGTGGGTCATTGACAATCAGAGGCTGAACATAGCAACGACCATGAGCCTACTGTTTGACATCCAGAGGTGGCTTACCGCATCAAAGAGTCTTCAGTAGGCCAAGAAAGCCTAAATTGTGCCCGTACACTCACGTGTTGCCGGCTCCTACTTGCGCTATAGACGCCTTTGTAGTCTACGTAGCTTCGGAGCGTCCTCCGATCGGCAATAAGCGCGAACTGCGGCATCGAAGCTTCAACAACAACTGCCTATGCATGCTGAGTGAATGTTAATCTTGATTGCTTGATGTTAATTGTTTACTATCGTAATTGGTCGTGAATGTAAAATATGGAACTTGCGGTTTGGACAAGATGGTGAGCGCAAAGTATAATTCAATGTTGTTGGACTGACCAATACTCGGATCTCGGACCTCGCAGCCTGCCGTCGTTGCTGTCGCCATTATCTGCGGAGCCGGTGGGACCGGGCCTGAAAGAACACTGCGTTGCAGTGCAGCGAGTAGATCTGCTAATGTCGTTTCTCGCTACCGATGATCTGCTCGAGTTGAAAGAAGCCCTGTTCCTATTGGGATTGACGAGACAGATCGTTGAATCGAGTTAAGAGAGCGTGGCGTCTGTATGGGCTGAGGTAATTGCACTACGTCCGAGGAAAATCCTGTAGGAGGTCGACGTCTGCAAGCTTCGTACAGAACATCAAAGAGAACCAAGACTGGTGCCCGCCTCACTCCAATACCGAGGTACACATAGAACACCGGGTCAACGAGGGTGACATGTGTAGCTAGCAAGACTGCAGTGTCGTCCCAGTCAGGTGTGATATGTTCTGTGGGTGTGGTGTATATAATAGAACGCGTATATGGTGTATTGCATGAAATTGCCCGGCGCTGTAGGCTTGGAAGTTTTCAGTCCCAAACCTGGCGACAGCTGACGTTGATGCGTTTCGTACCCATGTAGCCCCTCCACTTCTTGAAAGCCTTCTCCTCTGCTGCGGTCGCACCGGGAGTACCCACCGGCCACTTGGCGAGAAAAGAAGGACAAGTGTTTGTTATGGTCCTCGCCATTGCATGCCAAGCCCATCTTGCGTTACCGGTGAGGTGTACGCAATCGCCACTTCGAACCCTGATTGCGACAGTCCGTGGCATGCTTTCTCCTTCCCCGTCATCCTCTCCTTTAGCCATGATGAAGATGCCATCGCATCCAACACTGAAACTGGCAAGCGCACGTTGACATTGCTCGCTGACGTCGCGATGGACCGGCATGAAGTCCTTTGCGCCGTACACGAGCACGACACCAGACTCCGGGTAGATATGTGGAAACAGGCCCGTCACGAGGTTTGATAGGTCGCCTGGGAACGGCGTCGTATGCTTTGCGTAGCTTCTTGTCGGCCAATCGTACTGTTCACCAAGAGTAAGCCATCGTAGCTTTGTGTACAAAAATTGCTCGTTGTTGAGCGGCTTCTGCTTATCTGGGACCTTCGGCGCTAGTACGTCCTCTGCGGCAGATCTGTCACGCAGGAAGAAGCTGTTGTCGAATCGGAGCGGCTCTGAAGTCGGTTTTGGTGGATACCGAATATCGAAATCTGCTTGCAGGTTGATCTTATGACTTGGGTCCGCAAGGTCTCGATGCATCAGGCAGGACGTGAAAAGGACTTGAGTCTCTGGAGGCAAAATTCCGGGTACGACCTGAAGCCCTGGAAAGTCCCGATGTTCAAAGATTGGCATATCGACCACAGGCGTAGACAGCGGTCGTCCGCCTGCGTAGGCTTGGCATGCAGCTTCGATGCGTGAAGCGGGGATAGCACCGGCTGAGCGCCAGATATCTTTCTGTTCAGGTGTGAAGTCATCACGTCTGCTCAGGTCGAAGACATCAGGATTGTTTTCGAGCTCAGCTTTTCTCATGCTCTGATATCGCCAGTGCTCTTTCTGAATAAAAGTCGGCGGGTTTGCATGTGTATCACGGTGCGCCGAGCCTCTCTATACAAGGCGTCAGCCAGACTCGCTCACCATGCAAGCAACGACATACGAACGCGCTCGGTATGCTCCGTAGACAAGTCCATTGCTAGTTTGGGCTTGGTGGGCGCGCCACGACAGGCTCGCAGTCTTGGAGTCGCTGTGATGAGGCTGCGCAACGCTGTTGATCCTTGGGCGGCGTTCAGCAGTCTCATCAATCATCGAGTTCACCAGAGAGTGAATACAGAAGAGATGACTTGATGCTGACGCTGCTTGTGGTAACAAGGGGCAGGGCGCGAAAAGTCCAAACGGCTTGATCTGTGCGTGCTTACATAATCTACTCGCGTCCTGCGTCATTACGTGACCACTGACCACACTTAAACATCACAACATCATTAGAGATATGCCGCCGCCACGTACCTTTTACACGAAGATTCGTTGAATGTTGGACCGTATATGCTCTGTAGTCGTATTGCTTAGCAGAGAACACCCTACGGAAAGCCACTCGAGACATTCCTCTCGGCATGTCATAGCTCCAAGTTGATGGTACTTCGCACTAGTCGGCGCAACTCGATCGCTAACGTTGAAATTCCTAGCTTTGTAGCCTAGCGCTACTATCTTGCCAGCAGCGTCAGATGCGCAAACACCACCATTGTCGACAGAGATAGGGTACCGGTAGTCGCCTTCGCGCAGCAGAGCTACGTAAGCAGACGGCGTGAATGCGAATGACAACATTTTGATGTCCAAGCGTCTCTGTCAGAGTCCTAGTTGGTTGTACAACTGACAGTGGGTATGTTGGTGCAGTGCGGCGCCAGGAACGGGCTATCTTTGGATAAGACATACCAAAGATTGATTTGATATGCTTTGGACGTGGACGTCCACCAGGATCCCACGCGTTGGCATTTTGCACATACAAGCAGGCCTCAGTATGCAGTCGTATCGTCATGACAACATGCCAGTGAGCTGGCGGAGTTCCGCTCCTCCTTACGCGCTTCCCAATGCGTATCGCACGCCACCACGAACGGCACTCTCAATGATAACGGTCAACCCCTTTTCGAAACATTTCGAAAGTCAACGACCTCGGGTCTTTCATATTCAGCAAAAGACTATTCGACTGACTATGTAGAAGGCGCGAGGGATACGTTCTGCTCAGCTACACAGGCTTCTCCAACCACCTCCGTCACCCCGAACCTTCTCATGCAACTTGACAAGCTTGCAAGGTTTGAGGCTATTTCCTCGTCGATCCTTGTATTTGATCCACTTCAACTGCTCCTAAATATCCTCGAAGTGGAACTTCACGAGCAACGTGCATGTCGTCTCGTGACCGCACAAGTCAAGCATGCGGATGAAGCTCCACCCAGTCACGGCATACATCAGTCTCACAGCCGCGACAGCAAAGATGGGATTGCGCGCAAAACTGTCATCGCTCTTGATCAGCAGACGGAGGAACACAAGCTCGCTGTCTTCGTATTCCCAGTCAAGGGTCTCGTTCCATATCGGGTCGGTTGTGGGAGAACTGTCTTTGTGCATCAGGTGTGCCAGCTTAGACAATTTGTAGCCCGCGGTCTTGCGCTTGGGGGGCATGTTGTTTAGGTCATTAGGGTGCACGAGCGTGCACGTCACGTATGGCTTGATGTCGCCATGTTCGCGGTCGCCAGGCAGAGGTACGTCTGTTGCACCGGCAATGTGGAGGCGAAGTCTCTTCCGTCTGCCAGAGAGGACGTTGCCGTTGCCGTCAGCACGGAGAGCTGCAGGCTTCAGGACGTAGCCACCAGAGCCGGCGAATAGAGCTTCGTTGAGTTGCATGCTGGCGCCGAATGTTTGCCAATTTAAGGCACAAACCTGTGCGCCTAAACCCCAGAAGGGAACTGGCGGGAGGTTTTTCGACGAGATGCGGGTTCCTTTTGGGTACACCCGCATAAGATGGTGCGCATTATGTCGAGCGATCTTGTGACTGTTGCCTGGCAGGTGCTTCTTCAATCCCGACTCTGAGACATTGATGAGCTGATGGTGAGGTGCATTCTCGAGACCCGCCTCGAACCACGAGTTATTGACTGGTTTGACACTTTGCGCGTACACACCAAGCTCGGCAAGCTCTGGGACGATGATGCCCTGTGGGCACTCTTGCTTCTGTTGGTTGTACTGTTGATGCGCCTTTCTCGCTTCCTCATCCTCAGAACTGTCGCTGTCACTGCTGCTATCTTCTTCGTTTGGCAGGTGATATTCAACAATGACCACAATCTTGTTCCTGAGCTCGGCCAGAGTGACATGATTGCCTAAGCCTTTTTGTTCGAGATGACCCTTCTCACGCACAGCCTTGCTGAGTAGTCGCTGGCCAAATACCTCTTGCATGATCCAAGCAAGTCGCATCTGGCCATGGGCACCACAATGATTCTCCAGTGAGATCATGATTGGTGCTGCGTCCTTCTCGTTGGCGACTTCCCGGTCGACCACGTCGCGAATAGTCTCGCACACTGTCCGGAAAGGGATGTTAGACACTAGAGTGTAGCCGTGGGTAACTTTTGGTTCGTCCTGGTTGTCATCGTTGTCCTGCCTCAGTGAGCCTTGTCACTTGTTCCTGACCTCGAAGCTTCTTACCCATGCGTCGATCTCAACGCAACGAGACCCAGTAAGCAAAGCAATCTCATATGCTGAGGCATCAGAAGACCCGTACAGCTGATGAGCCATCAGATAAGTGTTGTGACTTGAGCTTATGAAATATTCGGGAAGCGGATGATTGCGGTCGAGCACTTCAGGTGGTACTTTGATGTGGGGTCTGTCGAGCAATTCCCTCAAGGCGGTCGTTGGTTGCTCGATATCCACACCAGCTTCTCCTTTCGACAACACGTTTTCTTTATACAGAACCTCCCTCAGCGCTTTGCTGACGCGAAGTTTGTCTTTGGTGATATGCGACTCCCGCGACGCATGGCCTCCGCCAGCGATGGTGTTGGCATCGATGACTTCGCCCTTATCTTCATCGTCGACCTTGGAAGATCCAGAGAAGGGATTGAGTTTGGAGATTCCAGAAACCAAGCTTGACATTTTGCCTGTGGCTCAGGCTGTGGCTGTGGTGTTGAATATTGGAACGTAAGGATGATGTTAGGTTGGAGGGATGGCGGGGAGACGTCCGCGATGACGCCAAAGATCAGGAGAAGGCTGCGCTTGCGCTTGGCTGGCCTCGACCGGCTGGAACGGAAGTAGCGGCCCACCCAGCGAAACATAAGACCTCAACGACGGCATCAAACATGTTTTGGATGTCGAATGCGTCGTCGCCGCCCGCCTGCTCCTTTTGAGGGTACGAGCCATCGACGAGTCAGCTGAGATTGTTTCTTTCACGGCACTGACTAAAGAGCCGAAACGCGCACAAACGCGATGAACGTGTTGAACCACTTCCTCCGCCTGCATCATCACATGGCCAACTGTCGTCATCTGGATAGATCAGCAATCACGTCGCAAAATTGCGCAAAGTCATCATGACCCAGTCCAAGGAGTGCAGTATCTGCGAGATTGTCATCATGCCGTCGAAACGAGATTACCCAAGATCTTGCTCTCCATCACATCTGCCCTGTCTTCTTTGATCAAGGAAGCAGAAACAGCGACATCTTTCAAACTTGAGCTTTTATCACACCTCTTTTTAGTTTGTCCGGCTCACCCGCTACTCAAGCTCTCTAAGCGACCGAGAATGATGATCAATTGCAGTTCTTAAGCATCCCCCACAATCGCCAAGGTGTCACCCCGCAACCCCATGAAGTTCTTCCGTCCAGTACACCCCCAGCGTATCCAACGTGCAGATCGTACGGAAAACAAATCCATACTTCTCCTTTGCACATCAGACCAAGTCAGCATGGACGTGAATACTTGGATGAGAAATCTCCGGAGCTACCTGGAAGGCGTCCAGTCAGAAGCTTCCACGATGTGGATCAGCCTCACGATGGTTTACCTTTTCTGAACTTCCAAGACTGTAAAATATTCGCAAGCACCAAGGTATCCTGGACAAACTCTTGGCCAGCGTGGTCGACAGCAGCAAGATGAGCTGAAGTGTGAGACGAATGTAGGCCCCCTCTGTAGGAGAAGCAGTTGTATATATATAAGGTAGGTAACTCTACACGAGCTCTAAAGTATTCTTGTCTTCCTTGTCCCCCTTTATCATCTATCAACATCATGAGGATCCTCGTTGTCGGCAGCTTAGCACTGGGCAGCGCCGCTGTAGCGTCAGCAAAGATTACCCTGCCAACCGGCTGGTTCAAGATATCCCCCGAGGAGAAAATAGATTCTGGAAATTTCAATGGCAAGCCGCGATACCTGACGTGGATGGCGGACTCTCAGATCAAGCACGGCGTAGAACCTACGTTCGCGTACACAGTCTCGGCATATTTATCTGGCGTTCTCCTAGCATACGACAGGACGGGTGACGACAAATACCTTGACTATGTCAAGCGCCACGCAGACACCGTGCTGTACCCTGCTTGGAATGGCGAGATACTGCTCCACAACAACAGCAACTCTATCGACGACATCCGCTTTGGCCACACGTTCTTGGACATGTACAACCTGACCGGCGGAGAAAATATCTATAAGATTGCTGCAGACAGCTTGAAAGACCAGATCGATCGCTCATTCCGTACTCCAGATGGTGGCTTCTATCATCGTTATCCGGCATACATTGATCAGATGTGGCTTGACGGCATTTACATGCTCGATGTCTTCTACGCACGCTGGACACACGAATTTCAACCGGACAACTCGACGGCCTGGGATGACATCGCCCGGCAGTTCGATCTTATCGATGCTGGTACCACAGTCGACCACGAGCGCACTAACGGTCTGCCGGTACATGGCTTCGATGTTAGCAAGAAGTCCATCTGGGCTGATCCTGAGACTGGCGCTGCGCCTCACGTATGGGGACGTGCCGTAGGGTGGTACATCATGGCGCTTGTCGACACTCTCGACTACTTCCCTGAGAAGCATGAGGGCCGTGTACGACTTATCAAATACCTTCAATCCGTTGCTGATGCCATCGTCGCGGCTCAAGATCCTAAGTATAAGGGCTGGTACAACATCATGGATCCCGGACTCGAGAATCGCTCTGGCAACTACATTGAGAGCTCTGGGTCTGCCATGTTCGTGTACGGTCTGCTCAAAGGAGTCCGTCATGGCTACCTTGAGGACAAGAGATACCTTGATGCTGCTCTTGACGGGTACAAACTTATGACCGAGACGTTCGCTAAGAAGCGCAAGGTCGATGGCGCCTTAGTCTGGGAATGGACCGTCCAGACCGGCAGCCTGAGCTCAAATGGCACCTTCGAAGTAAATATCCAACATGACCGGTACTAAAAAGCACGCTGACAGACTTAGTACTACGCAAGCATGCCTTTATTCGAGAACGATCTGAAGGGGGTCGCTCCTTTCCTCTTCTCCAGCTACGAGTACGAGTTGTACATTGAGGGAGAGAAGAAGTGAACGATCTATGGACAGAGCGACTTGAACCGTAGAGCACTAGACCTGTCCAGAGCACCATGGTGTCTTTTTCGCCAGACATTTTAAAATTGTAATGCACTGCCACTGCGAATTCTCCAAGAACAGCTCTCTCTGTGCTTGTAGCCCGCCCGACTCACTCTTCTTACTGACATATCAATCGCTGACTTCATTAATAAACGAGTCCTCGTCCATCCGGCGGCGAGGCTGGATGCCGATCATCGGGCCTACTATACTGACAGCTCCAACCCGCATCTGAACGAGTCAGGTCTCCAATCCTCAAAAGCCTACACACAACAATACAACAACACACGGCCCTTCTTTTGCTGAAAAGTTGATGTATTCCCGCCCTGGAGCAGAAAATATGAGCCGTACGACCGAACGACTTAGTCAACAGCCTTACATCACTTAAGTGGTTCTCCTCACGTCGGAAGAGGTCCGCGAACAGCGACAACCCGACAACTCGGCAAACACCGCTAGCGATCGCTTTCAGTGGTCCCCGACGTCATTGGGCCATGCGGTGTCGCCGACGAGGGACTCTCGGAATGCGGGGTCGTTGCCGGCACGGCAGAGTGTGAGGAAGCTGAAGAGCTATAAGAAACATATTACGCCCTTCGCGAAATTCTCAATACCCGATTGAAGCGTGAGTATACTACAACATGGCACAGATACTCCAGAACGCTCAAGAGAAGCTCTCGACCATGACGGGAGGCATGCTGGGGGCCGAGTACAAGTTTCCAGCGTTCGACGAATTGCCGAAGGTGGAAGGCATGCCTCAGGGCTCGATATGGGGCTTCTATGACAAGAATGGAAAGAAGGATGAAATCGGAGGTCCGTCAGCATATCTACACCAGCTCAAGCGCGACGCGAATAATCTCAAAACTAATGCCTATCAGCGATCAACCTCCTCACCCCTGCCGTTGTCCAAGCTGCGTCGAAAGAAATCAGCACCGGCGAATCCATCCAGCTCGACTGGCCATTACACAATGTCCAGTTCCCTGGCTTCAGCCGCAAAGAGTTCCATCAGAAGAAGATCAACTTCTCTGACTTCACCGATTGGAAGGCTATGGATGATGAAGTCTACATCAATACCCAGTCTGGCTCGCAGTGGGACAGTCTAAAGCACTTCGCCCACCAGTCCAGCGGCAAATACTACAATGGTCTCACGCACGCAGAAGCGGCGCAGAATGACAGAAATGGTACGCATAATTGGTGTGAAAGGGGTGGCATTGTAGGGAGAGGTGTACTGTGCGACTGGGTAAGGTGGTGAGTGTAAATATATCGCAAGCGGGGAAGTCAGAGCTGACACATATACAGGTATGAAGAGAAGAATGGAACGGCGCCGCTGGCGGTGTCAAGACACGAGATTCCCATAATGGAGATCGAAGAGACATTGAAGTGGCAAGGCACTACACTCAAGCAAGGGGACATCCTGATGATTCGCAGCGGATACGTGAGATGGCACAACGAAGCAAGCGAAGCAGAACGCAAGTCCGGTACCCGTGACAATAGCGATGCCATTGGGGTCCAAGCCAACGAGAACACCGTGAGATGGTTCTACAACAAGCACCTCGCAGCGCTTGCGGGCGATACAGTTGCATTCGAGGCGTGGCCACCGAAATTCACCGATGGTTGGTGTCTCCACGAGTGGATTCTTGTGCACTGGGGAATGCCGATTGGCGAGATGTGGGACCTGGAGAAGTTGAGTGAAAGGTGCAAGAGTATGAATCGTTACAGTAAGTCCGGGGATCTGCCGATGCGTGACAAACGATGCTGACCACATCCTCATAGCTTTCTTCCTTACGAGTGCACCCTTGCATGTTAAGGGTGGAATTGGAAGCCCGCCTGGCGCGATCGCGATCTTCTAGGTCTACCTCATTGAAGTTATCGTACACTGTTTTTAATGTGCCTTGGAAAAATTCGATCAGCGAGTCGCATTTGCTCTGGAATCCTCGAGATCCAATTCACAGTCGAATACACACTGAATCGCATAATGCTTCGTCAATACCTTCTCGAGGCCTCTGGAAACTCTGCACCAGCCGTGGATTCGTGCGAAAACTTGCAACATGTATGCAATATATATACCATCGCAGTTGTCTAAATACGACAGATACAAGGCTTTCAGCATATCCCGTATCCTGGTCACTGGCAACGTTTGACTTTGACAGTGATATCGACAACCCGACAGTCCATGAGCTAAACGATCGCAGTCTTGAAGCCGTCGCTAACGCACGCACTTCTCCTCCTCCACGTCCACGCTTCGACTACGTCCCGGTCGATATCAACAACGAAGCCACACGTGGCGGTAACCAAGCCTCTTTCTGAGAAGAGATTGAAGGCGACGTCAACAGCCGCAACATAATCTCTGGCAAGCGTACCGGTAGACACCAGCATCTCCACGTCGCTATCGCACTCCACAACCCACATATCACACCGCAGCTCGCTCGCTGCTTCACCACAGAAATCGCCGAAGCCCCAGCTGCTACAAAGGTTGAGCTCCCGCCTGAGCCAACCTCATCTAGGCAAGTTCGTCAGCACCTATACAAAAATGGCTAGATTGAAGCTGAGGGCGCAGAGTACTAGTCTCATGATGACAATGGTACCTAGGAGATTGTCATCACGTCGCCGAGCGGCGTGTGGGTGTTGCCAACCAAGTGGATATAAAATTACAAGCTGATAGACAATGGCAAGCTTAAGCGTCTTAAGGCTTGGCTTGTTGTCTGCGGCAACCAACAAGATGCCTACTTCTGGCGTGAGACCTACGCAGCAGTCGCTCGAGCCACCACGTTGGAGGTGTTGCTTGCCATTGTTGCTGCCCTCAACCTGAAGTGTGACCAAGCCGATGTTGTCACAGCTTTCCTTAACAGCTTGCTTAACCACGATGAGGTTGTCTACATCCGCCTCCTAGATGATCGCAAGGTACGAATCTAGAAGGCCTTGTATAGTCTCCGCCGCTCACCTTAACTCTGGTACGAAGAGCTGGCTTGCCTTCTAGTCACTATCAGCTTCAACCCACTGGAAGCTAACCCGTGTGTCTTTAAGCACAACAACAGCAGTCTAGCAGCCTAATTAGGGGTGTGAGTATGGTCTACATTTTATCCCTTTTTAGCTGAAACGAACACCTATACCCATTTACCACCATAAAAATCGATCGCCAGAATATTTGATCTCCAGCTTGTTACAGGACGCTAGTTATTCAGACTTCTCATATTGACGTCTTTGTCTTGCTGTCCGTTATAGTTCGGGGCAGCAAGGTGTTGTACAGAAAAGTACGGTTGTGTATTTGCAACTTCATCAGTGACAACTTGAATAGTGATTATGTACTGAGTCTGTGAAACTTGCGAGTCTAAGCAATGTCAAATATATGCTCTGCCGGCTATTATTACCAGAGAACTTTTGAAATGTTACAACATCCTTAGACAGCATCTCATTTCTCCTGGACGTCTTCGTCCTGTGGCGAGGCAAAATACCTGTCGTTGAAACGAGACACTAGAAATAACCCCCTTCTCCCATGAACATGAATTGCGAATGAGACAAGGAAGTGAAAAGCCGGAGTCGGCTATGACAGCCGCGACAACGATGCCTTCCATGCTAGGATCATTTCTCGTCCTCTGGAGGCTCGAAACCGCAACGCGGTAGATCTTGTTGCGGATCTCTCGAGGGAAGTCGAGAAAACGAAACGTCTCCGTCAGTCGAGATGCAGCCATTGGGGCTAAGCGATAGGGGCGATGATGGGAGGTCGACAAAGAGGAGGTTTGGGGAAACTGAGAACGTCCAGAGTGCTGAGAAGGGCAAGTGCAGAGACGCGTGAGGGGTCCGACGCGTTGACTAGGAGACGAGAGTGGGCTGCGCATCATGGACCAATGGAAATCCCAGGCTCCCGGTCATCGGTCACGTGCCGACGCGTCCTGGACGCACATCACCCATGAACATGGCACTTGTGGTGATTGCTGCTACCAAAAATAGTTTAGAGATTCCTGGTTATATACTGTTATATACCAAGAGATGGGATTCTCTTCGCTGCATATCACCTGGCGAACACCTATACCGTCCCCCTTGTGAACCTGCTGGTGGTATTAGTAAGCCTTCTCGATCTATGCCCTCATGAAGCTTCATTCAGAGAGCCTGTCGGCTAGATATGTCCCCATATCATGTACTCTTCAACCACTCGTCCGTAGATCATGTACTCTGGTACTGAGTACTTGATGCAAACACGACGTCAGAGTACTGCAATGGCCAACACCGCCCAGCACCGAGAGTCGATCACGAGATAAGCAACACCAAACTTACAGTCTTGCATGTTACAGAAAGACCAAGCTTAGAAGATGCGAGAAACTGTGAATTACATAACATGCGATATAATCGGAATTGGTATATCATGATCTATCAAACAAACGAACTCCGAAGCGACAATGTCGTAAAATCTTCCCCTGGGTATGTCGTGAACAAGACAGTCAATGCCAGCGCCCCTCAAAATCTATGATGTGCATCCTCCGCCTCTCCAACCTTGCTCACCGCCCCCTTTCCCCCACACGCTGCCTCCTCATCATACTTATCCGGTTCGCTATCCGAGTACGCAACACTGATATCCAGGATCTCATCGCCCACCTCACACCACACATCGCTCGTTGCAGGCACAGGACTAATTTTGCAAAGGCCCCAGTACACACTGCTCGCAACGAGGAAGCCCGCGAAGAAGTTCAAGTCGTAGATGCGTTTGGCGCCGATGGGGACTTCGCGACCGATCGCGCCCGCGAAACCGACGACGTTGATCATGATGCCTGCGATATAGGCTACATATCCGCGCCAGTGAAATCCAAGCGTGTAGTAGTACGGGCCTGTCTTCTTTCCAGAATAGAGATCCTTGATTTGAAGGTAGCCCTTGCGGACGAGGTAGTAGTCGCTGATCATAACGCCCGCGATGGAAGATAGAAACACGCTGTAGGCGGAGAGGTAGGTGGTGAAGCTATTCGTGCTGCTAAGCAGGTTCCATGGACACATGACGAGGCCGACGAGCGCGCAGATGTAGGATCCGCGACGGATGCTGATCCAGCGCGGCAGTAGAGCGCTCATGTCTGTGCCGGCGGAGATGGAATTCGCAGCGATATTCGTGCCGAGCTGAGCGAGTGCAAAAGCTGCGGAGATAATAAAGACTCCGAATCGTTGACCGCTACCGCCTTCTTCGAGGAAGGCTTTGAGAAGGTCTAGAGGGTTCCATATTGGGTCGCCACCGAAGATGACGGTCGAGGATGAGGACACAATGATGCCGATGAAGGATGTTATGGCGAAGCCGATGGGGATGGTGAGGAGCTGAGGAAGGAAGGCATCCGAAGGCTTGCGGGCAAATCGCGCAAAGTCGGGATCATTGACGATCAGAGTAGCGAAATTAGCAATCGCGGACATGATGCCGCGGACCATGAGCCACCCAAGCTCGGAGCCGTGGACTTTGCCGGACTGATGAACAATGGGGCCGATACCTTTGGCACGAACGACTGCCCAGATGAAAAACGCAATGCCAGCGGTGGGAACAACGTACGCCTTTACTGTGAATAAGTGACGGATCTTGTGCACAGCAGGCCAGAGAAATGGTAAGGATCCAAGCCAGAAGAAGACGAACGATACGAAGTGAACAGTGTTTGTACCAGAATTTGGAATACCGTTTGTAACACCACCTGGTCCTTCAGTCTCGGGGTCTCGCCAGTTGCTCCAGATAGATCGGATCATGAGGTATACGCAAGTGCCTCCAATCCAGCCTTGTACACCGTACCAAATACACGCCATGGCGGCTCGGTTGAATACTGGCCAGAGAGAACCCCAAATACCGAAGGACGAGCGGTTCACAACGGGGAACGAAATGTGGTAGGTGGCACCGATACGGCCAGTCATGCAAACGAAGCACGCCGCAATGGTGTATCCAATCCACACGCACAACCAGGACTGCCACCATGAGAGTCCGTCGGCAATATTCGATCCTGAAATCATCCATGTGTTGATGTTGAAGGAATCAGCGATCCAGAATCCAACAAAGTTCCACGCGCCTGAGGAATGTTAGCAACAGTTTGGAGGTATTCATTAATCTTAATCATACCCCACTGGCGACGCTCAGGCTCGACGGGTGCAAGATCGTGGTTGTAGAGCATAAGCTGGGCGGACGTGAGACCCGGTTCGCTCTCCACAGCAAACCTTCTCGCATGGTGGGCGATCTTGGACTTTTTGACCGTTGTGGCAGCCATGGTGACAAGATTCTGCGTCAAGAGTCCAAATCTGAAAAATGTTCGAAGTGGTCGTTATTCATCCAAGTAAGCCTTGGTGTTGCAGGATTGCTGACCCTGGCTCCAATGACGTTAGCACTTGGGTTACCGCGCTTGCTGGAGGTTCGTGAGGCTTGGTAAAGCGTGACTGATGTTCAGTGTGATCGACGATTGGTAGGTAGACCCCAAGCTATGTGTATGAAGGCAGGCAACTAGCTCTGATTCGTGCCACTAGTGAATAATGTGAGGTTGAACTTGCGCTCAAGGGTCCTCCTGATCTGGCCTGCATCATGGAGCATCACTTGATATTTATAACCATCCGCCTAACCATCCGTTAGAGACGTGGGCGCGCACCAAGATGATCCACTGTGGGTTGGATCCATACGGGGCATCTAGGAACGCAACTGGCTACCGTTGAGTATGGTAGGCTGCTCTTCGCCAGGCGCTGATAAGAGCGATACCTAGCGTGGGGAATCTCGCTAACGTCACTTTCCCCACACATGAGCATGGTGATAGCACAACGGCCGACTTGTACCGATGTCTTGGGTCAAATGCGCGTCGTCAGGCGAGCAAAATGCGGCCTGGAGCTGCGTTGGTGCTTCTTGGGTGAAGTGTGGCCGCGAATGATGCAGCAGCATCGTAACGGTATCGCATGCGCCAAGCTGGAAACACTAACTCTCACGAGCGCCCGCGATACATCTCCGTGATTGTCCCGCAGAAAGTTGACTCGATAGAAACATGTCAAAGAGGGACCTAGCACCGGAAATCCTTTTATCATACGCCAGACTGCGCCAACAGCTGTAGTGTCGCCGCGAAGTCGCATCTCCAGGTGCATGGCCCTTGGCGTTGTAGCGGCCGGCCAGCGGACTACGGTGAAATAGGTTTGGTGTTCCTCGTAGGGAGATTGCGCCGGCCAATCATATCTTACATGACCCTCTTTACTCGATCTCATCGAGTAAAATCGTCGGCCTCACATGTCGCCTTCACAATCATTCTCAGCAACGCTCGTCTGATGCTTGGGCTTAACCTTCCGATCCTTCGGCATTCACGATGGCACTTGGCCACGCGACCATACGACGCCCTTTGACAGTATGAGCCGTCCGCTCGACAACACTTCCGATATCTGAAAACTCTTCGTTCCAACATCGAATTTTGCATGTCATTGGCTATGGATAGCACCCTTCTGCGACTGCAAACATCGCCCTAAAGCCAAGTCCACTCCATGAGATTTCTCCAAACGCAACGTTGTGTAGCTGCACTCTGGGTCTTCTTCGGTGTATTTTGTGTAGCAATTCACTGCGACTTGATAAGCACACAGTGAAAGAAGTTAGAGGCATACGAGGTGCTGTCTACCAAGACGTCCAGACGTGAGCATAGTACGTGCATGTTTTTCTTTTTTGCAATCAACTAGGCACTCTAGACTACGAAGTATTGCCTTAGTACCTTAGCGCAATTTGTATGCTGCGAGTACTTTCATGCGCTTGCCTTAAGAGGCACTGCGTGGGAGGACCGGCATGCTACTCCCTCAATTTTCGAGCTGCAACACTCTAGATGCGCTCACGATACCATGGAGCCTGCGTCCCGTTGATGTGCTCGCTCGAGATTTGGCACGCTTTTCGAAGATCCCGGCGAGCTGACAGGACAACATCTGCGTATTGTATAGAGAATTCGAAATTTAAGATGGCCACTACTGTGATAACGCTGGGTTTCGAGCACGATAATCATGCTGGTATAGCACCAGCGCGGGTCTATCTGGAAGTCGCTTACAGTCCAGAGCTTGATCTTCTTGTTCGATAGTTCTGGCATATCTATCCCAATACGGCGCTGAGCTCCAGAGACGCTACATTACACTTGCCTGGCGTAGCTGTCGAACAATGGTGGGAGACCACTCTCCACAAGGGGTTACACAAAATGTTTTGGAGAGACGAAATATGGAAATTCGAGGACGAACTCCAGGTACCGATCGTGCAACAGCCAAACGAGCATTACGAATGCATTGAATGCTTCGGTCTAAGGGTGTGTGTCTCTGGAGAGACGGTGTTGCCCGGGATAAGCAAGGTTAGGATGTGGACCTGGGCTGTCACGGCTTTGAGAAGCTTTGTAAATACGGAGATTGTACGTTTTGGATGAAAATCGGGGAAGAACATACTTTCCTTCTTCAGTAGCCGGAATCAAATACAACAGCCCAACCTCAGCATGTTATCTCAGCGTATTGATGTGGAGGCACATACCGAGTTCCGTGGGATCCAATATGGTCAAGACCCTGGAGACACAGAGGAACTTATAAAGGTTGTTCACTTGTTTTGGAAGTCCTTGATGTCTGCTGCTCAAGGTTTGACGCGTCAAGGAGGGCTGGGATGCCTGCGTGATTAGCATTTGTTTCTAAGCTGAACGGGCAATTGGCTGGTCGGTTGCCTTGAGCTGACAGATGAGCGGACCGAAATGTGCATGCAGCATCAGCCTGTCCAGATGGAGAAGCTAGTCGAAGGCCGATCTGGGTTGTCTCATGTAGATGCGCGTAGGTTGCCGGAAACAACGTTCAATTCCAAAACTCTTTATACCGTGCCATACTGTACAGCGCGCTTTTCGTGTACCAAATTCGTATTATGCTGAAAGAATTCACATTCGACCTCGTCCAACTACATTCGCTTACGGCCTGACAACGCGGAGACCGTCCTTGGCAGGCGAGGCTGCGCGCTTGAAGGACTGAGGCTATGTTAGTAGCTGCTGATAGCTTGTTGCTTGTGGTGAAGACTGACGTTGTCGCATTCCTCCCATGCACGTCCAGCACCGAATCCAAGACCGACTGTCGCGGGCCACGCGCGGCGCTTGAAGAGGAGAACCGAGAAGACGATACCGAAGGACAGACCAAGACCGGAGCGGATGAGCATCGAGGAGAGGCAGCGGTCCCACTGAATGTAGCTGTTAGCTGCTGTTCCTGAGCATGTCATAGCTTTTCGCGTGAGCGTGCCGTAGCGGCCATTGAGGCTACAGAAGCTCAGAAAAAGCCAATTAATCTTGGGATAAATCCACTCCAGCATCGTAACGAGATGCAGACGCATCGCTAGGCGGGCGCATGTACCTTCTCGTTGAGGAGAGCTTCGCTCATGGGGCGGGTGGTGCGCGGGATGGGCGCAATGGGCTGGGAGGGAGCGTCGGACATGGCGGTAGCGGGCGCGGGTGCAATTCGTCGGTCTCGGGGTGTCTGGCGACGTCGATAGGAGGGGAGATGGGCGGGCAAGCGGTGGTGTTGATGCTGGCACAGCTCAGCGACGTCAAACTCCGGCGACGGCCTTGGCAGAGCCAGCAAGGCAGCTAGGTACGACCGCGGCGGCCCCACAAAAAACTCTAGGATCGCTGAGGAAAGAGCAAACCATTCCTCTCGAACGACGCAACGAGGCTTGGGGAAGAAATGGCGCATAAAAACACAGTGAGACACAAAAGCTCTCTTCAAAACGTATTCATGCATCTAAAAACCCCAGACAACCCAAGACGGGCCTGCGCCAACCCGCCCGCGCCTGCAAGCTATCAACCAAGATTTCTCAGACGTGAACGAACAAATCGAACAGGCTGCGCACATTATTGGCCTTCCAGATGAATGGACGACCAAAATAGGCGACGAGAGAGCCCCCATTACGAAGGCACTTGCCAAAGCACGAGCGGAATGGGTTTTGCGCTGGGCGCTCGAGAAGTTGAAAGATGAGACGGCAGCTGGGAAGACCGCAAGAGGGACCGTTGCGCTATGGACACTCTTGGACTGGATGCTTAATGTACTCCCGGCCTCGCGCAGTGCACAACATCTACGAGACGCCGCTTTTCTTTCCATCCTCGAGCGAACCATGAACGAGAATTTCAATCAAACACAACCCACCCCCTCATCTGCGGACATCGAGATGAGCGACGTGCCTGGATCGAGCGAGATAATTGGCGAGAGCACTAAACCATCGAAAAAGCGAAAGCGCGGCGCAGTTGGTGCAACGGGCACTTGTGGGCAGCCTCTGGGTCCTTCTGAGCTTCAGAAGCTATTCATCATAGTCAGGACGACGGTCAAGTCGATCGCTGGACTGAGCAACACACAGGATCAAGGTGAAGACACAATCCAGGCCGAGCTTATGAAGATCGTCCTAAGGACCGACAGTGCGCAGGCCGCCAGCATCTTGAAGAACTGGCTCGTTGCCGTGGACAAGCTTTTGGCCTTAGCTTCCTCCACATCAGGCGACCAGCACCTTGCTGAGATATTGGATCTATCTTTAGTCGTTGAGATCTGGGAGCTGCGAATGTCTACTGCGAGTGATGAGTCTGGAGCCTCTGCTGACGAGTTCTCCGCAAAGTGTCTCGTGCCAGCTCTGACGCTCCTCGACACTTTCAGGGCGTTCCGCTCCGTACACCCAGATCAGTCTGTCATCTCTTCGGTCGATCGCGCAACACAATACATCGAGAAGGTTCTTGCAAAGCACCTGTTCGCACCTGCCAGAGCTGCTTTCCTAGCCGATGCAGAAAAGAGTGTCGAGACCAGCAGCAAGCGTCGCGAGGCAACTCTGCTGATAAGCAACCTGGGTCCACTACGTGCAAAGCTACTTCAAGCAGCTCAGATCGAGGACCAGGGCGAGTCAGTGACAGCCGAATTAGCAGCGCTGTCTGGTGCCTCGTCACAGCTTCTGAGCTTAGCTATCCGCATTTCGCCCTCGAAGACGCCAAGAAGCAAGCTCGCTGAGAAGCCATGGATCGAGGCTGTGTTCATTGCACTGCTGGAGTGCGCAGGCTGCTCACTGACCATGCCACCGGATTTTGTGACACCGCATACTGCGATCGACGTGCTCGTCCACGCCCTCAGTATCCTCCGTGCACACAGTGTGGGTATCAAGTCAGGCATCTTGAAAGATATTTTCTGGTACCACTCGGGCATCAAGTACCCGGTCGGCAAGGTCAAGCAGGTACACTGGTCCGTTGTGGCGGCCTTGATCGAGCTTGATCCAAGTGTCTTCGTCACTGAACTCAAGAGCATCTCAGAATCTTCCAAGGCGCAACAGCACGATCTTGCGCAGGTTGTCTTTGAGGAGATCTCAAAAGCTCAATTCGAAGGACCTGGCTTCGGGGGGCTCGAACGGCAGGCGAACATCAACCAAAGCTCCAAAAATCAGAACCATCCTCAAATTAGCAAAGCTACTGTGTTGGAACGCGTCATTGTGCCACTGATGGCTGGGTTCGACACGAATCGTAACCTGCTCGGCTTCGTTAGCCGCTGGGATGCGCAGCTGATCACGGCCAATAGGCACGAGAACCGTAAGGCCCTCAAAGAGTGCAGGGACTTAATCTGGGAAGATCGCAAAATCAGTCAAGCTCTTGCCGAGCGATTCGAACAGTCTTTGACACAAGGTCAGATCGCGGAGCTGTTACAAGAGCATGTTCAGCGTATGAACGAGCTTGATAGCGCCTTGCGTACGGAAGTCAAGCAAGACATCAACGTCAAGAAGCTGTCCGCGTACAAGCGCGCCGCAAGTACAGCGATTGTTTTACCAGCTGTTCTTCAGTCTCTCAAGTCTGACAAAATCATTGAAGCGGTCAGGTTACAATTGCGCTCACTGCTTCAGTCGTTCTCGACATGGGTCCAAGATGATCGCTTTGTTCCTCACACACGACTATCGCTCTCATGGCTCACACTGTGTCAGCTCATATCGAAGCTTTGGCCAATTGAGCTTCATGGTTCGGTAGAGCAACAAGATGAACTCATCTCGCCGTTGATTGAGCAATCTCTGGATGACGTGTCCGCGGCATCGAGTAAGCGCGTTGACTCTCCATCGCGAGCAGCCGCGATGCTGTTCCTGCTCAATGCCTGCGATCATATGCAGACGCTCCCCGGCTCCGAGGACCTCATCCGGCCTAGTTTAGACAAGGTCCTGCACATTTTGTCAAGCGATGTTCTTGGTCGAACAGAGCACGTTAGGATGGTTGGCTTTTTCTGTGCCGACTTCATTCACCTCTTTGGTCACGTTGGCGCTGAAGCATCCCAGCGGTCTCTACAGCGACTACTGATAGCCGTTTCCAGTCTGGACAACAACGCTAGCATCGCTGCTGTCCAGTCACTATCTCAAGCGATTTTTGAACAGGGCAGCGCTCCGTTGCAAGACCTCTACATCACAATCCTGCGCGAGCTTCTGGAGAAAGACGACATTTGTGCGCAGGGTCTGGCAACAACGGCACTGTACTTTATCCGACCCTCCGCTATCGCCCGTGAGAAACGAGAGGCTGTGCTAGATCGACTCACAGATATGATTTTGTCGGGCGCACAAGATATTCCAGCACTCCTAAGCATCATTGTACAACTCATGGAATCCTCCAACGCAACCGCTAAGCTCTCCAGCGATGGTGCGATTCTGTTTCAGATCGCAGAACAATTGCAAAAGACTGGAGCAGTATCAACTGCAAATCTCCAGTTGCTTCAACAGATTGCCGGATTGACCCTCGGGCAAATTGTCTCCAATCAGAGTCAATCGCAGAACATGATATATCTGGGCATGTTCAAAAAGAAGCTTGATTCGACCACCGGCAAAGGCAAGCAACATTCTGCTGCTGACTTGGCCATGCTCCGTGCTATCTTCGCTGTGCAGAAGCAGATTAGCCTCTTACATCCAAAGCAATACGTTTCGGTACTGAAGGCATGTCTGACCAGCGAGTCGCCAGATCCCAATGCACCATCGCTCGAAAGTGTCATTGACGCATTCAACGAGTTGTCGACTACTGCCCTTGCGGAGGCTAAGCTTTTGGACTCGACACAGGCCTGGCTTCGCACCTGGATCGCCGAGAACGCAGATCTAGAGTCGTACATGGCCATAGGTGGTCAGGGACCTCCCGAGCTGGCCAAACATGTTGTGCGCCTGCACGCAACAGTGGCGAATTACAAGCTCTACCCTAACACACTTTGGCTCGTTGACTTCACGCTCAAATGTCTTCGCGAGCCCGTATCCGAGCAGCGCAAGATTAAGACCGTGGCCATCATGAGAAACGTTTTCGCCCGACTACCAGTCTACGAGAAGCTGGACCTCGTCCACACTCTCACTCATCCAGCCAACCTTCTGGATCAAGCGTCCTCATACCGACTCCTGACAAACTTGCTCTCGACCTTCGAAGACCGTCCCGAGTCCAACACCGAGTTGAGGAACAACCAGCTTGCACTGTTGCCAAAGCTCTGCGACCTCCTGACTCACTCCCAGAACCACGCATCTTTCAACGCCCTTATCTCTAGCATCAACACAATCCTCTCGCACACCCCATCCCTCGCGACCCAACACAGCATCGAGACAACCCTGACCGCACTCTCGACCCTGAGCTCCCGCTCCAGCCCCCAGCTGCCCGCATCCCACGCACCCGCTATCTACGCCCGCCTCTGCGAGACAACACGCCTGGTCCTCCTTCTGCACCGCGGCCGCCTAGGCGGACGTTTCCACGTTCTACTTCCGCTACTTCAGAATCTACTCTTCCTGCTCTTCACGCCGCACTCCGGCCGCGGTGCCTTACCCGCCTGGCTCAAAGACTCTAGCTCCATACCTCTTACTCCGGACAACGGAACCCAGTTCGCCCGTGTGTTGGCCATGCTGTGCAATCCTCCGCAGTCGAGTATCCAGAAGACACATACTGGCGGTAAGACGAGCAAGACGCTTAACGACCCTGTCAAGAAGGCGAGGGAGATGACGAGTGCGTTTCTGTACCCGCTGCTTGCGTCTTACAGTCGCTTCCAGCTCGGCGGCAGGGTGGAGCCGGATGTTAGGGAGAAGCTTATGCCAGGCATTTGGGAGGTGGTTGGCACGGCGAGCTTGAGTAGAGATGGATTAAATGCTATGTTTGCGGGGCTTAGACGGAGCGAGAGAGATGTCTGGAGAGGGGTTTGGGGCGAGTGGGAGAGTGTGCATGGCAGGAAGGGATTGTTGAGTGGTGATGTTGTTTAAGTTCGTGTTCGGAGCTTGTGGCTATCTGGACAAGGTAGTCGAATGTACGCGTGAATTTTCGATGCATGATGACACACCTGACCACTGTGGTTTCCGCAGGGAGAAGGTGACTTCGAGTTTGGTTCCCCGGCGAACAACCCAAACAAAGCTTTCCACTCATCCCGATCCACCACGCTGCAACACCTGCACTGGAACCGGGGTAGATGGCGTACACAACAGTTGTGGAACGGCAGGAGGGAACGAGAGACCTAGGGAGGAAGATGCATAGAGGGACGTAGTATCATGACGAACAGAGGTGGGTGGACGGGAATATATGGTTGACTAACAAGGCGCCCGAGCAAGAAGAACATCAACGCATCCCGCATAGCAGCAGAGTTCGTGCCTTCCATCGGGTAGAACATTACATAAGCAACATCCTGTCGATTTAGATGCCTCCAAGAAGTGTTGTAAATTAGGGGTCTAGCTGCTACATACAGTCACCGCGGCTTCTCCTACCTGTCTGCCTCATTCTGCAAACATGTAGCGATCCCTAGATGGCTGCCTTACTCCCTTTTAACGATCTCTTCAACGGGCCCACTCTCACGATAGCAGTATCTGGGTTCTTTTCCTCCGCTCCACCACACCAACAAACACTCCAGCGATAACTGTCGCCAGACCGCCCAAGCCAACTGCACACCAAAGCTACGACCGCAGTTCTGTCAGTTCGAGAAAAAAAACGCCACTGATAGAAGGACTTCAAGACCTAGAGTGACGCTAATATATGGCGTGGTCCATAAGACCAACGGAGCCTGATCCAGTGCGAAATTGACGACAATCAAGCCTGTCACGCCTATGAGGCATGTTATTGAAGTAAACGCAACAAGCTCGGATGTGCTCATAGATGGAAAATGCTCCTACTAGAATGCTTGTGATTGTTCATATTGTGGAAGAGCTATCAGACTGTCATCTGGTGATAGGATCTTTGAAGAAAAGCTGTTTTTCACGTCGGACGATAGCAGGGAATGGTAAGCTTGTGCACCTGAAGAGCAGACCTTTTGCAAATGTGTTGACGGCTCTCTTTAGTGGTCTAATTATTGATGCGTTCCAGCTGGCCCGACTAAGGTGTCTGGAAATGTTGTTGAAGATGCAATGGTAAGACGAGCTGAGGTTTGATGGATCTAATTACATCGAAAAAATCTAGGTCCCAGACTTGGTGTCCGACTACCTACGACTAACCAACGCCTGTATGGGAACTTCGAGCTGATCAGGTTTCAGACAATGCAGTGGACTGTGAGAGAGAGGTGAGGGCCTGCACACATGTGCGCATATCATGCAGCGCAGAGCCGTTGGCCTGATGACAGGGAACGTCGCAGCGGATATTGTAGCTTGTCCCAGACCTTCGGGTAGTCCAATAATTCCACTGAGGTACCTTGGACCTCGTGAGGGCTCCGTGGATTGAGGTCATAGACCGTCCAATGGGCATCTGATCAAGTCGACACGACTGGACCAACTGTGTCTAGGTGAGGATGTGTATCTGCAATCGCGATTTGCATAATACTCGGCTAGTCCCGGGAACCAAGCAGCGAGATATTCCTGCAATATTCCCCTCAAACGGTGTTCACAAGCAATCTTTGCTGGCGTTGGTGAGATGGCGTGTTTCGGGTCGGAGTTCATGTTCGTATGATTACATCTTCCTGAGGTCTACTTTTGTTGAGATATAAGACCGCTGCAGTACCGCTGCAAGCAGTTGAAATTGTGTAGGGAGACGGTTTTGGAAGCTAATCTGTACTGCGATGTCGATACCTTGCAGGCATGCATATCAGCTGTAGATCTGCCCAAGAGGCGAGACACTCCAGTTGGTCTGGGACTGCACAGCTGCAACAGATTGTGGGACATGTTGGCCTAAAGTGGAGGCTTGGCTTCAGTGCTGATGCCCCAGGTTCTTGCGCTAGGGATGCTTAAATCGAGCATTTGGTCGGTCACTCGCAAGTCAGTGCTGCCGACATCTGACTGCATGTATGTCGCGGGATAAGAGACGAGGTGGAGAGATGGAAGATGGCAAAAGGACAGGGAGTCGAACTCACTTCTTTTTATATGGTAATTAAGCCCAAGTCGGCATTGTGCTACACTGCTGATGACACCGGCAGGTACCTCCAAGTCTGCCCTTCCGTTTTGAAAGAGCCCTTTGACATTCCCACCGAATAAATATCTGTATGAATCCCTGTCTCAGTTGTGAATTGCTTTCATAAACAGTCTGTTGAGGCGCCAGTGATGGCCGATGCAGCTGCAGAAAAAAATAGATGCCAAAACAGCGGCAGGGATCTTGCGATTGAGTATCTGCTAAGAAATGTGTATTTCTCCAGAGCCTCAGTTTGAGATGTCGAAGACGTGAGGGACCAGGGATTCCAAGTGACGTAGGCGGCTGCCGACTTATCCCAACCCCGCAGACACTTTCCGTGACCAAGCCAATACTCAGCCTTACTCTGCACCTCGCTCTGCGCAAATCTCCTCCCCAAACCAAACTCGAACATGATTATCACCACCCTACTAACACTCACCACCCTCGCAGCTGCACTCAGCATCCCATCTCCGTCCCTCCGCGCAACCAACCCCAAGCCTCACCCCAAGCTCTTAGAGAGCGCATGCACATTCACACTTCAGCACCGCCAACAATCATCCACCACCTATATACAACTAATTACCATCATCGACCACGCAAACGCTATCAGGATCGATGTAGCAGGCCAGCGCCCACCTACGGAGTACAACAGCTACGTCCGGCTTGACGATGCTCACGTCTTCGCCATGACCGGACTGCTCGATGAAAGGAACCTGACCATCTCGACTGTTTCACGGCATGAGCTGGAATTCGAGATCGGCGAAGTGCGGTGGAGTACGCGACGCAGCGGGCGAGAGGCGGGTTGTAATGCTGGGGCATGGGAGGGTGGTTTGGATAGAAGAGTAGGCGGAGCGCTTGTCAAGGTGTTGGGACGATTGCTGACTTGAAAAAGGAGCGGAGAATGGTTTGTTTGTTCCCGTGTGAGAAGGTGGCGATGGAAGACCGGGGGGATGTGTATGGAGATGCTGGGGAGAGTGCGAGGCAGGTGAGGATTGGGCTGCAAGGATAAACTGTCACGAGTTATGGAGATATCGTCTGCATCTCCGGTGATCCTAATGCGTCTGAGATCCTCCTGTTCGGGGTCCTTGGCAGACGTCACGGTATCTCTACTTCAGAACTATCGACCGCTTCACTAGTCCTGATCTGACTCCTCTTTTGATAAAGCACTGGCTTGATCACGCAGCCTTCTGTTACATGTCGTTCGTATCGTCTCAAGCCACTACTCAGCCCGCCCCACCCACTCCCATTTTCCCACAACTTCCCACCTACCGCAGTTCCATCACGCACACACTCTCTCCGCACCACTCCAGCGCCCTTAAGCTCCCCGCCGCAGCCTCGCTCTCACCCATCTCTGTATTCGTCTCACTCGACCACTCCCTAATGCGCCCTAGCCCTGGGTCAACCGCCGCCCGCTAATCTCAGTCGTAAGGATGCTAGGCAAACGCGTTTTCTCTCTCTCGCCCCACTGCCGCTCTTCCTCCTCGTGGCGTAGCGTCCACTGGCTGGGCGTTTCGTCCTCATCTTTGCTGCCAGAGTCGTCTCTCTCACGGGGCCGCCAGCATGATATGCTGCCACGAAAGAGCAGTATGCGCAGACGGGTCTGCGATATTGGGAGAGCGGCAATGTCGGGGAGCTGTTGCCCGACGCCCTGACCGTCGCTCACATGGAGCAGCAGCGTGCTGATCGGTCGGTTTGCCTCAATATCGAAGTAGCCGTACAGGCTGTACGTTTGCGTGTAGTCTTCCCAAGGACTTGCAGATTCGGTAAGGCGGTCATAGGGAGCTGCGCTTCTGCGTACTCAACCTCGTTGGAATCCCACGGACCATCGACGCGCTCCTCGATGCTCGTCAGATTTGAATGGCTAGCGAGGAAGTCTGTGCATGCCACAAGTGCGAAGTTCCATCCAAATGTGTGTAGGTGGGTGAGCTTGGGCAAGTTCCAGGTCCAAGACATGTTCTTGATCTGGCAGCTATTCGGGTCGCATAGTGGCCACTCAAAGTGTAGAGACTCGAGATTCGGGTATGCATGCAAGAGGGTCTCAATGGCAGTTCCATCATCGTCATGTGCGCTCCTGGTATCCAGCCGCAAGTCCTTCAGAGTCTCATATCTGCTTCCTGGGGGCGGAGGAGGTACGATGGCCACCTTATGGCAGAAGAAGTCAACGTGTAGCTTCTATAATGTGCTTGCGTGAGCTTAGAGTGCTGTCCAGAAAGATTGCGGGTACGTGAGGTATTCGCTTGTGTCTCGAGACGCAGGCCAAGAGAAGGTCATCAGACCACCGCTGTGGATTTTGATTGCAGCGAGGATCGTGTTGAGATGCGGGTAGCAAACTTCTCCTGAGAACTATTCGCTAATTCTCCCTGCTCTTCGATTGCTTGAAAGTAGGTAGATGTGTTGATCTCTACGGTCGTGAACTTTGCAGCTTGCTCCTCTAGCTGAATAATTTGCTGAGCTGTTGCGTCGACAGTTGTGATATTGCAAATCTTGATCGTCAATTCCTGGTCGATTTTTACCGCATTTGCGCCCTTTATGAGGATTGCAGCTGCTGACATCATTCAATCGGAATGAGCAAATGACCAAGGTAGGCAGAGATATTTTCAACCCTTCAGCTGTTACCTCGAATGAAAGGCGGACAAGAAGATTTAGCTGAGTGCAGGGTTGGGATTCACAAGAGTCGGTGGGCTGCTGATAATCAGTGACTATATCTAACTCTTATTGGAGGGCGGTCTAGCGCCGCGGGTGCCTGAATATGGCAGCTTGCCGTATTGGATCAGTCTGAGGCTAGGCGATGTTTCTGACTCTGCATTTCATGTGCACACAATGATACACAGTGACGACGACCATGATCATTCTGCATACTAGAATCATAACATGGCACAAGGCTAGTCAGTATGAACTTTGGACGTTTCATTGCGTTGATTGCGTCGTACTTTCATGATACAAGACACACGCCCACCTCCAATAGTAAACAACACCGGGTTAGAGATGCCCAGCAGGTCGAAACGCCATACTCCTCTCCCATTTTGCACAGTAAGAATCCAACATGCAGATGATGCATCGGGGAATGCCACACGTATCACATGCTCATCGCGCGCCGTCTACTTGCGCACTGTCTTTGCGGCCTTGGAGACCAGCTTCTGCAGCTCGCCGTAAGCCTCCTCGAACTCGTTTGCGTCGTCCGCCTTGACATCCTTGGCCTTCTTGCCTGACCCGGCCTTTGCGACCATGACGACAGAAGTGGGCCTCTTGGTTGCGCTGGCCTCGCCGAGTTGTGCGCGCGACTTGATGTAGATATAGGGAATACCGTGGTCCTCGCACAGAACGGGAATGTGCGAGATAACGTCCATGGGCGAGATGTCGGCGGCGATGACGACGATCGCAGAGGGGTCGTTCAGGTCGGCTGTGTTGCCGGATCCCTGCGACTTGCGCAGAGCTTTAACGACTTCCTTGACACCACGACGAAGGGTCTTTGTCTTAGCAGCTGTTCCGCGTGTTAGTGAATTGCTCCAGTCGCAGCTGCGTCTACTGGAAGAATTCATGGACATACATTTCTTGACGGTCTTCAAGATCTTCTTGACCTCCTTGTCGTTGTCGGCGAGAGGGAAAGCAAAGGGGACGAGTGCGCCAGAGGGCTCTTCACCCTCGACAACAGCACCGCTGTCAATCTCCATCATGGAGACCTCAGGCTCCTCAATCGCAGCCTCGAGAGCGTCTGCGACATCCTTGCTCTTCTTGTCTTTCTTCTCCTTCTTGGGCTTGGAAACGCCGTCGGTCTCCGCGCGCTTCTCTTTCTTTTCCTTCTTGTCCTTCTTCTCCTTCTTCAGCTTCTTCTCTTCGATTTCCTTGGCCATTGCAGATAAATGCGATGAATTCTATTACTGCGATAGGACGGTATGCAATGCGGGGAAGTGATAGAGAGCGAGCGGCAGCGTGGTTGTGAGCTTGGTGCTTCTTGCGCGGAGCTCTCGAACTTTTTTTCAAAATGCAGATTCGGCGCGCTAACGTGCGTTGGACCGTGCGTTGGACCGACTGTCCGACCCTCTTGGTACCACACCGCCTTGGTGCAGCAGTTCACGCACTCAATAAACACCAGAACTTTGCACGTTGGGATACAATGCTTAATGAACACATCTTATACATGTACGCTCTGATATAAGACCCACGCCTGCACGCCTGCTTCGTCAATCTACTACCTGAGTTACCTCCTCCTCTGTCGCTGTAAAGACAATAACAGGTACGCGTGGTATATGCAGAATGAAATTCCATGCCAGCCGTAGCAAATAAGGGAACAGGAATATGACGACAAATATTATCGGAATGCAGCCGAGGCAGCTCGCAGCCAGACCGAGATGAACCGAAACGCATTTGGGGCCAGGCTCCAACGAATCCAGAAAGCCAATGGGTATGAGCGAGGGAAGATATTAGAGGGATGCCAGAACGAAAGGAGCCTGTGCTCGAGTGTGTATCTCTGGACCGGACCGCCCCAATGCGCCATGTTGCCTCGACTAGAAGAACGCAGACAGTAAAATAACACCGAACTCCATGCCATGCCTCCTGAATGCAGAGAGATGACGAGATGAGAGAAGATGACTGCAACAATCTAGCAATAGATGAAAGTAAAAAATGAGATGTCGTAAATGTGGCTCTAATAAGCCATCTGCATCTCGAGGACCTGGACGGACCCAGCTGCCAAGGGCGAGGCAGACCCAGATCTGGACGACATTGCGTCTTCGTAGCCGACGAGGGCTTGTGAGTGGAGTTTGAAAGCTTCTCCCATGAGCTTAGTGATACTGCGACTTGTTAGCATGGGCTTTTCCTTGCGATGGAGGGTTAACTTACCCCCACACAACCACTTCATCGATCATACTTCCCCACAAGCGTGCAACCGTGGAGCTGAGCTTAGCGCCGTATACATCGACAGAGTCGTCGTCAAATAAGTTGCGCAACTTGTTGTACATGGCCAATTCTTCTTCGTTAGCAGGCTCTTCGTCGTGTTCCAGACGGTACAGCCAGAGTGTAAGGATCACCACAAGGTCCATTCCGGCAAGCGGATGCTCAATGCTCCAGTTAGTGGCAGATGTGCGTGCGACCCAGCGGATGCCTTGTACAGCTGCGACTTCGATGCAGTCGAAGCATTCCTGGATGACCTTGATCATCTCCTGCGAGCGCTGAACCTTGTCACGCGCATTTGTCATAGCTGCGGCAACTTCATACGAATCGTGGTAGCGAAGAGCCTCCTGAATGGACTTCAAGTCAACGACAAGACGGGCGCGTGTGTTGCGGTACAGCGCCATAGCGTTGAAGATCAAGGGGTGGCCCTTATGCGGCGCGCTCAAACGGACCACAACGGTCTCCGGCTCGCACAGATCCAGTGACTTCTCCCAGGTCTCCAGCGCCAGGCGAAGCTTGTACTCGGTAACAACGTCCTGCAGGGCTTCGGGGCTGCGCTTGTGGTACCACACCTCCAAGAACAAAGCATTGATCATGACACGAGTTGCGAATGCGCTATAGCGGGCGGTCTCACCCTGGAACAGGTTGTCGTGCGCCTGACGGAATGTTATAATCTTGGATGTAGCCAGGGCCTCGCGCCATGCTTCCTCATCATCACCGCCCATGGTCCAAAGAGACTCTGAAGACGGCAGTTCCAGTGTGTCAAACTCGTTGAAACCCATGGCTGGTGTGTGGTTGTACGTGAGGGTCAGGAGACCAAAGAATATGTACACAGCGTAGTATGTGCGGCGACACTGCTCGTCCTCGATCCATTCCTGATGGCTCGGCTGGGCACCTTCGCGGGCTTCTGAGCGAATCTTCAGCTCGTAGCGGTTTCCTGCGACCATGTTCGCAAGGAGACTCTTGATCGAGCAGGCCCACTCGAGACCCTTTGGATCGCCACTCCAGCTGGAGAACTGCATGTTCAGCAGAGTGCTCTGCATAGTCCACAAGGGACACTTGCGCGAGCTGAAATTCTCCTTGTTCTGCAGGAACTGGTTGACAAGGACCTTGGAGCCAATGTGGAGCATGTAGGCCTGGTCTTGGTCGAAGATGTACAAAGCACCGATCGAGAGCACGGCCAGCAGCAGAGGCGCAGCAACCTCGGTTGGGTGGAAGGTCGCCGGGTGCAGGAAGGGCAAGTGGTGGTGGAACAGGTCGAAGTACGTCTTGAGCAGGCGGTTCAGCGTATTCAGGCTGGGCAGATGGAAAGTATCCAAGAGCGCGTTCTCGCTGTCGTACTGCTTGATGTTCTCGTAGACCCTGCGGCACTGTTCCTCCGACTCGAGCTGCGGTGCGCTGGTCATGGTCAGGGCCTGGCTTGGGCCGGGCGACTTGCGGTAGTCGACTGGTGAGACAGGACCCAGCATCGACGGGTACGGCGACAGCGGGTTGGGTGTACCGAGGTTGTTCTCGCTCATCGAGGGGAAGGTGGGCGCAAGCGCTGTGTTTCCCGACATGGTGCGCTCCATCATGGGCGCCAGATGGCTGTGCGGGCGGAACGAAGAATGCGTTGTCTGCTGCGGCTCAGGCTCGGGCTGGGGCACCATCGAGTCCCGCCATGGCATCTGCGGCAGCATGTTCTGGCCGGGAGCGGTGTATGGCACCTGAGGCACCGACGACCCCATGTGCTGGGGCCCGGTCGGCGAGATGACGGGCTCGGTGCGCTGATCGAGGACCATCTCGGGCTCCTGGCTGGCCATGGCCTTGTGGTGGAAGTCGGTCATCAACATGGCGGCCGTCTCGATGTCGACATCGACCATGGCATCCTCGCCGGCGTCGAACTGGTCGGGCGCGGGCGTGTCGAGGGGCAGCGCGCCCTTGGAGGGGCCGGGTGTGGCGGCCTCCTGCGCCTTGTTGCTCGCGCGGCGCTTCTGCTCACTGGGGAGCGGCGCGCCGCCGTCTTTGGCGTGAACGGTGCGGTCGTGGCGCAGGAGCAGGTCGCGGCGCACAAAGGTGCTGCGGCACTTGAGGCACTTGAACGGCCGTTCTTTGGTGTCTGCGGTGAGGGGCAGTTAGCAACAGCAACACCGTGAGCGCCTTCCCCGCAGCGCGACCACCGCGCGACCGTCCCGCAGCAGTAAACAGCTACCCCGCGCCCCAAACACAGAGCTCCATCAGGCGGCGTCGCGATAAGGGAAGACAACTTACGAGAGCGCTCGTGGCGACTGCGATGCTCGCTTCTGCTGAAGGCGCGGTTGCAGAACTGGCACTTGTACTTCTTCTCCGGCTGGCCGGGCTTGCGTGCGGCGACGGCGGCGGGCGCGGCGTTGGAGGCCATCGCAGCAGATGTGTTATCGATACGAACGGCAGACAGGCAGACAGGATCTCGAAACCCTAGGTGGGGAGATGGCTCGAATGCCGGGCGCGCGGGGGCGTTAAAGCGTGTGGATGGCTATGGTGAAGCTGGCGTGTCCCTCTCTCATTCCGCGAAATGTGCATACGAATGGGGCTACAGCACCGGTGCGGGCCGGTGAAAGATGGATGCAGGGCGGCGACAGCACCAGATGGCTGTGCGCGTAATGAGATAATGGGGGCGGGGGGAGATGGGATGGATGTTCGAGCTGTTGCGCGATGGCGGGATCAGAAGGGGAAAAGGCACTGGAGAGGGGTGACTGCTGTGAGGCTCGCGCCGTCCGTGCATTATTTCAGCGCCCCTCTGGGCTCTGCGAGCTTGCTTCGGACCAGCCACCCCATGATCATGGAATCAATACGCCGCAGATACAAGCGCTAGGCGAACTGTAACGGGCCTGTCGTTACCGTCTTATATCATGTTGAATGCGCATGGCAATATTACAGGTGGTTTGATAGGTGCACATCGTGTTGTTGCTTTCCCTTGCCAGCGTGCCCTTCACTGTTAAGGGCTCTACCGCGAACCATGGTAATCACTCATGTCTACAGCCAGCTTTCACCAGCATTCGTTATCTAATAGCTGCGCTCTGCTTGCCATCATCAACATCCACCTCGACATGCCAAAAGCTCCGGTGCTCTCTCTAGCATGGCCTGGACTCGTTTCGCTGTTGGACGTAATTGCCTGTCGCAGCCCACGGTCCAATTACTTTTCCTTCGCGGCCTGATTCGAGCATGGTTGCGCCGTACCACATGCTGTCGACAGCGGCCCCTACCCTTTGTCCACTCGTCGCACAGCATTGTGAAGAAGCGGTAAAGAACCTCAAACCGCTGTTACCTGTTGGAGCAATAGTTCGCACGTTGCCAGCTATCAATGCATGGGCGCGCTCACCGCCTCATGTATTGCTGCGTCGATACTGACATAGCAGGTCAATTACACGTACGAGACGCCTGGTTTCACCCTCCAACGAGTGTCATTTGATGACGATGGCGCGGAAAAGGGGCTGCCCATTCTCCAAACAATGACGCCAGAACAACCTTCAAACTTTCACCAACACACGTTTGGGCAACGAGCAATTTCGAGGCGGCCAGGGCGATCGCCGGCACGCTGACTTGTTCCTGGAAGTCTATCCAGTCCACCGGGCTAGGAAGCATCTCCCCGGACCCACTTGGCTGTTTAGTGCCGGTCCGCCAGCTGCAGTCTGCCAGATGCCAGCGGCCGCAGAAACCTAATGGGCAGCTTGAAAGTTGTCTTCGTATCCAGCAATTGGCAAACAGCTCAAAGACCTGAAGGTTCGACATGGCGCGCGACGAGAAAGTCGACGAAGCACAATTTCAGCGAAACACCACAACGTGCAATGCCCCGCCAGCCCGCTTTGTGCCCGTTGGATTGGAGATGGGAGGGATCCTCTGTCGCTCTGGAGGAGTGACCCGCAGTCTAAGCGCTAAATGGCATCGCTAGGGACTGACAAGTCGTCGCTCTTCACCGTTACTCCATGCCTACGTCCAAGAATCGAGACCAAGTTCTGGAGAGTCTCATCCCCCTCATTCAATGCCCCTCCAAACAATACTGTGCCCCTCCATCACTGCGCTTTGTTCATGAGGGGCTCTGCTTATCACCATCATCCCCCGCGCTAGAACATCTCTAGAAGGCGTCGACCTCCTGGGTGCAATCTGTGGAAATGGTTACGGGTCGCTGCCGCGTTGCCGTGCGCTCGGTACCGCCGCGCAATTTGTGTTCGATCCGACGAACGAATGGCAGCTGTCGCTGGACAAATTAGACAGGCCGTTCTGCGCGATGTCATGCCGTCGGTCTGCTTTGACGCACCTCCACGTGTCGACATGCAGCTATCTGTATGCGCGGCATATTTCCAAAACGAAGCTGCCTCAACAGTCTCGCAATTCTTCTGCTCGACAGAGACCCATGCATGTAAATGAGTCTCTGGTGTTGGTCGGCTCGAACGCTAGTTTGACCCATAAAACCAGCGTCGCAGATTTGAGGCAGCGCTCTTCCGTCTTCCACGCGACGAGCTATGCAAGATAAGGACTGGCGCTGGGTTGGCAGCTTCCCTCCGAGCTTCCATCGGGCCTTTTGAATCGGTAGTCTTCTTCGGCTGTCAGTGTGTGGGAGGCTGTCTCAGGGATACTCACTTCACTTACCTGCAGTGCAACCGTCAGGCGTGCAACCACAAAGCTGTCGCAAGATTTTCACAAATATCACATCTACATCAAGTCTGAGACAAGACGTGGAGTCCGTCCAGATACACGCTATCGTCACGTGTGTTGCAGGCAAACAGTGCTCGCATATGGAACATCAGACGTCGAGGACAGGCATGGTCGCGCAAACAGCACCGTCGCACAAACAGCACAGTCGCACAAACAGCACCGTCGCACAGTCCTCGAGACTTCGGCAGCCGTACATTTCCGGAAGTAATTCCTGGACTCTCGATTCATGGCCGCCGTCCATGAAGATCTCGCGAGTCAAGCAATGTTCTGGACAAATTGATGGGTACCAGCCCCGCCCTCCTTCTGCAGCCAAAGTTGCCAAACACTCGGCTTCACAGACGCTCATGCTCCGTGAGAACACCGCGAAAAGGTGGGGTCGCACCCACAATATTGGCTGCTGCCGTGTGTCAGACGCAATTTAGAATGGATCCGTCGGTTGATTGTGAAAGTCAACATATGACAGCGCAGCCGGTGCAAGGGTTTTGACATGTGCGCCGCAGTGTGAGCGCTGTCTGCACATGTAGCAGAGGCTGCACGCAACTGCGGATGCGTACATTGAAGTGCAAATGAGAGTGTGAGGTTGAGCCTGAGGCGCGGCAAGGCATCGCCGGGTGTGTCAATGCCAACGCAAATGAGGAGGATGCGCCTTGAGTGCGATGCATCCTGCGTAGTCCCTGACACGGCATGAGCCCGCTTCGCAGTCACGTGACAGATGTACTTGACCGCTCAGCGCGCGTATGGCTCCACGATGCTCCCTGGTGTAGCACTTTCCCTCGCTCAGCCTCTGCCCTCCCCTCTGTACCTCTGTGAAGCTGCGCGACCGTTGCAAGAGCTCATTCGCTGCGTCGCTCCCGCTAGGCGTGACTGTGAGGGCTCTAATTCGCATGCCGCCTTTAGCCCAATTGCGTCCCCACCCTGAGCCAAAAGACAACCGCTGTAGAAGCACCACCCTCCTGACGTCCACTGCGATTCCAGAGCAGACCGCCGCGTGCTCGCCTAGCTGCCGCTCCCCGCACCGCGCCGCTGCAGAGGGAAGGCGCGCTTGGAGTCCGATCGACGTAGCAGCCTTCCCATCCCCGCCCTGACGAGACGCAACGAGCGCGACTGTCTGCGCCGCCGCGATGAACGGCTACAGTGGCACCATCACGACGGGGGGCATGTACGTCAAGGCGCTCTACGACTACGACGCCGACGACCGCACGAGCTTGAGCTTCCGCCAGGGCGACATCATCCAGGTCATCACGCAGCTGGAGAGTGGATGGTGGGATGGGGTGATCAACGGGGTTCGCGGCTGGTTCCCGAGCAACTACTGCACTGTCGTGCAGCGCCCGAGCGAGAGCGTCGACGACGACCGCAACGGCGTCGACCTGCCGGACGAGCACGACACGCAGTCGCTGGGCGGCACCGACTACACCGAGTCCGACGCCGAGTCGATCAACGGCAACGACACCATGTTGCCCATGGAGCGCCACAGCGAGGCCCACAATGCCAGCAGCAAGGAGGAGGAGGCCGCCTTCTGGATCCCCCAGGCGACGCCCGACGGCCGCCTGTTCTACTTCAACACCCTGACCGGCGTGAGCACCATGGAGCTGCCGCTCGAGTCGCCGGCGGCCAACGAGAGCGGGCCGCGCGACCGCACAAATGTCTTCATACCAGACTCGTCGAGGCCGCCGGCAGAGCTACTCGCCTCTGGGACCATGTATGATACCGACGACGACACATCAGCCTCCGACTTCGAAGGGCCGGGCCACAAGAGCTCATATGGCAGGAAACGGCTGTCAGACGGCGTCTCGCCAGCAACGTCTATGGAGTCTATGAACCAGGGTCTGGCACCGAGATCGCACGACGCCAACGGCACGAGCTTCTCGGGCGCTGGAATGACTCCGGCAGGCACCTCGGCGACCTCCTTTGCGAGCAGCCCAACAAGCGGAGGGCAATCAGCTTCTGCGCAGCGAAAGTTCTACGACGACGTAAACCCCGTGCCGTTGAGCTGGAACCGCATGGTGGAAGACATGCGCCGCGCCATCGAGCGCTACCGCCTGGCCATCAACAACAGCGAACGTTCTGAGTTTGTGAAGAGGGCAGAAGACATCTCTGACCACTTGCGACTGCTGCTCGCAGCTGGCTCGGGAACCACCGACAACCACTCCGGGAACCCCTCGATCATTTCCACCAACAAGGCTTTGTACCCGCATTTCCGCGAAACCATGTCGAGATTCTCCAAGCTGGTCCTCTCCTCACACATCGCCGCGTCCGACTTCCCACCACCAGACTCGTACTCAAAGTGCTTGAAAGAGGCTGATGGTGTCCTGAATGGCGTGTATGGCTTCGTCGAGGTAGCTCGTCAACAACGCGGAGAAGAAATACCTCGCTTAGTGCCTGGCTTCATCGTCGGCAGCGGTGTTGGAGGAAACTGGCACAACAACGGCGCAGACCCACGAGACAGCAACGGCATCTCATCTTTCATGGAGGACGAGTTCGAGCCTCCTATGGAGCCAACAGTGAAGCTGGACTCGCGAGTGCTGGAAAGATTGGAGGACATCAAACGACTCATTGTATCGAGTGTCCGCCGGTTGGATGAGCAATGCGTTGTACGCGACAAGGTCATCTCCCGACAAAGACATCAGTTGGTTGGTGAACACATATGTACAGCTGGAGGGAAGGTTCTTGAAGTGTGTCGGCCGTGGCTGTCTACGGTCGAATCGATCAACCTCTCCTCAATCAACTCGACTACACAGGAACAGTCACTCGGCGAGTTCAGCATGCAGAAGCAGAAGGTCTACGATGTGGTGGCAGAACTGGTAATAGCTTGCCAAGGAGTTGCAGCACCGTTGGGCGACGAGTGGGCCGAGTTGCGAGGTGATTCTCTAGAAGATCGAATCAACGCAGTACGAGCGGTCTCACGAGACCTCGAAACCACCGTCGCCCAGCAGTATGGCCACCTGCAGAACTTGTCAGAAGCAGTCCCCCTCTCAGACATCGCCGTTCGCACTGACTCTCGAAGATTCACCGACACGGATTCTGAGCTCGCAACTTCGCATGTTCGGGGACCTTCAGCGACACTAAGGCCTTTGCTGAAGGATCTGCCCCAGTCAAAGACATACAGCGAAGGCACTGCCCTAGATGACTCCAAGATCGACCCGATTCAACCTCCAAGGAACAACAAGAAGCTGAAGGATTTCTTCGGCGAAGTACCAGTCATACCGCAGAACACAGTCGAGGAAACGCCGGAGTACTTGAAGCTCGACCACGAAGGAGAGATCTCTTACGACCACAAAGTTACGCCACCACAGCTCCGTGGTGGTACACTGGCAGGGCTTGTCGAGCAACTTACGCGCCACGACCGTCTGGATCCAGCGTTCAACAACACTTTCCTCCTCACATACCGCTCATTTACTACCGCATCTGAGCTTTTCGAAATGCTGGTCAAGCGATGGAGCATACAGCCGCCTCATGGTCTCGCAGGAGAAATATACCAGACTTGGGTAGATAGGAAGCAGAAGCCTATCCGGTTTCGTGTGGTCAATATCCTGAAGAGTTGGTTCGACAACTATTGGATGGAAGGCAATGATGAGGAGGCGCGGATACTAATTCAAAGAGTGTACAACTTCGCGAAGGACCATGTTGCGACAACTAGCACACCCGGCGCCGCACCCCTGATGACCTCCGTCGAGCAGCGCTCTCGTGGCCCGGACATGCCGACGAAGCGGCTCGTACTCACACTTAGCGCTCAGACGCCACAGCCGATTCTTCCAAAACACATGAAGAAGCTGAAGTTCTTGGATATTGACGCCACGGAATTCGCGCGCCAGCTGACTATCATCGAATCGAAACTTTATGGCAAGATTCGACCCACAGAGTGCCTGAACAAGACATGGCAAAAGAAGCTAGCACCGGGCGAACCGGACCCAGCTGCAAATGTGAAGGCGCTCATCCTTCACTCTAACCAGTTGACGAATTGGGTGGCGCAGATGATCTTGACCCAGCAGGACGTCAAGCGCAGAGTGATAGTCATCAAACACTTTGTCAACGTTGCCGATGTAAGCTGTGTGACGGTATTCTGACCATTCTCGTGGCTAACACATGTCAGAAATGTCGGTCGTTGAACAACTTCTCGACACTAACATCAATCATCTCAGCCCTGGGAACTGCGCCCATCCATCGTCTGAACAGGACATGGCAGGCAGTCAACGCACGGTCGATGACTGTGCTAGAGAGCATGCGCAAACTCATGGGTAGCACCAGGAATTTTGCGGAGTATCGGGACACACTCCACAGGGCGAACCCACCCTGTATACCTTTCTTCGGTTAGTGTGCTGCAGCTGTAACACCTCAAACTCGGCTGACTAGTCTAGGTGTCTACCTTACTGATCTGACCTTCATTGAAGACGGTATCCCTTCTTTGATCAAGAAGACCAACTTGATCAACTTCGCCAAGCGCGCGAAGACAGCCGAGGTGATCCGCGACATTCAGCAGTATCAAAATGTGCCATACCCGCTGCAGCCTGTGCCTGATCTGCAGGACTACATCCTGACAAACATGCAATCCGCAGGCGACGTGCACGAGATGTACGAAATGAGTTTATCCGTTGAGCCGCGAGAGCGCGAAGACGAGAAGATTGCAAGGTACGTGTATTCCAATGCATTCCATGCTATACCGCTCGGGACGCAGTGCTCGAAACACAGACGCATTACTAACGCTGAGACAGACTTCTCTCCGAGTCTGGATTCTTGTGATGATACCCCACGATGCGTTCGATCTATCGATCTTGGATGGTGGCAATGGCGTTGGTTTACATTTCCGCTACGATATACGATTGAGGCGCGAGATTTATGGCGTGCGGGCAAAAATTGCTCAGTACTGTTGCATTTTTTGGCGTAGGAAAACGAACTACGGACGGCTCACTTACTCACCTACCTACTTAATCTATTGAATCATGCTCGCTCGTCGGCATATTTCTGGAAGCTGCGCGGACGTTTAGGAGACCGCCGCTTGGTGAGAATTGTGAACGGGTGTTTGCAGCGCAGTCGCGCTGTGTGCGTGGACGGCTTGCTTTTCAGGGATCCGACGATGCGCGCTGCCTTCGCCGCTCGTGAATCGTGATGCCATAAGACGAGTTAAAATGACCTTCGTACTCGGAGAGTAGGCGAAAGGCCGCGGTTAATCCCAATTTGTGCGCGCCCGTTGCGTCAGTGCCATGTTGGGCCTTCCCGGAAAGAGCTGAACATGCCGAGCGTAGTTCATGCTGCCTTCCTGTTGCGGCTTCGCAATTCGCCCGTCGTGCGAGCACTGCGAGCATTCTGCTTGGCTGGTTTCGAGATGTAATTTTCGAGGGTCGCTTGTGAGGGGCCTGCTGGGATGCAGCATCAGTGGGCGGCCACTGAGCGTCGTGCGTGCCCTGGCACACGACCGTTGCACTTGCCGGATGCGGCAGAGGCTGGCAGAGCGCGTCAAGAGTACATGGGCAGGCCGAGGGTCTGCAGCCCTCGTGACCATAGATCCTCATGGCGTTGTGTGGTTTTGCACGGGCTGGCAGGGGGGTCTCTGGTACTGCAACACCGTGCGCTCTTCAAGGGCTGCTTCCCCAGAGATGTGCTTGTCGGCGCCGCTCACTAAATTGACAGCCAAGGGTGTTCCTTGAACTTCCTCCTTGGATGCTCTTGGGCACACTTGTTCCCTTGCCGATAGCCAATCAGGGAGGCTCATGCCGTGTGACGCTGCTCAACCGTTGGCCCTCTGTACTGGTGTCATTGCCGCTCGAGGGACTATCAACGCTATTTTGCAGCTCGAGTCTGCTTGCTGCGGTCCTGCTGTGATACGCCAGCCTCCGGACAACCAGCGCTTTGCGCTTAGCCTTCTCGATGGCTCTTCCTTGCAGCGCTCGTACTATCGAGTTGACAGGTGAGTCCCACTGCGCCGGCGCGCACGAAGGCTCTAGGTTCTCCACAGAAATTCGTACGGTGATTTCGGCGCCTTCCTGCACAGAGGAAATCGGCAGCGCTCAGGCCCAGCCCGTGACTGGCTGCTCGTACAGTAATTGCCAGATTCAACCCTGCACCGCCGCTGCCCTGGTGTGCCAGCGCCCAGCGCGGCGCCGTGCCTGGCTGCTTTTGTACCACGGCCCTCCCACTCCTCTTTACAAACCTCTTTGCACTCGTTCGGTTTGCCCTCCGTCATCCAGTTTCTCCTCACCCTAGTCGCTCACTGCAACATACCCTAATCGCAATAATAATGTTTCACTCCGCAATGGGCGCCATGCCCTGGTTGCTGCTGGCCGTGTCGCGCTTGGGTAAGTTGCAATTGGTGGCGGAGAGGTTGTCTACTCAGGCTCTCCGCGGGCGCCCATGTGTCCCGCCATTATCTACACCCACACAACACAAATAGTCCACAATACTGACCGACCACGCTTACAGCCAATGCCGCCTGCGAATGTGGATACTCGGTTAACCAGACGACGGATTCTGAGTATGCCGTCTTCACAGAACTCATGGAAAGCGACTTCCTGCACATGGACACGAAAAACATCACCGACTATGGATGGAGACCCCAGGTTTACAACGTCTCGGTGCCCGCCGATAACAAGAGGATATCGTACGGGAAGGAGTTCAGCATGGGCAACGTCGTTCCCAACCCGCTCAAGAACTCGAAAAATTGGTCGGGTGACGCTCAACACGGTGGTGATGCCGGTCTGGAGATGTGGGTGCGCGGCGACCATTCGAACGGATACGTCAACGGGTCGGAAGTTGTCTCAATCAGAGACGACATGTTGCTTGGATCCTTCCGTGTGGGCATGAAGCTCTCGAACTCGTCGGGAACCTGCGGTGCTTTCTTCTTTGTAAGACACTTTGGTGACGGTTATTGGGTCAATGCTGACTATTCACAGTACTACAATAACTCGCAGGAAATCGACTTGGAATTCCTCTCGTCCCAGTTCAACAGCTCTGGCGGCGCCGTCAATCTCGTTCTGCAATCCCCAGAATCTGTTGCTCATGGAAACGACGCTGCTGGCACATCCACCTTCAAGGTCGCGGCTCTTCCCTTCCAGCCTGACAGCATGTTCCACGAGTACCGCTTCGACTGGACCGCCGACCGAGTCACTTTCTACGTTGACGGTACTTTCCTCTGGGAGATGACTGAGCAGATCCCTCGCGAGGGCGGCGGCATCTTCTTCAACCACTGGAGCAATGGTGATCCCACCTGGTCTGCTGGACCTCCCAGTGCCGACACCGTCATGACCTTGTCCTACATCAAGGGATACTTTAACTCTACTGATACCGACCGCTCGCAAAACGCCTACAAGAAGCGCTGCCCCCAGTTTGACCCGGCCAAGGTCTGCGCTATTCCTGCGCAAACATCCGCACCAGATGTCTCGCTAGGCACCGACGCACCGAAAACGTATTTCTTCTCGCAGCAAGAGGGTATGACTACCGGCCAGATTCTCTACAGCAACGGAGCAACACTGTTCGGCGCACCAGCGATTTCGATACTAGCCCCTCTGCTGGTCACTTTGTTCAGCTGGACGCTAGCGTAGTAGTGCCGCTGAAGCACCGTACAATCAACCACTGAACATTACCACTCTGTTCCCGTGTTTCTTTATCGCGACAGCCACAGACGATCGAGACTTTTCACGAAGTACTCGAGACGCGGCATCATGAGCGCATGACTTAGGCGACGGCGTTTTTGGATACCTTGCATCGCACTTTTTGGACTACCCAACACTCCTTCGTTATTACAACACTACCACACCTTTCTGTCGAAACGTGCAGAGCGCTCTGACTACCTGCTGGGCCATCTCTTCGGATACCGAACATCCTGTGGCACGGTCGCTGCCCGCGCCGTGGCGTTCTCATCTCTTTCTTGTGCATAGACTTTGCTACAAGGCTTGGTACGCCAGCCTCTTTTTCACCTTCTTTCTGTCCAGCGGGTTTCGACCCGCGAATCTTATCCCGACATAATCATCTTGGGGCTGAGGCTTGATGTTCTCTTGGAGGTTACGACGGGGTTTTTTGCTTGGGTAGGAACTTATACCACTTGCCGTTACGGCCGCTTTCTCAGTATCGTCGCATTGTAAAGCAGAAGTTTTTTGGAGGGACTGGTAGCTTCTCGGGACTGGTTGTGGATCACTGTATCCGCAGCCTGATCACCAAAGGAAATCAAAATACCACAATCTCAGTAATCACTACTACGATCGTAATCTGAGCGCTTTTCTCTAACCCCAAGCCTTACCCAGAGAAGCCCAGTCTCGGCGCCTTACGCAAGCTGTGGCCCGCCAATAGGCTTGAGCGTTGCCGTCCGGAAAACAACAGACGCCAAGTGCCGGGACTTGACTGTAAATTTTGCGCTCGACTGTGCGCTCTTGAGCGTGCGGAGGCGTGTCCGCACCACCAAGTGCCAACAGGACGCGCATGCAGAAGCGCCGCGCGATCTGAGCATCGCTGATCCCAAGCAACGGGTCGAGCAACTGCCCGAAGGCGCCGCTGTGAGTGAGGTGAAATGCGATGCGTTAGACGGTATGAAGTTGTGTGCACACGGATTGTTGCCATTCACTGGAGCTTCGTTGCGTTTTGTGCAGTTGTCCTGTGCGCTTTGTCAGGATTTGCCGGTAGGGAAGTGTACTGCACTTGAAAGGCTCAGCGCCAGCGCAGGTGCGAGTGCACGACGAGTTGCCGGTTGTAGCTGTACCTGCGTCGCGCTTGGCCGGGGGGTTGACTCTGCCTACTGGGACTTGCACTCACGACGGGGCCTGCTGGGGTGTGCGAGTATCTAGCGTGACAGAGCGGGCCGGCAATACATGGTAGTCCACTCGTGATAGCGGAGCTCAGGCCTTTTGCACGCGGCGGAACCTCGCGGAAATGGTATTTTTGGAGGCGTACATAGTCTAAAGCAGCTGACACTCAGTTGAGCGGCGATGGCGGCTAGGGACCCTGACCTTTGTCTGCCTGTGGCCCTGAGCATCTTCGTCTGGGTGCTTGTGAACGCATGTTTGGTGTGCAAGCCGTGACTATGATCGGTGGAGGGATACACACATGCATGTGCAAGTCTGGTCGAAGCGTTGGCGATGGCGGACGCTGGGCACGGGCGCCGCTCTCCGCTGCAGTCAGCGAAAATTTCCCGACCGAAGAGGCTTGCAAATTGCGAGTGGGGCTTACCTATGGGGAAGGCGACAAGGCTACTGTGACATCAGCGGTGATCTTGCTCCTCCTCGTTGTGCAGGCTACGATAGTTCTGCATGCTAGACTTGTGCGAATGCTGATCAGCTAGCATATCTGGCGCGACCTCAACTCTCAGCAAACATTACACCTACACTAGGACCGAGCGAACGAAGGGTCGCGGAGAAGGACACGACATGCCGAGATCCCTTGGGATAGATACAGTTCTTGGCCAGATGCATCTGCATATGCAGTCTCCTCTCTGCGAAGCCAGACACTACTGCGGCCTGCAAACTCTGTCCAGCTTTACGTCGCGCCCTTGTCTCATCGCCGACTCACCCACAGCAACGGCCATTGCCGAATTCTTCATCTCCTCAGTCCGCATCTCGAATTGACAGATTACGGTATCTCCTGTTGCTACGCAAGCGCCCCATTCTTCTTCTCTATGGCTTGCCGTCAATAAATGCTAAGCTTCACCGGCGCCGCGCTAGACTCCTTCTTTACCCCTCTCGGTAGCACAAGCGAGGGCGAGAAATGCTTGATTTCCCGTGCCCCTGGAGCCGACGCTGCGCTCGATTCGACTGCGACGGTAGGGCGAATGCAAGGCTTCCCGATAGGGAACTGAGTGCATTCACTAGACCAGCAAATGCGGATACTCATGAATGTCGGTAGATGCGGAAATGCGGATGCGAGTGCGGTGAGGTAAGGGCGGGTGAAGTGGTGAATCTTGGTAGCGAGGAAGGTAAGGCTGGAGGTGGAATGCGGACGCTGCCTGGTTGTGGCTGGTGAATGCTTCCTCGACCTCTAGAGTACTTCCTGCCCTTGAGGCATGCAAGGTAGGTGGCATTGAAAGTCATTGATTGTTGACCAGAGTCATGCCAGCAACGGCCATACTCTGGGATCGTGCATCTCTTGAACGGCGAGAGGAGCCAAAGAATTAGCTGTTGCATGGTCTGGCTCCCTGTAGAGGATACGGTCGTTTGCGTCTGCAGCTTTGTGCGAACGTTGTCCGGCAAGAATCATCAGCAGTGATGGAAGGAGCATCGCCATCTGAGCAAACAGCAGCCTCGATCCTGGAGGTAGTTCTTTCTGTGCTTGACGCTTCTTGCAGGACTTCAAATTCCTGTTAGCTCGGTCACCTCTACTTGACACACTCTTTGTTTACTTTTTGGTCTGCATCATCTTTCGTCTGTCGTTTCTCGGAGAGTATACGTTTGTCCGTGAATTGTCACCAGCGATACCTACCTTGACATCGAGTTGTGTAACGAATAACAGTCGCTTGATTGCATCTCCGAAACATTGAGCACAACTGTTACCTTCGTCAAAGCAGGATCTTCGCTATATCGAGACCAACACGCTGGTATAGACCGGCTCATCAGAGGCGTGGCTCCTCCGGACATCATGCGCATATCTACTTTGGCTGCAATACTCTCGGCGGAGCTCACGACAAGCAGTCCTGCTGACCACAACGTACTGTCTGCACTTGCACCACACATGCCGACTATAACGACTGCAGCTGCACGATTCACCCCAACTTCCGGTCTTTCAACGCCTAACTCAGGACCTCCAGGTCTCAACGAAGGTCTCGAGTGAGTTGTTGGCTTCAGACTTTCATCCTTGACTATCTATCTGTACTGAGCTTTGCTAGACTTCGTCAAGCACCAGGCTTTGCGCCACTAGATGCATCTCCGGTTGAGGTTGTGGCGCCAGCTTTACCTGCACCTGCCCCCGCTGCTCCCGCCATGCCATCTGCAGCAATTCCTGCGGGACCGCCACCAGTTGTCGATCCACCTGTTGCGCCGGCTTCAGCACCAGTTGGACCACCTGTAGCCGTACCGCCGGCAAATCAAGCTGTGCCTCCAGCCGCATCACTCCCTCTCATTCCTGCGATAACGACGGTGCCTCAATCTCCACTGCTTACCGGCAACGATTTTGTGACTGTGCAGTGGGTCGAAACGCACGTCGGCACAATTCGTACATGGGCACCACAGACCAAAACTTTTCACTTTGCGGCCATGTCGCAAGCTCCGCTTCCCGGTGTAGGGTCGATTGGCATGGGGACGTTGACAGGAAAGGCAGGGCAGACGCAGACGATCTTAATGGTTGTGGGCGCGGCTTCCACTCCTGCAGTTGACTCGAAGAAGGTCATCGGTGCTGCCGTGGCAGTCGGTCTTGCAGGTCTCATGATCTGAGAGAAGTCGACAGTGAAGCTGGGGGATGTTCGGAGCGTCACACCGCGCTCATAAAGAAGACAGAATACTGGAGATTATATCAGAAGCGCAGAGCACAAAGGACATGCCTGGTATAATGCATCACAAGTACAGATAGTGAGCCATACTACCTTGAGCATATAAGCATATTGTAGCAATGACAATAATGTAACAACAGCCCAGGCTTTTACTGACATGTCTCAACTCGGGTTGGTCGTCTTGCAGCTGAGGGAACTCGGAGATAGTGACGAGCATCACACCACTGCACCACTGCACCACTGCGATAAGACACATTTGTTGAGCGTGAAACGTGCGACGTACCACAAGAAACGTCCACACGCACACAGCTCACTAGTCAATCGATACGCAAAGGCAGCTTTGTGATAATCAGTGCGGTGTTTCCTGATGGTGAATGGTGATGGTTTCGGGCTGTGGTGAGTTCAAGCCCCCTGAGCGAACCCCGCTTTTCGAGACGGCTGCCTCGCCAGCCAACAATCAGCAATTTGCATGTACCAGGAGTCCGGCCATCGCGTGACGACTGTTGAGGCTGAATCACCGAGTCGAAGGATGAGGCTCAGCGATAAAGTTGCATGCTACTTGAGATGAGGTTGCGGCAGGTGGACTGATGTCCTAGAATTCGTGGCGCGACCTTCACACTTCCGCTATCTGATGATCGGCCCGATGACGAAATAGGTTTGGGCTGTTGCGTGAACAACAGCTCAACTCGATGTCATAACGTGATATCAACCTTGTCCGTCGCACAAGCACTTTCATATTTAGGACTCAAGGTGTGGATACGTCGGTGTCAACAACATCAGCAACCACCAACGACATTCGATCAATCTGCATCACACCAACATCCGATCTGGTGCATTACCCGATTTGAAAAAGCCTACGACATAGCCATCGATAAAGCGGTGAAGGGTATACATATATACATACCCTGCGAGCTCGATCTTCATCAGACCATCATTCCCATCGATAAGGGCATCGTCGAACGACGGAACACCTGTCACATCACCACCTGAGGATCCCCACCAGATAGCACCGCACTGAGGACGAAGCAAGTGTATCGAAGCTACTCGATCAACCTCGGATTCAATCCAGCATTATACAACGAAAGACGAAGACATATGGCAACCGCCTATTACTTCGCCGCTCACGGCGCCCACTTCCCCATAGTACACGCAGAACAGGAGTTATCTCCAAGCCCTCCATCTCAACATCCCGCACTCAGCATCCACCAACACTTACTGCATGTACCTGCGACAGCATCCATCAAGTATGAACACAACGATAGCGTTGTATCCTCCACCTTGCTACCCAACGACGCCATGAACGGACAGCTAGAAAGTCCATTCTTCCGCTTGCCCGCGGAACTGCGCAACCAGATCTACGAAGAACTTCTTTGCGCCAACACGCCAACGAAACTATCCGATATCGCTTCCACATCGAGAATTCCAGCACCGGCACCCACATCCCCAGCCATACTCGCAACATGCAAGCGAATCCACGAAGAAGCGAAAGATCTGCTGTACACAACACACATCTTCCACGCACACCCGAGTCTCCTCACCACACTCCCCCACCTCATGACAACGTCAAACCCTCTCCTGTACCCCACCGTCCTGAGCAAAATCAAGCGCTGGCAGCTCACAATTCGCCTCGACACGGACCCACGCTTCACGGCCGCACAAGCCACAGCCGCATTCTCCGGCGCCGAGTTCCTCGAGCTAAAAGCCTGGCAGAGTATGTTCGACGGTTGTAACGCTGCAGTCCTCAAGCTCTTCACTGGTATTCGCGGCGTCAAGTTTGCACGGGTTGTTGGTAGCGTGGATGAGGAACTGGCGCGGTGGTTGGGGGAGAGGATGATGAGTTCGCTTTGCGAGGATGGGGCGCTTGAGTGGTGCGAGTGCAAAGGTGAGAGGTATGCGAGGTGTGAGGGGTGTGAGAAGAGGGTTAGGCTGGACAGGAATGGGGCGGGGGCTTGGGGGGACGAGGAGGATGCTTGGAGGTTTGGGAATCGCTGAGAGGGTATGAGGGGAGATTTTATACTAGAGAAGGGAGTGAGGAATGGATGGATACTCACGTTTCCTACTGTTTTTGTGTGGCAGGCAGGCGACTTGTAGCCTTTCAAACTATTTTGAGACTTGATTTGATCTACCCAAGTGCACGCCGAACTTAACACATTGCCGTGCTCGCCATCTTCAGCAGCGTATCGCGGTTTCCGACATCTTGGCTGGGATGCCGCCGTGTGATATGATCCATTAAGTGAGGCATGGCCACAGGCTCACCCTCATATTTTCGCACGGGAAGCTATGTCTGATCAGTCATCTTGCCTTATAAGTACGTATCGAACGGTACCGGCCGAAATCGCGTTCTAAGAGCGATTGGTGTCGTTGAAGCTGGCTCGGTGTGCAGTGATGGCGGGAACCGAGGACATGAATGTGAAGCAATGAACTACCAACGTGCCAAACAAGACAATGACCGTAAGACACGGTAAATTCGTGAGACCATGGGATGGGTGCGTATGAGCCGGTAGAAGAAATGACCAATGGTTTAGCTAAATAGCTCGGGCGTGCTTGTTGTGTCCAGCGAAAGGGGTCGCTGAGCATATTTCCGAAGGTAGCTAGTCGCTCAGTCTCATGCTGCAGGGTGTCGGTGGTAGTTCCTGCGAGATTCGAAAAGGCTTACGCGGAAGATGCTTCTCTTGAGGACAAAGTGGAGGCCGAAGCACTGGTCGGACAAACTTAGCGTGAGGCATGATCGGTGAGCCGTTGGTGTCGAACGTCCTCGAGCCCAATGCGTGAAAAATGTTACTCTCCCAGTCTTCATCGAGATGCTCCCCCAGCTCCAGTTGTACGAAACGGCTCCCAAAGCCAGTCGGGGATCCGCAGCCACTCTAAGAGCGTGGTGACGGTCATACCGTCATCAGCCATTGGCACTAGGTCCGTGATATCAAGCTGTGACAAACTACCATCCTAAGAATGATGTCCAGGCAGAGATGAGGATGATCGTGGGGTGTTCCCGAGTGGTATTTTACTGGGTTGTCGGCGAACTATGAACTCGATGAAAGATCTTCGCCGTAGGTGTGAACTCGGCGCTCTATACGCAGGTTATTGGGCATTGTTCGCAGCTTTTAGCCTCGCAGATTTGACTCCTTCATGGTGTTGAGAATGCTGTCGTTTACCGGCAGGTTCGAGTGCACGTCTCGACGAGCGGAGGGATAGAAGCTCACAACGTTTCACAACACGCATGTCGATAGAGTCACCATCAGTGTAAGCTAATCCAAGACAGATGTATTGGCTTCGCGTAGCAGAAATGGAAGTTCTGGAGTGTGCTGAAGATGGCTTTGGGAACTCGAAAGTCGGTTCAGGAATGGTGGACTTGCATAATACCAGCCGTGGCATAATACTAGACATGGCATTATCTCGAGACCTAGTATGCACCAAGAATCTATATAGTGTTGGGATGATACAAAGTCGCGAGCATAGCAATGGGCATGAGAGACATCGCTTTGACGTTCGTGAGACTGAGTGGGCTGAAAGATCTCGCATGTTGCAGAAAAAAGTATGTCGAGAAGTGCGAGCCCTGTATCGTGTGCAGTCTTACTTGTCATAGCAGCCAGTCTCTCATGGTATGAAGAGGCAGCAGTGCGGTACCATGGCCTCGTCGCAGACGGACCTAGCGATGTTGACGATGCATTGAGAAGGGCTATAAAGGCCGCCGACATCGTCATAGTTAGTCAGGGCACGCTTGCATAGGTCATCAATCATAGTCACAGATTCAATCCATGTGCTCGTCCTTGGTATGAACATCATTGGTGCTGATATCGAGTAAATTTGCCTCCTTGTTGAAGCGTATAGGCCGGCTGTGATGGCGTTCAACAATGTAGCTCTGGACACTGTGTATAACTCTGTCTGGGTGATATGCTCAAGCCCACTGCAGCATGAAGGTAAGTGCTACCAGGGACTTCTATGCATAAGGCTTGGAGATTGTCCAGACATACGGCAGCCAGTCGCCACAGACGTAGCACCAGGAGCATGCTGTAGCGTCACGACAAATTTCGCGATGTTTGTGTCGAAACTGTCTTCGAGCTCGTCTAAATTAGCGGAATGTAACGGCTGATCAATGTCGATTGCTGATAGGAGGCTGAGTGGGTATCCAGAAGTCTTAGTCTTCCATCTTGAGGCCCAACACCACTGCATTCTCTACCAACGAGCAGACACATGCGAAGCTCACTTACATATTGATGAGAAATGTCAGCAACATAGTGCATTGAAATCTGCAGAGGCGACGGGCAGAGTCGTGTGATATGCTCGACCGTGTGTTCGAAGAGAGGTCTGTATCGTACTTTTCCGCAAACAAACCAGCGAGTCATGCTCCAGGCATAGGGACGATATCACATATCGTTTCCCTGTCCTCCTAAGCTCAGCCCAGTCTTGCTGCGTCTCTGAGCGGTGTGATCCGAGCCGCGGTAGGTCTCGCCTGTCTGCACCTGGTCGTCGATGTCCGTGTTGATGAGTGACGAACCTCCTCGCTCTTGATTAACACGGGTGTTGTCTCACACGTATACTGGCTTGCGCACAACAACATATAAAACCAGTGCTCATACTCGTAGACACGAATCCAATTTGCACGCTCTCTTTGTGGGTAAAGCTCATATCGATGCTTAATGTAATTATGACAAATAAGATGCACCCTATGTACCAAAAGTGCACGCGCTAGCCGCATCCGTCACCACCTTCCATCAACAGCATACGAGTGCCCTACAGCAATCTCACCACGAACATGCAGCCTCAAAACATATGTGCTTACAATTCGCTCTCGCCCCTCCCGCTCCTCGGATGTGTTAGCAGCGGTGATCAGGACCGCAGCGTTTTGCTTGCTGTACGAAGGGCAGCCCTTGCTTTGTGCCTCTTTCCGGCAGCGCGGCGTGCTTCGATGGATCGAGAATGGCTGGACTGCATGCTGCTTCGTTAGGATCTGTTCGCGGGAAGGGACAAAGAAACAAACAGTTGGACCGAAAGGAGAGCCGTGCAGAGCATTCGCAGGATCTTAGTCGTGTTGGTGGTGTACTTAACATGCAAGGCGTGGATGATCACTCCCCGCAGCCGTTGTTGTGCAGAGTCAGCTGAGGCAAGCGCATCTTACCACCATCTGATTGATTACCAAGGTGTCACAGAAGGGGAGGGTGTCTTTACACAGGTAATCATTCACTACATATTCGCACATGCGCTGTCTTTGTCTTACAAAACCACAAGAAAACTTTAGAGGTCGCCACCAGACGTGAGTAGATAGATTCGAACAAGAACATTATTAGGAAAAGCGAACGCCTCTCTGGGCGGCTTTTTGTCTGCTCGCCAGTCTTACAGGGAGGATAAGGGAATAAATGGACCGCTTCGCTATTGTGACGGCCCCAGATCCCGCCCGCAGGGTATCAAAGAAGAGCGACCCAGGGCTGGGGCTAGCCACTCGACGGAAGAAGGTGGAACTGTTGTGAAGGCGCGGCATGAAGAATGTCCACAACGCCGGTGTATGACATGGTGATGCCCGTCATGAAGAACATACAACCCGTAAACCAAAGCAAATTCGAAATGTTTTGTTTGCTCCCGCAACAACCGTTGCATTATATCAGACCGCACAACCGGAGGTTCTCCTGGATAATGATATCTGCGACGAATTAGTTGGTGTGCGTGGGAGACAATGTGGACTACACATACCATTTACCGCAGCCATGACGAAACGGATCTGCATTGTGTCCGTCGCGCAGGTGAAGTGGGTGTAGATCTGCTTTGTCTCGTGCTGGTTGAGGGAGACGAAGCGGTTGAGGATGTAGTCGCACGCGGCGGCGTAGTCTGGGCCGCCCTCGTAGTCGGGGAAGTAGTTCTTCATGGGGCTAACGGGCAGCTTCTCCTTGAACCTGTCGATCTTGTTCAAGAACAGGATGATCGATGTCTTGACGAACCATCTCGAGTTGCAAATGGAGTCGAACAATGTGAGGGCTTCTTGCATACGGTTGACAGTCTCGTCTTCAAACAGCAGCTGGTCGTACTCGGAGATGGCGACCAGGAAGAGAATCGTGGTGACGTTCTCGAAGCAGTGGATCCACTTCTTTCGCTCGGATCGTTGACCGCCAACGTCGAACATGCGGTAGGTCAGGTCGCCGATGATGAAGGTGGTCTCGGTGATACCAGTTGTCTTGACACGCGAGCGGAGGACATCCTGGTCGTTGGGGATGTAGTCGGGGGCGGCGATGCGGTCAATCGAATCGAAGTAACTAGATCGATTAGCATGTGGCGCGACAATTGGCCGTTCAAGGGGTTGCTCACTATTTTGCGGAGTCGTTCAGCTGATACTCGCGCGAGCGTTGGAAGCACTGCTGAACACCGGCGTCCTTCCACAGGACCGAGATGGCGTTGCCAACCTCCGGAGGCAGGCTGTCACCCTCGATCTGTGCGGGCTGCATGAAGATGGTCTGGACGTGGTACTCGGCGCGCTGGTCGTCGAGCGGCAGCTCCAGCGACTCCATGGCCTCGAGGATGACGCGCATCGACTGGACGGTGTTGCTGAAGATGATCTCCTTGAACGACTCGCGCTCATCGCGGGAGTAACCGCCCTCGTGAATCAGCTTCATCTGCTTGAGAATCGTCGACTTGCCAGATTCACCAGCACCTACGGCGTGTTAGCAAGCGAGTGCGCAAAGGGCGGCGCGGCGCTACTGACCGAGCAGCAGCATCTTGATCTCATTGCGCTGCATCATCTTGTCACGCTTGAGCTGGTTCTCAATCTCCTCATTCCTCTGCTTCCCCTCCTTCTCCTCTGTGCTCATGCCGCAACCCATGATGGCGAGTGGATGTGATGTGTATTAGGGTAAAGGTAGTAGCGATGTTCCGTCGATAGGCCGGCCAATGCGGAAATCTAGACGGGTTAACGAGAGTGGTCAATGGCGCATGCGGTGGCGGCAATGTGTGTGGAAGAGAGCGTGCGTGGGCGTGAATGCGGTGGTGCTGTTTGCTCGGTCTGCTCAGCGCGCCTTGGCAGGCAGGAGCGGTCCAGCGGGCGAATGACAGGGGATGGGGGCCGACAGAGGGCTTGCAGAGGGCAGAGTGCAGCGTACCTATTGTTACAAATAAAGTGGCCGCGTTAAACAATTCACGCGCCGCAGATGGATGCAGGCGAACGGTGCCGAAGGGAGTGGCGGGAGGTGGGAGAGGGGGTGTGGCAGGTGAAGGGATGGATGGCTGGGTGAAAGGCGAGGCTCGCTTCGCGCCGCCGGCGAGGTGTCTCAGGGCAGCTGCAAGGCCGGTCCGGGGTGGAGACGCGCAGACGGCTGGGGCTGTCAATTCGCGGGTTGTCGAGTGTCGCAGGTAGAGGCGGGCGTGCGGCTGTGGGCGGTTGCACAGATGAGTATACAGAGCGAGGGCCGGGGCAGATGGACCACAGTGAAAGCACGCAGCAGACGCAGCAGACGCAGCAGACGACAGGCTCCAGCACCCGCAGCGAGGAGGCTTTAGATGGCACCGCGAAAGGAGACGCGCTACGCCCAAAGAAAACGGGTGCCATACTCAATGGATGGCGACGCCAGATCACTAATGGATGGTGTGCGGGCCACTCTGCAGACCCTCCCGAGCCTCTCTGAGGGCGCTGTGGACTGACAATTTGTGCGCGGCGGCCTCTGGGCGACGGAGCCGCGCCCTTGAGCGTCGTGTGCTGTCATCTGGCCTGAACACTCTGCCTACGGAACAGCCTCCACCACGAACATGTCAGACTGTTTCGACAGCAGACAGCAGAAAGGCGCTGCAGGCCCGCTGCTTCGTCCGCTGCTCTGGAAGCGCTGCTCGTTCGCCCGTCGCTGCCTTCACTGTACTTCGCCAGACGTACGCCGCCGACCCTGAGCCCTCACACGCCCCCCGTTGCCTCTCTGTCGCACCGGTTCGACACAGTCGTGCTGTGCTACGAGGTGCCTGCATCCACCAGATGCGACTCCCGTCCCGTTCAGCGCATCCGAGCGCAGCTAGCAGCTCTTCTAGAAGCCCCTCAAAAAATTTAGGGGCCCAGCAAACAAGCATGAAAGACTGACGCCGGACTGCGCAGGGGAGATTTGAAACGCAGAGCCACCCACCTGCACGGTCCCTCATCTTCGCCACTGTCTGCATCCCCAAGCACAGCCGCCCCTGCCCGCTACCTGCTGTCTCTGCTGCTGTCCCCCTCTGTCACCAGCAGCTTGTGCCTTGCGAGCTGTTTCAGCGCTGCACAGCATTCCGTCAAGAATTCATCTGCTCGACGCCGCAGTTGATCAAATCTGCCCCAGGCGACCATGGCTCCATCTTCATTGGCTTTAGTGACTGATCAGGCAAGGCGCGGCGGCAGGTGACTCGCCAAACCTCCGTCTCGATCGCGTCTTCATCTCCTCGACTCGTGCTCTTCATTGCAGCGCTGGCCAATCACAGCACTACTCTCGTTCGCATTCCCCTTTTCTACACCGCAGGAGGAGCGCGCTGGATGACGTTGCGCGGGTATCTATGCTCTCTACTCCGTGGCCACATCGCGATTGCATAGATCTGCAAGAGCTTGGATGCAGTTCGTGCGACAGAGACTGCACAGAGACCACCACGCCTCTTCCAAAAAGAGGTACGGCCGATGCATCCGTCACAGCATACGCGGTCGATTCCGCATTGCTCGCAGCTCGACTGACGATTCCGCCAACGAGTGGATCAAGTGCGCTTATGTATTTGGAAAATGCTCCGGTGAGAACCTTCTTCAGGGCTTGTGCCGACGTTATCACGGCATGTCGCCACCTTTTGCCTCGGGACCCTGCGTAGAAGCCCCGTTGCGAGTCAAGAAGCGAATGGATCGTCGGTATGCACGTGGAGGCATTGACCAGGAGTGGAAGTACTTCGTGTTGGCTTTCGTATTGTAGACCACCCATTAAGTCAGCAGCATTCTAGCAGCTCTGGACCAATGGCTGAAGTTTGATCCAAACAGCTGTGGATCACATCTCATGGCGTAACGATTAGCTAGTCTCCTTGCCAGGTATATGGCCGCTCAAGAGGCTGAGATCCATACGCTGTGCGAGCTGACTGGTATTCTTTACCATGAACACAACACGGAGTATGATCGACAACAACAACGAGGCTACAATCACCCTACACGCGTTCACCACGGGTCTGACATCGACAATTGAAGATCGTGATGGCCATCAAAAGGGGGTTGTCGACTCCCATCCGGAAAGTCGAGCGTACATCCTTGACTCCACGCGAGCAACGTTGAACCAAGGTCTAGACTCAACTGACAGTACCATCAAAGTAGCGATGCGGTCGTTCTCTCGACATACCACCAAACAGCACATTGGAGTAGCAGTTAGCTTTAGCCACAACGTCAACTGTCGCACTGTCAGCTTGACGGGTGCACGCGACCCCATGTGTTCAACCGTGTTTCTGATGGCGGTCTCTCATGGATGCCGACTCTCACATTTGCCACATTGGACGTTGGACTGCATCAGTAGCAGGATCTCTGCACCCGCGCAAGCATCACAATCACAAACACACCCTCGGGCTCGACACAAAGGCGACTCGGTCGTTCACGCAGCATAGATGTGCCGGGATTAACATCTGCGGGACAGACGTCGTCACTCGAGCGTTTTGCACATCCAACAGCTGCACGTTGTCAGGAGGCTTGCCTGGTAGGACGCGGTACAGTAACTAGTCTTCCTGGCCAAAATTCTATTTCCAGCACTGTGTCACCTTCTACATGCATCATCGAAGGTTGAGCTGCACAGCTGCGCACAACGCATCAAACGACATAAGCCCAGCGTGCACAGCAGCACCCAACAAGATGATTCAGTTTAGTGACAACACGTAGGCCAAGTCTCGCGTCCATTCCGTTGCACGAAAGGTACACAGGAGGCGTCCATCGACAGGTAGTCGTGGTTGGTGAGACTGACAATCCGGCGCCTAGCTTTCGGCCAATTGGGTAAGGCGCGGCAGGTACGCGCCCAGAATAGCAGCCAGTACAGGATCATTCCACACAGTCGGTAGAAGACTGTTGAATTACCCTAAAACTCAGCGTGCGAGCGCTTACAATGGACAGCTATGACATCGAAACCCACATTGTGACGCCTCGGCGGCTGCCCGGCCACAACACTGACCAGGCGCCTAGGCAAGCAGTCGATACATATCGTCGGCCTACCATCCCCCGTAGAGTCCCTTTTGGATGCAGCATTTCGACTTCATGAGACGAGTGATGTGTGCCGGATTTTTTTGATTATCTCCTTCAATTTCCTTTACTTTCACCGCCGCTGGTTCGGCGCTTGTCCTTATGTTACTTCTCAAGGTCTTCTAGATTCCCTAGTGAGTGCGCGAGCAGACCCAAGGTTCGTCAAGAATGTAGCTTACAGGTATACAGATTCTGTACCACTATGCTTTTGAGCCATGTCAAAAGGCTATGCATCATCTCGGCATCCCTAATCGCAGCTGCGCCGCAGAACGCAGCACCTACGGTCACTTCAACACCAGTCACGCTCCCTACCGAGCTTCAGCAAGACGTTCCTTCCTGCGCATATTCATGTATCCGATCATCGTTATCACAGCGTTTTCCAGTAGCATGCACAGCTCAAGGAGATCTCGAGTGTCTCTGCTCTCGTTACAGCACTTTCGGCGAGTCACTGGGTGAAGTGGCTCTGGGCTGCGTGTATGCTTCATGTGGAAGCCTTGATGCGGCTGCGTCAGCCTATAATGTCTGTCTTGGTCAGCAGAACGCCGTTCTGCCTACCAAGACGGCTCTTACCGTTATTCCCAGCAGCACCGTAAACGCAGTCCACAGTTCAGCTACTACCTCGTCTAAATCTACATCTACATCACGGGCCACGATCACATCTATTACAAAGACGACATTGCAGACGCAAGTATCCTCCAGTCAATCTGTCTTTGTGGATTCCATCTCGCTGCCTGCATCAGCCACTTCGTCACCATCTACAGCCACCTCGATTGCAGCCCCCGCGGCGAACGATGACCGTCCCGAGATGTCGCCGGCTCAGATTGCGGGTCTCTCGGTAGCAGCCGTTGCAGCTTTCATCATCGCCATTGGACTGATGGCGTTGAGTGTCTTCTTAAGACGGCGCAAAGAGCGGAAGAGCACGTATCTGAATGAGAAGGACCGTGATCGCCGAAGGCAGCAGGAGGCGCGCTTCTCACATTACGTTCCCATGGACGATGCGCCGGCACCTCCAGCTCGCTTCTCTATCGGACCACCCCCCCCTCTTGCTTCGCGCAATGCACCCAGATACCCACGTCTTGTCACACCTTCACCTTTCAGCACACTACAGATGTCAAATCCTGGAACTGGCCGCACTGCGATCCGGCCGGGCGTTGGAACTTCCAACAGTGGGGCTTCCGTTCCTATGTCACAGATTGGCCTTGCCATTAGCGCGGAGCTCGAAGGCTGTCCTGCACCTGTCAAGTCGGCCAAGCATCCAAGACAAAAGGTCACAGAAGAACACTTCAGACCCGTCAGCACGCGCACTGAGGCCACAGTGTTCGAGGAAGATGAAGTCGCGGCCCGCCGTCGATCATCGAAGCTCCTTCCAACACCACCAGTACCTGTCATGCCAATCCGCAGTCTCCAACCCTCTCGACTTCCCTCAAAAGCACCAACAACTTCCACCATATCTTCAAACCGTGCAGGGCGGGGCTCGGAGTTGTTTCTTGATATCCCGGTCCGTCACGAGAGGCCATTGCCCAAAAGGATCGTACCAACAGGCCTGTCATTGACCGGCTCTCCCGCACCAAAGCGTCCCACACCCCAACTACAGATTCCCTCCTCCACCTCGCAAAATACGAGTTCTACATCAACAACTGCCGTAACTCCCGCCAGCGCAGCGGATATCCCCGACTACTACTTCAGCACCCTGCCGCCCCCACCGCGTGATACCACACCCCGCCAGGACTCGGATACTCTCCCAGCAGCAAAGGCCCGCCGAGCACCTCCCTCGTCCAGCACAACCGACTCCCGCACAGTCTCAAAGACATCCACGCACCCAACCTTCCGCGACTCGATCTCGTCCCAGACTTCCTTCGAGACCGCCGACCCCAACGACCCAACTCCAGAAGACGACTCGGACTCAAAGCAGTTGTCTGACGACAACAAACTCTCACCTGTTGCAGAGTCTCCAATCCACGGTCTCAGATACCCCAAAGTCCCACGTGCGTCGAACCAACTAGTGCCCCGCAGCTCCCCGGTAGGCTCTACCCGCAATGGCTCAGTTCGGATGGGCGGTTCGCGCCGCAGCCGCGAGGAGGGCAGATTTTACGTGCGCCCGCCTCCCGAGGCGAGTTCTCTGCTCGTCAAGCGCCGCGGCGAGCGCGAGGCCGTCGACCTCGAGAAGAAACTCGTGCTCAAAGACCCGTTCACTACACCCACGCGTCGCCAGATGCGGAACGCCAGCGAGCGACATGATGCTGGTAAGAGGATTAACTCGTGGGAGCACACGCCGGCGTCGAAAATCGATGCTTATGGCTCTCCTGCGATGACCGTGCACGAGGCGGATCGCCCGAGGCCGTTGAGCATCGTCAAGAAGAGAGATAGTGATGCAGGGGAGATGGTGGGACTGAAGAGTCCGGTGTGGATTCCGCATCTTACGCCGACGAGGAAAGGGGATGATCTGTTTATTAGTGTTGGGTGGGGTGATAACTTGCGAGGCGGGCGTCGAGGGTGAGCGAGGCGCGCAAAGGTGTTTGACGATTTCTGTGTATAAATTTTTCGATCTTCCTAGGGTGTGTTTGTACAGTAGCGTGACGAGATACCCATGGCTTAGCGTAGCAGTTTGACAGTCTGATTAAGACAATGACATTCATAACAGTTTCCTTTACTCCTCAGACCAAGAAAAGCTCGTGCTTGTTGCGATCGCCAAACCTGCATATCACGCCCTCACCTCCCTGAGCAGCATATGGCTCACGAAGCAGGGCAGCCCGGTAGCCTAGTCCCTACCATGTATCCTGCCTTGAGCCGGACACAAGCAGCCGTCCATCAGCATTGTCATCACCACAGGTCCTCAGTACAGCAAGGCTTACTTCAACCGTAGACGTTTAAAAGCCGTCAGTAATCACCCTGCCGGTTTGGAATATGTGGAGGTATTCGGGCGTATAAGCCATAGATAATCTCTTGTTTCTTTGGCGGCCGGCACAAACCTGCTTTCCCGATGTTTCGGTGAGTGCAAGTACATCCCCGCAAGACATGTAAGCTTGTGTACTGACGCGAACCTACGAGCCACGCCGGCGAGAGCCATGACCGTGTCCTTGTAAAAAGTCAAACGGTTGACCCTGTACTCGATGATAGGATCAATCCATATGTTGAAGCTCTTCCGGCAGTGTCCTTGCGGGAGACGATCCGGCCTGCAGAATCGTAGTACTGCGGATACTAGTCTTCAGTGGGCGCTCGTTCATTTTTCTCTCATATATTCGATCACAGCTCTTCTTGAGCCGGTGGGTCGACCCTATATTCTCGTCGTAGCACCTATCCCCACACTCCCAGGCCAGGTGGTGATATTGGTATAGAGTTGTGCGTCGGCACAGGAACTACTCCCGAAAGGCCCATGCGTGAGTGAAAAGCGGCCACTGTGTCGAATCCAGGCGCTTCCAATATTCCAACTCGTCTTCGCTGTGGTCCGCGAACAGTGGATATCCCCCGGGCTATAATACTATGTCCGGAGGGGTCGGCTTGGCGAAGAGTGTAGAGACTGCGAACCCTAGGATCAGACAAGAACTGTCCATGGTTCGCTTCGGGTGGCATGAAGAAAGACGACTTTGCATGTGCAATTGCTACGGATTCCCAGTCCTCTTCAGAGTCTCACGTGATGCCGATGAAATCCTTCCATAGAGACTGACGGCCCAGATTGCGAGGCATTTCGATTGCGGCCTTCGCTGCCGGACCGCTCTCCCCCGGCCCTCGGAATTAAAACAAACAGTCTCGTCCCGAGCGTGAGTTGTCTGAGCGTACACGGTCGGAATGACAAAGACACTTGACACTTACCATCTAACGCTTATCAGTCCGATACCCGTTGCGTGATGTCGATGCAAGCGCACTCCTTCCTTCTCCCGCGCTGGCTCCCAGGAACAAAGCGCGTGGGTGTAAGATGGGGCCGGTGAGTAGGTTGGCGGGTGTGACGTCGCGATGCGGGGAGCTTGAAGGACAGGGTGCGCAAACGCAAGAGGAGCAAGACGAGATGGCGTTTAGATGCAAAGATATATACAAGAAGCTACGCAAGCCATGTTCGAGAAGCTACTTCCTCACCCTCCCATACCCCTTACTCAACGCCGTATCCACATCCCCATCCACCAGCCTACTCCCTTGGGGCCCGCCATCTGCCCGCAGCACGTCTTCCCTGCGTTGCAACAGCATCTTAACCTCATTCTCCCTCTCCTCTTCCGCCTCCAATCCCTCAGCCACCCCACGCCCCTTATCCGCGCTCATCCCACGCCCCTCTGCCTCGCGCGCCCAGCCCAACTGCAGCTCGGCAGCCGCAGCCTGCTCGAACCTACGCTTGACCTGGGGATCCTTCTCCAGCTGCTGAAAGGTGAGGACATCGTCTGGCCAGAAGGCCGCGCGGAGCGCCTCGACGCCGATTTCGAAGACGACGAGCGCGAGAAGGATAATGAGAAGGACGAGCCACCAGGGTAGCGTGGCGCCGAAGCCGCGCACGAAGGTGCTGCGCACGTAGTAGATTGTTGAGGCGGGGTTGTATGTCAGCGAGAGGATTATGTTCCAGAGGAACCAGCCGCCGACGGAGCAGAAGATTGCGAGCCCGTTTGTGAGCGTTTTGGAGTGTGTTTCGAAGAACCTGGTGCACTGTTAGCTGCGTGTGTTGTGCGAAGAGAAGGAAGGGGGCGGGGGGCGTACTGCATCTTCAGGCTAATGGCGCACACGACGGCCGTGTATGTGATGCTGCCGAGGGCGAAGATGGAGTTATCCTGGGTGAAGGGCGCGGCGCCGTAGAGCGCGAGCGCGCAAAAGTACACGAGCATTGCCTCGGCCGAGGCCATGAACATCCAGGCGAGGTATACTCTGATGTTGAAGCCACCGTTGCGCTGGCCCTTTGTGTAGAGCTCGGGGACGGCGAGGAGGGTCGAGGCGGACAGGTCTTTTTCGAAGACGCCCATGAAGATGACGGGCAGCGAGGTGAAGAGCGTGTTGAACATGCTGAGCGACCACGACTCGTACAGCGACGTGCCCGTGTAGCCGACGGAGCGTTGGTACAGGGCCTGTGTGAGGTAGAAGAGCATCTCCTTCCAGAACGTGCCGACGGTGTACTTGCAGGTGCGCATGTAGTTCCAGCGCCCATGCACCAGCAGCAACTTGGTGAGGAATCGGAACTGTGCAATCGAATAGTCGGACGTGCGCGCTGCCTGGAGACCCTCCTTGCCGGTGATGCCGATGCCGACGTGTGCTTCTTGGATCATGGCGATGTCGTTGGCGCCGTCGCCGATGGCGAGTGTGATGCTCTTCTTGACGCGTTTGCGGATGGTGTTGACGAGGAGGGCTTTCTGGGAGGGTGAAGCGCGGCAGCAAATCACCGAGTCTGCGAGGATGGCCAGCTCGTAGAAAAGCACCTGCAGCGTCTCATCTTCGGTGATGCGGGACAGAGTCTGGCCGTCGACGACCACCACAGAGTGCGCTACTGTGCCCTGTGTGATGGCTACGACGGCTGCAGCAGCCATCTCTTCGACATGCCCAGCTTCATCGTCGAGGATAGTGACAGTGGAGTAAGCCTTGATCAGACGGCACGAGTATCCGATGTTGATGGCAGTCTCGCGCTTGTCGCCCGTCAACATCCACATCTTGATCTTGGCACGGCGGAGCTTGTCGATTGCCTCGGGAACGCCTTGCTGGAGCTTGTCTTCGATAGCGGTCGCAGCACAGAGGTCGAGGTTCTGCTCGATCATATCACCGGCCTCTTCGATCAGTCTGGTACGGTCGACGAGGCTGGTCGTAGCTTCAAGGTAGCCTTTCTTCCAACTTTGATACTCGTCTTCTGTCAGATAGCGGTACCCGTACAGAAGCGTTCGAAGGCCCTCGGTAGCGAACTCGTTGATGTGCTGGAGGCAGCGCTCAACAACGGCCGAGTCATCACCTGCGACGTTCTCGTCGACCATGGCTTCCATATCCTCCAGCTGCATCGAGCTCCTCGCTGACGATGCCACCGAGGAAAGGCATCCGAGGTCGGACGGGCGAGGGGTTCGCGAAGGCGACACTGTGTCCTCGATGGGGTGACGACCAAAGTCGTTCTCTCGCTCTCGGAGCCACAGATCCACGTCGTCTCTCGCAGACATTGAGGGGCGGCCACCAATACTGCCTCGAGCCATCGAGTGCCTCCCCATGCTGATGCTGTGGCGAGCAGCTTGGGCAATCGACATGCTCCTCCGGCCCCCAACACTGCTCCTCCTCCCACCGATGCTGCTCTTGCGATCAATCTGTTCGCTCATGCGAGCGATGGCTGACTGAACCTCCATGCTCTTCCTCTTGTTCGCATTTCGCTCGATCTCGACCATTTTCTTGTTTGCGAGCGAAGCCAGCTTGAGGCGTTGCATGAGGATCGAGTCGGCGCCTTTGCAGAGTATGCACACGCGACCGTCTGGAAAACGAAGGACGATGGACATTCTCTTGCGCTTGCTGGAGAACTCGATAACGTCTAGGATCTCATACGTTTCGAGGGTGGGCTCGCCTCCGGATCTGATGGGCAGAATCTTGAGTGTGATGGTATGCACATCACGATTGATGAGCAGGAAGCCCATGTCTTGAGCAGCCTGGACAAGAGCGAGTTCGTCGGGGGATGACGCCATGAAGTGCGTCTTTCCATCCTCCTGGACCTCCGGCAAGCACGTGTGGCAAAGCGCCAACGAAAGCAGAAACATGCGTGCCTTTCTCGAAAATGGAGTGTGAGGCTTTCGTTGCATGTAGCGAAGCATGTCGCCAGTCAGAAGCTCTCGGGAGGCCTTGTGCGGGTTTGTCGTCGACTGCCACCGCGAGCCTGTGGTGTCTTCGGCGCCAAATTGCTCACCGAGATCTATCGTGGCCATGCCGTGCTCCTCAAACATGACGTCCTTGGCTGACCGTACGCTTTTCCTGCTCTTAGCTGGCTCTTTGCCCTTCTTGCGCGGCCTGTTCTTTAAACCCTTCTTCTTCTTCGAGTCGGGCAGATCCGCATCGTGCAGCCATGCCACGCCGGCCACGCTCAGCTTCCGAAACTTCATCGAGTTGTCGGTGAGCGTGCCAGTCTTGTCGGAGAATATGTAGCTGATCTGTCCCAGCTCCTCATTGATGGTCGATGTTCTCGGCTCGCAGGGCGTGTCTGACACTGGGTCATACATGTCAATGTCTGTGTGCAGAAAAAACATCTGAGCGAGCTTGACAATCTCCAAACTGACGTAGAGCGACAAAGGGATCATGGTATTGAACATGATGACGAAGGAGGTGAAGCTTGGGAAGAAAGCAACAGAGGATCCGGACAGGTACCAAAGCCGGTCTTCCTTGCGTTGCCAGATTTTATATGCAACGGCGTTGAAGACCGAGAGGAGGATGACGAATATGACGATGATGATGACGATGCGGTTGACGAAGCCCTGAAGCGCAGGAGCCTTGATGCGTGGATTCTTATTGGCGTTCATGCGGATGCGGCACTCCTCGCCTGAGTAGATGACAAGTCCGATGGCATCTGGAGTATTTCGCAGGATGCTACCACGGAAGATGATCTCGTTTAGTGTCAAAGGTGCTTGCTTGCCACCTACTTGGACACGGCCCTCGAAGCTGTACAAATCTCGATTTGGATCCTCGATGACGAATTCGGCTTCTGTCCGCAGGACATCCTCCTGCGTCTTGATGATCTTCGACATTGATGCCGCGGTCTGCTTGCTTTTCAGGTTGGTCTCGCCATCCAGCGCCATCGTTTCAACAAACGCTACGCTGTTCTCGCCGCTGGAGTGCAGCAAGGCCAAGTCTGCGGGCGCGGCATCATCACGGTCCAATTTGATGATGTCTCCGACCTGGATGTCTTGCCACTTGATGGCCTCCCATACCAGCTTCTCTGGCTCCGGGGAGGACACGCTTCCGTCATCCGTTGCCGTACTTTTATGAACAGGCAATGGGCTGGAGCGCAGGACCTTTGCTTCCCGATTGTTCTCGGCCTTGTCGAGCCGGTACCTCCTCAGGTCGTCGTAGCCTTCTTTCGCGATGGACAGGAAAACAAAAAAAAGGAGTGGTACAATAGTGGTGTATCTGCCAGTGGTGCTGAGATCGGGTATCATTTGGAGGATTGAGATTATAAGGAAGTAGAAATTTGCGAGCTTGGAGAACTGGGCGACAAGTTGACGCGGTACAAAGTTCCAGGCTGAGTATCGTGTGGAGCGAATCCAATTCTGCACATAAGGCTGTGCTGTTCGTTCGTCGAGCAAGGGCTCTCTCCGTGTAGAGTCCAGGACTATGTGTCGTCCATCTTTGCTGGGCGCTATGTCATGCTGTCGCAGTACGAATTTACGTGCCTGTGTTGCGGTTTCGCGGAACCGTTTCCCGTACGTGGCCCTCCTGCTGGTCTGGCTTTTGGTGAAGCTGCTGTAGTGCGGAAGGGCGATTGGTCCTTTTCCAAGCTTGGCTTTTGAAAGATCTGACGCTTCTGAGGCATAGCCAACCTGCGCAGGAGTGACAGATACAACAGTGTCTCCGCTTTTCAAAGCGTCCCTGTTTGTGCACACGTTCGACTGACCATTCGACTGACCATTCGACTGACCATTCGACTGTCCATTGCCGTCTTGCGAACGGCCAACGCTCTCCTCCAACTCGATGCTCCCAGCCAGAGGTTGCGCCTGGTCTGTGTAGTTCTTCCGGAACAGAGCGCTGCGCATGGACAAGCCTCGATTGCGGGTCTTGGGGGCCGGCGGCGAGCTCTTGCCGGAGGGCTGTGGTGGGAGAGGCGAAGCATGGGCAGACGGGGCCTCTACGCCCTCTGGGTCCAGCTCGCGCGCATCGACTGTCAGGTCTGGTGTCCCAGGTGTTCCTTGGACAACCTCGTCAACCTCGTCAACCTCGTCAACCTCATCAACCTCGTCAACCTCATCAACCTCGTCAACCTCGTCAACCTCGGCCCAGCTGCTCACTCGACCCGTCCTCTGAGCGGGCGCGTGTCGTTCCATGTCGGTCGAGAAGCGCACCCTCTGCGAGTGGTCAGAGGACATGCGCGCCGCCGTCGGTCGCGCGGTGCTTTCTCCGGCCGCAATCACTTCATCGTCGTCGTGGGACGCTGAGCGGCGTCTGCGCGCGCCGCCGCTTGAGTCTCCAGCGGCCGACATGCTCGTCCGACATCCCAGACGCAGGCGAAGTGGGTGGAGTGTGCTGAGCGCGTTGAGCAAGGCCGCTGCTTGTAACGATCTGTCTAGCGGCTTGTCCACTTAGCGAATACGCAGCAGCGGAGTGGGGGGAGATTCGTTCATCTGGGGGGGAGATTCGTTCATCTGGGGGGGAGATTCGTTCATCTGGGGCGGGCGCTGGTGAGCAGGCGTCAGATACGAATGGATGCGCGCGGGCAGAGCTGCGGCTGGATGCTGACAGGTTTGGCTCGGCAGCCGGCCGTGATGCATGCATGCTGTTCGATCCCTGCAGCGCACCTACTGCGAACCGTCAACGTAGGTAGCACGATGCGGCGCTGTCACCCAGCAGCCCCACCCCAAACGTGCTCCACAGACGTGCATCCAGACGGCTCAGAACCGTGGGTGTGCGGTCCAAGGGTTCAACAAAGGACCGCCACGTGCGGCCCGCCAGATCTCACTGCAGGGCTCAGACCTCACCCCATGGCTTAGGCCTCACCCCACAACTCAGACCTCATCCCACAACTCAGACCTCATCCCACAACTCAGACCTCACCCCATGGCATCTTTGTTTGCAAAATGGTTGAACTGAGAGGTGGCTATGCTATGCTATGCTATGCAACGCTGCTTGAATTACTAAACTTGCACCGAACCAGCTACGGGCTACTCCAACGCCGTGGTAAGAATGCCCTGAAAAACAATGTGGTATAGTGAGAGTCCTGTGACTCGATGCATCGTGTAATCCTCCTCTTCGCGAATATACTCGCCGACTCCACTCCCATACATGACCTTGGATAAAAGAGAAAGCAGTCTGTGTTGGTATCCCGATGTCGTGACGCTCATTAAAGTATAAACCCTCAAAGACTATGGTAGAAGAGACGAGCGCCATGCAGTATGCGGCCATAGATATTGATCCAGTAGAATGTGACGATATCTTGTGCGGAAACAGATGATTAGGAAATGTGCCCGTCGCCCGTCTACGTAGCAGCTACGCACCAGTGGCGGTGGAATACCCACGCGCTCTTCTGGCACTCTTTGCTGCAGTACTTTGTCCTTCGGCAGCGACGGCACTTTGCAAACTGGCGTGTGTACTCTTCCCACCGGCCGCACTGGTAGTACGCACATTGACGGATGCCGCCTCGAGAGTCGTCTTTTCGGCACAGGTTGCGCATAACAACGCTTGCCCAGTACTGCATGTCCGACGTGTGGTGTCGAACGGTGAACTGCTCGACAAGCGGAAAGATGTTGAAGTCGTCGGGGAGCTCGTACTCCTCGTCTTCCTCGCCCTCTTCCTCGTCCGTCTTGGGGACAGGGACGTCTCCGTCCAGCAGCTGCAGGTCGGACCCAATCTTCAGCTTGGGGACAAGGTGGGACTGCTGAAAGTAGTTGCGGAGATTGCAGTACTTTGAAACATAGGCCAACAGCTGCAGCGACATCAAAACGTCCTCGTCACGAGGCATGGCGGCGAGAACGCCGGCTGTGACGTTGCGGTCCGGCGCGTAGCGCGGGTACCATGGAGGTGGAGGGTTTGCGTTTGCAACATTCATCGCTGGCTGCATGGGGGAGAAGCCGGCAATGGTGGCAGCAGTGGGCGGGGTGTTGGTGGGGTTGATCAGACTGCCGTCGAGTGCAGGTCGGTGTGTAATGTTGAACGTCTCATTGTTCTCGTCTGCTGCATCCGAGGGCGCTGCGAGCGGGACTGGTGTTGCGCCAGCGTCCATTTCTGCATTGTCCACAATGGCTGTCAGGTCCATGTCTTGCTGGATGCCAACAATGGGCTCGTGTGCAGCTGGACCAGCCGCTGCCACGGCGTCCATCGACAGCTCCTCTTGCTGTGCATCCAGGTCCGACTCGCCAGACAGGGACAGCTGGTGTCGAATCGACGGTCGGCGGCGGGTGCGGTTCTGCCCCGCTCGTGGGCTGGCTTGGCGCGCCTGAGGAGCACTCGGCGTCGTCGGCGACTCGGGTCGCGAGGCCATCTCCCCGGCCAGCGCAGGGAGCATCGAAGGCAGGCGGTCGGCATCGCGCACGGGCCGCAGCGCAAAGCCGTCGGCCGTGGCATCCATGGACGCCATGGCCGTGACAAGCGGCTGGCCAAGCGTGCGAGGAGCAGGAACGAACAGCGGCGTCCGCGACTCGTGGTGTGGCCTGTGGTTGTGGTGGTGGTGGTGTGACGGGCGGCCGCGGTTGAACGTGGTGCGCTCAGGCGGAGAGCTCAGGGCAAACGTAGGCATGTGGTTGCCCTCCATGGCCGCGTCCAGGACGGGCATGTGAGCCTGGGTCAGGCCAGCGTGCGGCGGCAGCTGAGGAATCTCAATCGGCGGGGGGACGGCGCGCCGCGACCGCTCTGCTCTGTGGCCCGAGGCCGACGCCATCTCGCCAGAGCGCGACGAGTGGTGTCGGGCAGAGGCGCCCAGCCGTGCGGAGCGGTACTGGTCAGCCTCGGCCCGCTGCCTGTACTTGTCAACGACCTTGATGTAGTTGTCGAGAATGGTAGCGATGACGGGGACCATGTCGGCCTCGACGACGCGGGTCCTGACGTTCTCGGACCCGCGCACGCCAATGTTGAAGATGCACTGGAAGGCCAGGTTCCACTTCCACATGTCCATCATGTCCTTGCTGCGGCCCTCCTTGAGGATGCATATGAGGCGCTCGATCCCGCCGTCGACGGTGAGGATGTCGCGGATGCGGGCCGACGACGTGGTCAGGTAGGCGAGATGGTTGAGCGAGTTGATGAGCGGCAGGGTCGACGTGCAGTCGAGCGCGCGGCGATCGTACAGGGCCGTGGTGATGCCGACCGAAGCCTTGTTGGCGTTGGGGATGCTGAAGTTGACCTCGCGCATGTTTGCTGTGCGCTGGTGGCCGGGTGCGAAGTCGGGGTGCCGTGGGCGGGTGCAGTGGTGCAGTGGTGCAGTGGTGCAGCACTAGTGTCGCATGTGGTGGGCGACAAGCCGGCCTGCTGAGAGCGACGTGCACGGCGGCGGCGCGCGGCAGAGAGGCAGAGAAGGGGCGCGACGGCCTGGAGGGGAGCTTGATGGGCGGTCGGCGCGAGATGGAGATGTGTGTGCTGTGTGTTGGGCGTAAGGTGTGAGGCGTGAGGCGTGTCCCAGGCACGGCAGGAGCGTGTGGTGTGGCAAGCTGGGGGGGGGGGGGGGGCCGCAGTGAATCGGGGGGCCGCAGGGGCAGCGGTTAGCTAGACAGGACAGGCCGAGTTCTCTGCGCGGGCGGTGGGTTGCGGTAAGAGGATGGGCGTGCTAGAGGATGTTTCGATGAGGCTGTGGTGGTGGGAATGGAGACGCGGAGCAGAGGCGTCGAGGCGTCTGGGTGGGCGACGGGGCGACTGGGCGAGTGAGCGACTGCTGAGCAACCGTGGGCCCACTCACAGTCCCACGGTGGAGTCGGCACCAGCTAGCGGACCGCGAATAGCAGCGGCAGCAGTAGCAGCAGCAGCAGCAGCAGCAAAGCCTCGACGTTTCATTTCGCGTGAAATCACTGCCAATCCGCCCTCTAGTTGGCGCATACATGCCTGCAGAGCTCTGGCAGGCCTCTGGCAGCGCTCTGGCCTGCTGGAGCCGCGAATTCTCGTCGTGCTCTCCCTCTCTCTGCAGAGTGCAGACGTCGGCCGAGTGCGTGACTGCTGGTGCTCTCCCAAGCCTCGCTAGCAACCCGGCCGTGCTACCTTGATGGCTTCACGCCGCTTGCTCCAGCAGAGCCTGCAAACGCGCCGCAACGGGCTGCAGCCGTGCAGCCGTGCAGCAGCACAGCAGTGCAGCCGAGACTTTGTTGCTGTCCGCTTACATGATGCATCTGCCGCAGCGTCGGACGACTCTGACTCTGGCCGCGAGTCGCACGCAGCAGAAAGTTCAAGGGTCGTGTTTGGTACTTCGTACACAGCCATGGGTCCATGTGCAGCCAGAATACGGCCTGTCTCCCGTCGTAGCATGTCTGCTCATGGCCCCTAAAGCCTATCCCTATTCCCGCCCCTGTGCCACGCTCCCCCGAGTCCTCCAGGAGCAGGCCTACACCACTGCACCGCTGCACCGCAATCTGCACGCCAGTCGTCCGTTTGTGCGGCATGGCCACACCACCACGCCCCAAGATCCAGGACTTTGCCGTGCCGGGCTCGCCGGCGTCCGCCCAGGATCGCCGTCCCTCGGTGGCAACCTCGCCCAGACTGCATCTGAACACGCACCTGGACGAGCTGCCCCAGAGCAGGAGCCGTGGCCGGTCTGCGACTTCCGCCACGGCAACCGCCGCCCAGCCAAACATTGAAGAGGTCCTCTCTCCCACCTACAGCCGCTCCTCCGTCGACACCGCCCTGCGTCGCCGAATCACGCGTTCGAACACGGTCCGTCACTACCAGTCGCCGACGCGCGCCACGTGGGAAGAGCCGGGCGCCGAGCCTGGTGTTGACGTCAAGGATGAAGAGGCAGCCGCGCGATTCGCACATCTGCACCAGCAGTGCGACATCACCGTGGTAGACTTCTCTGCCGAGAGGATCCAGACATATGAGCTGGACAACGACACGTTGCAGGACTTTGTGAAGAGGCCCAAGGATGACTGGGTCGAGTGTCGCTGGGTCAACGTCAACGGGCTCGACTTTGACGTCATTGGTGAGCTCACCATGCACAAGCAGCTGCACCGACTGGCAATCGAGGACCTGATGACGGGTCGCGAGCAGCGCACAAAGGTCGATTGGTACTCGGATCAAGCTTTCAGTAAGTGGGACTGTCCTCGACGCGGAGCTGCCGGCTTCCGAGGTGCATGGATCGGCCAACGCGTTGCGACGACCATCACATCCTCGACGACCATCACATCCTCGACGACCGTCACATCACTCGACGACCATCACATCCTCGACGACCGTCACATCCTCGACGACCATCACATCACTCGACGACCGTCACATTACTAACACGCTCCAGTGCTGTTGACGCTCTCGAAGCTTGTCCGGAACCCCAGCGACGACTCGGACAGCGACTCGGACTCGGACGATGGCTTGCCCAGGCGCGCACGCGCCCGGTCACGCTCTCGGGCTGCACGTCACGCACACAAGAGGAAGAGGAAATCGTGGATGAAGAAGATCAAACAGGCCTTTGGTCTACCTGGTGGGCCGCAGCACCCCAAGGATGTGGAGCACACACCGGACAGCGTCGAGAAGCGCCAGGCAAGCGTAGACGCGGCGAGCATGTCTCGTGCATCCATGTCCAGGCAGCACAACGAAAAGATCCGCACCCTGCAGCGTTACCGCGGCGGGCCAAACATGGAGCGCATTCTCTACCTCGAGCAAAACTCGGCGCTCACCGACAAGCACCTCACGGTCAGCGTCGAGCAGGTCGGCATCTTCCTCTGCGCCGACAACAGCGTCATCTCCTTCTTTGAGCACTCGGCCAACATCATCGAGTCCTTCATCCTCAAGCGCCTCAACACCCAAGACACGATCCTCCGGCGCAGCGCCGACAGCTCCATGATTGTGCAAGCCATCATCGACGCCATCATCGACCTGGCCATACCCGTCGTCGCCGCCTACGAAGACGCCATGGGCGAGCTCGAGCTCGACGTGCTCGAGGACCCCGAAATCCACCACTCGCAATCGCTCTATCTCCTCACCTCGGAGCTCTCCATACTGCGCAACACCATACAGCCCATCATCAGCCTGATCAACGCCTTGCGCGACCACAAGAGCGACCCCATGCAGCAGAACTGGATCCAGCACCAAAACTCCAACCTCGCAACCCGCAGGACCATGTCGTCCATTACCATTTCGCCGCTCGCGCACACGTACCTCGGCGACGTCGAAGACCACTGCATCATGATCACGGCGTCGCTGGACCAGATGCGGCGCGCGGCAGACAACCTCATCGACCTGATCTTCAACATGATGGGCGCCTTCCAGAACGAGTCGATGAAGGTGCTCACCGCCGTCACCATCTTCTTCCTCCCGCTGACCTTTCTTGTCGGCTACTTTGGCCAGAACTTTGCCCGCTTCAACGGCGTCCAGAATCACAGCGATGCCTTCTTCTGGATCATCGCCGTCCCTGTCATGGTGCTTACTATGCTCGTGCTCATGAGCCAGACTATTGTTAGAAAAGTCCGTCGCTGGGCGGGCAAGCTGCGGCTCAAGAGGGCTAGGGTTAGGTTTGGCGCGCGCCAGGGCGGCAATGGAGCGCGTGTCTTGGGGCTGACGCACGAGCAGAAGAAGAGGGTCCGCAGGCGCCAGACCATGTACACCAAGGGGCAGATTGGGTCGTTTTAGGGGTCGGCGTGGTCGTGTGTCGAGGTACTAGACAATAACGCGTGTATATCTAGCCCCAGCATGGAAACGTGTAATGCGGCACTCTGGTTTATACTTTGCGTGTCATAACAACCCAACCCACTTCCTTTTCCTCCAAACCCAACGCCCGTCTATGCAGAATAAACCCACTCTGTCACGATGCAACCAAACCCCCGCCGTCCGACGCACCACAACCCTAGCTGACCTCCTTGATCTTGCACTGCCAGCCCGACTCCTTCTCGAGCAGCGGGAGCCTGCACTTGTTAGTCGACCGTTATCTCCAAGTGCGGGAGGAGGAAAAAGGGAAAAGGAAAAAAACTAGAAAAAAAGAAAAAAAAAAAAAAAACTTACGAAGCGCCCAAACACCACCCCAGCTCATTACCCTTGATCTGCTTGGCAATCCTCACCTCGCGATCAAGCGGCATCCCATACCCCTCATGCAACAGCGCGAGCTGGAAATTCAAATCAAGGCACCACTCCGGGCGACCCTTTAGCTCCTCGAGGGCCTTGGGGACCGGGCTGAAGACGTCCCATGCAGACGCGCCCTGACACACCGAGTGCGCGATGCTCTGCAGCTCGCGCAGCGTAAAGGATGATGGCATGCCGAGGTCCTGTGTGCGGTCGTAGAAGTACGAGAGCAGGTACACGGGCTCGGTGGCGAATGTCTGCTCGAAGGGGGGCTGGTGCACGCCCCGGAATGCGCAGGGCGCGAGCTTGCACTCGTCGTCTTTGTGTAGTGTTTTCTCTGCCCAGCCGCGGCACTGCGTTGGTGCGCCGTGGGAGGGGCCCGTCATGTTGACTGTTACTGCGTCGCCCAGCGCGTGGCCCTTGGGCAGCTTGACGTCGATCTCGCGACTCATCCCGGGCGCGATGCAGGGGTTGACGATGGGCGCCTTGAGGTAGTCTGTTGCGCCCGTGTCCTTGTTCTGCTGGTAGAGGGCGTCGAGGATGGTGCTGTGCAGGTTGTTGCGGGCCTCCATCAAGCCGTAGCCCAGGTACGAGTGCTGGTAGAGATCAAAGTCGCGGCCGCCAAACTGCAGAGCGTACTTGTGGTCGCCCTCGGCGAGTTTGCTGGGGAGTCCACCGCGAGGAGCCTCGGGGAACGTCGGGTGGAAGACGATCTGGGTCGAGCCACCGCCGAGATCGAGCACGGCAGCGGTGGGCGTCTTGTCCGGGCCGCCGATCTTGCCGAGCAGGTAGTTGATGGTGATCCAGGCGTAGACGCCCTCCATCTCACCGGGCATGACCTCGACGCCGTTCTTCTCCTCGGAGACGAGGGGGAAGGGGTAGACGGTCTCCAGACGGTTGCGGACAGCGCGCAGGGTGTTGTTGCTCTTCTCCTCGCCGAGCTTGCGCAGGCCGGCCGTGGCCTTGACGGCAATGGGCGAGCAGCGCTGGTACTCCGGGGGCACGCTCGCGACGGCCTTGTCCATGAGCACGTCCAGGCTCTTCGCAGCGCCCTCGGCGTCGTCCCCGTACGACGACAGGCCAGAGCCGCCCTCCCGCTTGGGCGTCATCTCGAAGACCTCGCTCTCGAGCTCGGGGCTCGGCCCGCAGTTGTTGAACTTGTAGACGTGGATGCGCGAGCCTGTGCTGCCGGCGTCGATCATGAGCGCGTACTGGATGAGCGGCTTGTCCTTGGAGTACGACTTGGTGCACGTCGCCTTGGCGCCGCCCGCCGCTGTGTTGCCGCCGGTCGATGGTGTTCCTGTAGCGAGTGGTCAGTCCAGTCTGCGCCTGCGATGCGGCCTACGCACCTCTCGCCAAGCCGTCGCGCGGCGCGATAAAGTACAGCACCAGCAGGACAAAGGCAATGACGCCGCCCGTCTTCAGGTAGCGCAGGCGCTGCCCCTGGTTCATCATCGCGGAGCCCTTGAAGTCGCCCATGTAGCCTGTGGAGGGGGTCGAGCGGTGTCGCGAATGGCGGTCGGGCTTCTCGTGCGGGTCGCTGTGCGGGTCGGCGTGCGGGTTGTAGGTGCGCGGGAGGGTGACGGACACGCGGCGGCGAGGGCCCGTGAAGCTGAGGTAGGACCAGATACCGGGTCGTCGTTGGCCGGGGGCTTCAACGCCGCTGGACATGCCACTAGGGGAGGCGTACGCAAAGGGTCCTGGGTTCAGGCCGCGTGCATCGAACGGGACTACGTTCCGAGATTAGTGCGAGCAACGGTGCAGTGAGGGCGTCTGGACAGCAAGACATACTGCAGTGCCTGTGGAAAGGGGGAAGATTGCTGCGTTGGTACTCAATGCGTTGCACCCTGTTGCGCTTGTGTTGTGTTCCCTTCGTTGCACGACATATCCCTGACCTGCCAAGCCTTGTAACTTTCAGACCTGACGTCCGCGGCCAACAATTGTGATTGGCGCGGGCGGTTTCCGTGCTACCATCTTGGGAAAAGCTCGTATTGCACGCGATTGTCTCTATGTATCCTCCCGGACTGCGCCTTCTCTACTTTCTCGGAGCCTGTGCCCTTTCAACAGGAGTACTGGCTATCATTCTGGGTGCTTTGACTGCAGCCCCTCCGTAGTCTTCAGGGCCGTGATGAGACCTCTTAAAGATGGTCTAGGCGGGGGGAGCTCGTGCAGCACTTGAGAAACAACGTCCGTCTCTTTGCACGCTGTGTCCAAGATGGCTGCTGGGGGATAACATCTTCAACACGATGGTCTGGCGTTAGTACCGCCCAACTGCATGTGCTGCAACTGTCCCAAAGCCATCCATCATCCGAATGACAGCCCTGCCCGCGTCATCACACTCTCAAACTCTTCCAGAGTGACTCCACCGACGTCCTTGCCCCTGCCTCGCACGCCGCCGTTCGCTTCGAGGATCATATCCCTCAAGACTTCGTCCGGCACATCTTCTCTGAGTTCTTTCGCTATCCGTCTAAGATGGCCTAGTGTGATCGGTCCGGGCCCTCCGTGAGTGAAGAGCTGGTACCCTGCGCTGACTTCTTCTGCATTGCTCGTGGCTCGGTAATCGTCGTCGTCTTCCATGTCGTCATCTGACCCGGCCTCCTTCGAGTGCATGGCAATGGCGGCGTAGGAAAGAAACGGCACAAACTCGACAAAGCCAGTGTGGAGCGGATCGATGGTTGCAAGGATCGAGGGCACTTCGGACTTTTCTGGTGCCAGATTCAGAGAGCTAGCCTGGTCAGCGACGCTGTGCTATGAAAGTCTAGACATACATCAAGCACCGGCGCACGTCGTCTTTGCGCAACACGCCTTCCTTTGATTCCTCGTGCTCTGGGTGGTGCACAGCGAACAGGCCAAATGCTTCACGGATCTCAGCCTCTTGATCTGCATTCAGGCCATTCTCTTTGGCAAGCTTGGAGGCGCGTTTTGGCGCCGGACGAGCCTTTGCAGGCGCTGCACGACGCTTTGCTGGCTACAATCGTTAGCGCAATCACTTCATCACGGTTCAAATGCTTTGTCAGGCCTACCATGGTCTCTTTCCTAACGACGTTGGCCTCCGCATGCGACCGCGAGATGGTGTTCGCGATCAATGACGCACGCGCGCCGGACCCACACTCAAGCCAGCGCTAGTGAGGCCTAGCGCACTGAACTTTGGCAAATTTCAACGCGCCCAACCTCCCCCTCACGCGTCTCCACCAAGCCTTTATAAAGCTTGCGTCCCTCGTCCTTCTCTACACACCACCTCACCGCACCTGACCGGCGTGTTTGTGCCCTTGGAGGCTACGCCTTTGCTTGAAACCACCCCATACTTTTTCCGTCTACTATCCAACAATATGCAGACGTCTCTAACCTCAATTACCACATAATCAACACTTACCTACCTCTCATTCCCAGCTCAACACCCTCACCCCACCACTGCCTCACCACCTAGGCGTTGAGCCTTGTGCGTCCGGGACGCAGGTCCACGGACCAGAGACATGGTCTCATGAGGCATGGTCCTCCTTGGGCACAGCACTGTCTGCCGGTCTGGCCCCCGGTGCCGATAAGTGCTCCCCACATCGAGTACAACCACGGACCAGGAGTACAGCAGCACGACCAAGCCAGCAGTGGAAGTACGGTCTGGCCATAATGGAAGAGCAGCAGCTCCGTTCCTAGCCGTGGCAGGCCATGCGTGGCTTCCAGCCAGCAAGAAGTCGGGAGACGTCCCGCAGCCAGCAGCCCTTTACGGAGAAATCTGGTTCAAGTCGAGCGAGACGCTCGCAGGTTCGTCGGCGTCCTGCGTGGAGCCTTCGATGTTCGCTGGATCTTCGACATGAAGCCGGCAGAGAGTTCTGGCTCCCTCCAGTCAAGCATGATATGGCTATAGCAGCCGGTGCTTGTCATCGTAAGACCTCGAAGAGAGGCTGATCTTTCCGTAAGACCCCAGTGCGGGGCTGGTGTTTTGGGGTGGGCGCTCCGCATGAGGCCTACTGCCCTTCGAGTCGAGGTCGCGCCTTCACACTCGTGTTTGCAATGCCTTCGAGCCTCTTGCAGTTTCTTGTCAAGATTGAGTCTTGCACTTCGGCTGAGCTTTGTCTCGCTTTCGGGAATGCCCCATGAGGGATGGCCCATTCACGGCAAAGGTCGACTTGCTACAGGATCCTCGATGTCCGTTTTACCCAGTTGTACAGCAGAGAGCGATTCGACCGAGTACCACCTCGGCGGCAGGCCATGCGTCACTGAGGTTAGGCCGGGAGATTACAAAGCAGTCTGACGAGCCAACACTTCACAGGATAGGGTGTACTCACCGGCCCCTGCAACAGTCCTGTCACATTCGAGTACATCTCGAACAATGGAAAGCCCGACACGGGATCGCCAACACGGTAAAGGTTGACTCGCCCACGAGCCCCGATACCCGTTCGTGCAAACGACCCCATATTGACAGCTCGCCACAGTCAACTAGAGCGAGAGGCTCGTTGACAGGCTCGAGCGTCCGGTGGAGGCAAGGGTCGGGATGCCGAATCAGCTGTCGAATAAGCCATTACGGGAGAGGGAAAGCGTGCTCACAGCACCCCCACATTCCCTACAGAATATCATGTTCTTACATGAAGCACGACGAGCCGATATCAAACAACTACCGAGCGAGCTGGATGCGGCCGGCTGCCGTGCAAACGCGCCAACATTACTGATGAACGGCACACATGTTAATCACTGCACGACAGCCATCAGGCGCATCCACCAACGCGAACAGCGGAGTGGTCGGCGAGGAGTCTGCTTCACAGCTCGGCTACGGCCTTGCATTTGTGGCGCCGCGTTTGAGAACGTGGCTTGATGCCCAACGACCTTTCTCTGGTCATACAGGTCCCCACGCTTCCAGAGCGAGGACTACTTCTCGTGTCATCTCACTGCGATAAGTCGCAGGAGAGATCTTGAGTACATTGTCACGTATGTGTCAAACTGCCATGCGCAGGAGGCGAGATACGTACAGCAGCGATGCTGTAGTGGACCTCTAAAGTAGGGATAACCCCCGACACCTTTTGAGGAGTTAGGAGAGGTCAGACCTCGACGCAAGTCGAGCTTCTGGCAGGTCTCAGAATCCGATTGGGGTGGAAGAAGCCAACAGACATTGAGCATACCTCCGGCGTAGCCTTTGGGCGAACCCTTGGTCACTCTGATAGCCGCAAGGCCCTGGCATGTTTACTTCGAGGCACTCACGGACATTACACCGGCATTGCCGCTGGGCCATTCGTGGCTACTATTGATCCCCACGCTTGGGTCAACGCTCACGAGACACGATTCACTCGCGTGGCCAGGGTAGAACCTGGCAGGAGTCTGACCGGACCAACGCACTTCTCTTCTGACAGCGCCGTCTTCTCCTTCTCTCCGTCTGACCTGTTCTCTGGCGAGGCCAAAGCAGAAACAGGGCTCGTACTCGCGGTTTCTTTCTCCAGTAGTACGCATACGGTCGGTGACTGCACCTCGTTCATCGCCACACGTCGCCTCGGGTCGAAAGCGTTATAGATCCAGCTCGTACTTTTTAGACGAGACCGCCAGGGACCGTCGAAAGGCGAACGTACGGTCGGTCATGAAGCAGGTCCCCTCCTCCCTGCGTGCAAGAATTGGTAGATGCTTTCGAGTACCTGTGGCTAGTCGGCAGTGCCTCTGGGGGATGTTTGTCCAAACATGTGGTATTCGAGGATTCTCTCATCTTGTGGCCGGCTCGTATTGAGTGCGCGTTGCAAATGGGTATGGGCCATGGAGGTCTCGTTGACGACCGACGCACCGAAGTGCTCTGTGCGAAGTTCTGCAGGACGGAGTACAAGGCGCTGAGGCGCGGACGTCTGAGAGGCTGAGTTGGTATCCGCTTCTACATTAGCTAGAGCTGGCCGTTGCGTTATTTCTACGTTGAGTCAGTGTGGACATAGAAGCGAGAGTAACACCCGCCATCATCCACTTCTTCAAACGGGTGGTGGCGCCTCTGCGCCTCTGATCTAGTGCCTTCAGGTGCAAGATTGAGGGTGTGGAGGGGACATAATTTCTTGCCGTGATAAATAGTCAATCAACGACATTCTTTCATCATGTCAAATTTCCTCTACCTGCGTACTGTATGTCTGCACGTGACGTTCATCTTTCACACTCTTACACCGGTAGCACAAGTATCCGCTCATCTGCCATCATACTTATATAACGTCATACCACCTTCTCCATCCATCCATCTATCTATCCACACTCCGTCCCCATCCACTCAAGTCTCGGCATCTAGTAGCGCATTCACACGTCCATGTATCCACCAAACGCATCATCCTTGACAGCACATCGCCGTGCTCCTGAGGCCCAATACCTCACAAGTACTTTCCTCCTCAACAAAGGCGAGCAGCGCTAGTAGATCGGCTGTGAGATCGACAGCTGCATGCAGGGCATATATCGGAGCCCCACATGCAGCGGCTATCGATGTGCTGTGGCCGTGTGGCCACGGCAGCATGCGGTTCTGTCACGTCCAAGGAAGCGTCTTGCACGGGCGAGAGGTGTAGACTGGTTTTGACACGGCGAACGACTGTATGCGTATGGAGCGTGGAGGAAAGCCTTGTGGTCATGTCCTTGTGTTGAAGTGACTGTCAGGCACGAGACGTGGAATCGTTTGCGTACTGGGTGTAAGCAGTTGCAATTGCACTCTACTCAGTCCGCTACGGATGATTGCCGTGTACGCACAGCTCCGTGCACCGGACGAGCATCCATGAACATGTTCTACAGACTCCAATATCAGTGCGCCACCGATGTGCCAGATCTCGATGTGGCAGTGCTACGATTTCATGACGTTCTTCGTATTATCGTGATGCGCCAATGTGAGCCTCGCGTAGAAACGAGGCTGGATGGCCGGGTCCGGATACTCCTCGATCTTGCATGTGCAGTATGTACTCTCGACACGTGGGTTTGGGGATACTGCATCATCGACGCAGAGTCGTGGCTGTCGCCTGGAAGGAGAATCTACCGAGTCACCGTCCACGTCCAATGACAGTTCGGGTCTTCGCAATAGGGGAGGAGGATCGATGTCTGCTGCAGGAGCAGGGATCGGCGTACAGTACTGGACCGGTCTGTTGAGCTGGGCAGTCTGCGCAGGCATTCAGCATCATTGGTCGAGATGACGAATCTCTGGCATCATCACCGCAAACGAAGCCGAGGATCAATCGAAGTGCCTCTCCTGCTCTCGCTCGTGAAGTTGTTTCTCTCAAGGATCCTTTTGGTGCTGACATGCCCTGGTACAGTTCCTTGGGGTTGACCCTGCAGGGCCAAATCCGCAGCCTGTACGACAATAGCATGCATGGTGCTTAAAAAGCTGCGGTGACTAACCTAATTTGTGCTAATCTGGACTGCTATCGCTCCATGAAGGACGTCGAAAGAAAAAAATCTGGGAGATTGTTGTCTCGTGGGGCCGGCCCGTAGTGTTACGAAACGAGTTGACCCAGGACATCGGGCGCAGGCCGCACCTCCTTCCAGTGACAACCAGGTTTTGCGGTGATGACTTCTCGATTTGTGTCTGCGAATATACTTTGTGTCTCAGTGAATTGTCAAGTTCGCATGTGGGCGTGCGCTCCCGGTGCCGCGAGCCTAAGTCGAGCTGCTGTTACTTTTGCTTTTTCAGACACCATCGGCCTGACAACAGGGAACCGCTGCCCTCACGATCCCATCTCTCACTGTGCATATCTTACCGGATTTTGCTCTCTAGGCCTGGTTGAGCAGGTTCGAAGACTGCTTGCAGGACGATCTATCGAAAGTCCCCACTGCGAAAGCGGCTGCGCATGGGCGTGATCGTGTGAAGAGCTGAGGCTACGCGGGAAGCGAGTGTTTTACCCCTGCCGTCGCGTAAACCCGTGCTGTCGATCAGGATCAGGAACAATCAAAGCTGAGGCTATCGTCAATACCGCCTTCGACACGGTGCTTGCCGTGATGATGGAATAGCGGTGATTTGTTGAAATTGAAACCGCCCCGCTCAAGCTTGTTTAGTTCCAGGGTCCGGACACGACTGCAGCGCTGTGTTCCTTCCCTCCCTCCCGCACTCGCCCTGACGCGCCGGCGCCCAGTAGCCATATATCTAGATACCCAGCTTCTACGGATATGCTGATTTTCCTATCACAGCGTCAGACAGTAGAAGCTAGGGTAGCGTGACTCTCCTTCGGGACTGCCTGCAGATAGACCACCACATCCTAGGCCCGGAAGGTTTTCACCACGCGCACTTAGTGCACGATCGATTGCGTGGGCGGTGCTTTTGCTTGTCTGAGACACTGATGAGGCCGTATCGATATACCGAGTAACACAGAATGTGCCCGAGGGGGTTGGAGAACGCAATCGCTACCCGTAGTTGCTTTTCGATTGTCGTTCAAACCTATTCACTTCCTCACTATTCCGTCATTTGTTGACTTCTGGTTCTTGATCCTCGTATTACTACACTCGTTCTTTCCTACTTTTCTTGTCACTGTGTCAAATACCCGGTTTTCCTTCGCGCTCAATATGGACCCAATCTCCTCACTTACTATTCAGTCATGGACGTGCTACGCTATAGTCGTAGCCATCGTCTTCGCACGCTTAGTGTTTCGACGCATCATGCTCAAGTCGTTTGTAGATCTGCAGGCCGATGACTGGATCATGGTCTTCATATTACTTCCATTCACGGCAGCAATCGTCCTCATGGTCCCGGCAGCCGACCAAAGAATGACGAACAACCGTGTGTATCGATACGTGCTTGAGGAGCTCCAGATCGTCATCGCATGGCTTGTCAAAGCATGCCTGCTGATACTGTATTGGCGCATCTTGTACGTAAGTCCTCTTCGAGCAGGAGCAGTTCTTACTGACGCACACAGCCCTGTCGCATTCAACACGCTCAGAAGACGCTACGTGCAAGTCGTCACGACAGTCTGCGTACTGTCATTTATTATCACCCAAGTTTCGCTGCTATCTTGGTGTCAGCCTTCCGATCTGAGCGACCAGCAATGCATGACCTACCGAGGTCATACCATCGTGTCTCTGGCATTCGATGTCTTGACTACTGTCCTCGTTCTCATAATGCCAACACCTTTTATCCCAACACCACGGCGCTTACTTCTTGCCATCCTGATGGTCGCCGGGATCATGACGCTTATCTTCGGCATCCTCGCTCGATACTACATCCTGGCGGCGCCGACATCAAAAACACACGTCTTCTACTACATCTACGAAACCACACTGCTCGTTGTCTTCGCCAATCTTCCTTTCTTGACATCACTTGTTGTCTCTACCACACCAGCACGCATCCGTGAGTTCGGTCGCAGTATTTCCTTTGCCCGCGATGGCGTCCACATGCTGCTATCGCCATGGCCGAGGAGTAGCAGAATGAGTGTTCAGGACATAGGATCTCCGCTACAAAGAGTCGACCGGCTGGGAAGCACGGTGACCGTGACAAGCGGGACTTTGGATAGAAAGGAATATTCAGCGTCTACGTCTGTGACGCGGCCAGGGAGCGCAAAGTGCGGAAGCGAAACGCTGGGCAGACCAGACAGTGGAAGAGGTTGGCCTTTAGCTTGATGGCAGGCGTATACATTGGATTGATGGCGCTAAGAATCCCGAGTGTAGACGTACGTGCACCAATGAAGCGACCGACTATGCGGAAACCTCGATTCTGCCATGGCCACGTGTGATCTAATGCTTTGACCCTTCGACACTACTTGATTTTGCCTGCGCAAGTACCATTGGTCGGCCGCTTTTGAACAGTGATCTATACCGGCTAAGATTGGGAGGTAGACAACGTTGATTGCGACAGCATCCCGATACTGATTACCACTTTGGAGAATACAAGCCCTCTTTCTCTCCATAACCCATCAACGATTTCCCCCGGACTTTGGCTTTTCATCCGATCTCGACTGATGGGTCAGCATCATAACGGACATGATGCACTTGAACCTGTTGAAATATGGGAAGAAGTCAAAAATATTTAGCGAAGTAATCTCTGCCACATGATTACAAGTCAAGCTATCTGTAAGACGCGGCTGTTGACCAGATTGGTAGAGGCGAAATGATGTAAGGGACGATCCATCTACTCAGCAAACATGGAGCTTGTCCAATCTTCAAAGGAAGGCCATAGACAGTCTTAGATCGCAGCTCCACGATTTCGAGTTGGCGTGAGCTCGATGACTGGTCACCTTCTTTGTTAGAATGGTTTGGGCTTTCACCGTCAGTGGCAAACCATTCGCTCCTTGCAAACCCAAGGATACGGTGGAATATCACCCAGCTACATCCTGCAAGCATCGAAGCGTACCCAAATGTGCGAAAGGTTCCGAGCTGGAGACTTCGAGATAGCCGTGGACCGCATGGCAGCCATCAAGAACGGTACACTTAAGCCACTATGCGGTGCAAAGCGCAACAGTATCGTGCAGGAAGAGACTACAGAGCGCAGGAAGAAGCGCAAGGAGGAGTATGAGGTGAGCATGGCATAGCAGAAGATGAACAAGGAGGTGGAGGAGGCAGAGAAGTGCAAACGCAATATCAGCGATGAATGGCGTGGATGATACAAGAAGAAGCGTGGTGATCACTGGTAGGTTAACAGAGTATGGATGTATCCGTCCTCGAACCAGTCGGGCTATTGCTTGGCCGGCTCGCGGCGACTTGATAAGCTTCAGGATTCATAGTATCATGAGGAGTATCTGGGAGGTCCTGTTGAAGAGCACCTAGAGTCAAAGTTGAGCACCAAATGGAACAGAATTGTCGATTTGCAATGCCGGGGTATCTATCTACGCTCTAATGATCTATATTTCCAAAAGCTTCTGCACCTCCTTCACCAACATCCTGTCCTCGGCAGCCTTGGCTGAAATCCTGCCTACCGTGCCAGCAGCGTCCATGACACAACATAGACCTCTCAGTTCGCCGTCCATATCTGCACCATACGCAAGCCAGCCTGTAGCGATGAGGGCCATCTTCTTGTTCGCGCTCCACTCGTCCTCTGCACCCAGTGTTTCGAGCAAGGAAGCGAGCAGCTCGGTCTGCTCAGAGTCCTGAAGCTCAGACGCATTGGAAAGGGTATGTACGACGTTGCTACCATACATCTTCATGCGGACTTGGTGATTCGAAGAGGCGAGGTTCAGAGCCAAACTCAGCGCTGATGCTTTTAGCGCTGGATGCTTGTCGTCGAGCAGCGAAGTTGCGAGGATTGAGATGAGTGCTGAGGATAGTGGTGCTGAGAGAAGGTGAGGCACAAAGAGCGGTGAAGTGAAGAGGTTGCAGGCGAGATGCAATGTGGTGAGGCGAAGTGGGTATGGCGCCGTGTCGCCCAGCCCATCAACGTGACTGAGCAGGTGGTAAACAGTTGCTGGCGTGCCAGTGACACCTTTGTGCTCCTCGGCAAAGAATCCGGCAACACGGACATCTGTGAGTGCGACTCTCAGTAAATCATATGCTGTGAAGAGTAATTCTGCGGGAAGCTGTGCTGTGCTCTTCCTCAGGAACCCAGCAAATTGCGGCAGTTGTGTCAAAGGTGCCTCCTTTGCCCCAGACTTCTCGCGAGCGTTGATAAAGGAGACGATGGTCGAAACCGCAGGGTCTTTGCCAGTATCTCTCATCTTTGCAACCACTTTTTCCAGCGGTGGAACCTTTGTGAAGGTGATAGGCCGCTGACTCTGGCGAAGCAGATATGGTGTGCTTTGCGAAAGATGCGGGTGTGGGGGGAATGTGGCGTTTAAGAGCGACTCGACGTTAGTGCGCAGCTGTCGCGGGTCGGCACCGCTCCACTCATCCTGCTTTGCACCTTTGCTGTAGGTGATGAAAGTTGGTGTTGCTCTGACATTCGGGTAGCGTGTGTTTATGGAGCCGTCTGCGCGCGTGAAATCGATCTTGATGAAGACACACTTCGAGCCTGCTTCTGCAGCGAGATCATCATAGGGCTGGTAGACGAGCTTGCATGGACCGCAGGTTGCACTCGTAAAGAAGATGATCGCGCAGCGATCATTACCGAGCTCTAGGATGCGATCCACCTCCTTGATCGTCGTAACGTTATTGACGCGCCCTGTAGATGCTGCAAGCGTTGTGCCATTGCCGTTGTTTGTGGACCCATTGCTTGCAACTCCGTTGTTCATGTTCGCGGCGGGTTGCGCTTGTGCTGGCGGCTTGGGCTGTAGAGGCTGTGGTGTGGGTGCTTGCGTAATAGGTCGCATCATAGCATCAAGCTGCGGCCTGAGCATCTGGCCAAAAGGTGTGTTGAGGACGTCTTGCGGCAGGCTTGTGATGTGCACAGGTATACTCTTGCCGACGAGGAACATGGCGAAGTCGTTCGAGAAGTTGTTGCAATTATGCAGAAAAAGATCATAGGCCTCGGATACGTCAGTACGCCGGTTCGAGAAAGAAGGTCCCATCACCTACTTCCGCAGTGTATATCGTCTTCAGAGACTCAAGGTACTCTAGAATGACCTCGAGTGGCAGTGACGTCTGTCCAAGCTTGATGACCTCCAAAGGTCGACCATGGTGTGTGGTACCGGCTCGACATGTTTGCACACCTCCACCATAGAAGTATTCTATGCCTTCGATAACAATGGAGGTGTGGTATACTGCATCGATCTGGATTCCGAGGAACTGCTGTGACATGCTACGTGCAAGACCCTGGTCAAGTCAGCCAGATTCCATGTGCAAAAGTTTTGTGCCCGCATTAAAGCGCTCTCACGGTAGCGTACCTGCGAAAGGTCGTACACGTAGAGCTGTACGTTCATCTTGTCTGCTGTGTTATTGGCCGCGCGCTTTGGTCCGAGAGGTGATTGTTCGTAATTTAGTAGATGGACGTTGCGGAGGTGGAAGGTGGCAGGTAGCGGTGTTGCGCAGAGTCTCTGCTTTCACGAGACTTTGTAGTGGATGTGGCAGGCAGCGGCGGTGACGGGTGCTGGAATGTTCGTGAACGATGACGAACGCCACTTCGCGCGTGTCGCCAAAGGGTTCAATCGCGCTAGCACATGACTCGATGACTGATCTTCTTGCACATGCGACCCTGCTCAATGACCCTGTACTCTGCAGATCTGCAAGGACTGTAAAGCATGATAACACGGGACGGAGGTCTTCACAGATTTCTACAGGCAGAGTTCGTGGAATTAAAGGCTCAAGTCTCATGCGTTGCTATGTGAGGCAGGAGGAACATCATGCATTGCTAAGGTAACGTACTTTACAAGCGAGCGACGCGTACAAGCGAGCGACGCGCCCCACCAACTTTGCCTGCCTCTTCCATCTCAACGTATAATGGCTCCACGCAACGTCACTCAATTGCCTTTAAATGAAGCAGATATTCAGCTTGCTATCTCATCTATCAACACTAAACAGATCCAGGGCAATCGTCCTGCTGCCACGATCTACAACGTTCCTGAAGCAACGCTCCGCCACCGACGCGCTGGCAGGCCCTCACGACGCGATTGCCAGCCCAACTCAAAGAAGCTTACCCAGCGCGAGGAGGAGGTGATCACAAGCTATATACTGGATCTAGATCAACGTGGATTTGCGCCTACGTACGCAGCTGTACGTGATATGGCTGATAAGCTGCTAGCTGCGCGCAGCGCAGGTCACGTCGGCGTCCACTGGCCACGCAACTTTGTCAAGCGTACAGACTCTCTCACAACGCGTTTCAACAGAGCGTACGACAGGCAGAGAGCTCTATGCGAGGACCCTGTTCTTATCCAAGACTGGTTCAGGCTCGTGGAGCAGACGAAGGCCAAGTACGGCATCTGTGGTGAGGACGTCTATAACTTTGATGAGGCTGGCTTTATGATGGGCAAGATCACAACTTAGCTTGTCGTGACTGGATCAGAGAGGAGAGGCCGGCCAAAGGCTGTTCAGCCTGGTAATCGCGAGTGGGTAACAGCTATCGCTGCGATCAACGCTGCTGGCTGGATAATCCCACCCTTCCTTATCTTTGCTGGCCAATATCACCTATCTGCCTGGTACGAGCAGGCAGAGATCCCACGCGACTGGGTAATTGCAGTCAGCGACAATGGCTGGACGAATAACGAGCTTGGAGTTGAGTGGCTAAAGCACTTTCACGCCCATACTAAGACTCGTTGCGTAGGTGCACGTCGCCTGCTTATCCTTGATGGCCACGAGAGCCACCACTCTCTTGAATTTCAAGAGCTCTGCAAGGAGAACAATATCTACACGCTCTGCATGCCACCTCACTCATCTCACCTGCTGCAGCCACTTGACGTTGGCTGCTTCTCGCCGTTGAAGCGCGCGTACAGCCGTGAGATTGAGGCTCTGATCCGCCACCACATCAACCACATCACCAAGCTTGAATTTCTGCCAGCGTTCAAGGCAGCCTTTGATCGCGCGTTCACAACAGCCAATATCTGCTCAGCCTTCCAAGGCGCAGGCCTTGTCCCTCTCCATCCTGACGTTGTTTTGTCAAAGCTAGACGTGAAGCTGCGCACGCCTCCTCTAGCTGCTCTGCCAGAGGCTCTCTGGGAGGCTCGTACGCCAAGCAACGTACGTGAGCTTGAGGCTCAATCAACGTTAATTCGTGAGCGCGTAAGAAAGCACAGGAGCTCCTCACCTGCCTCAATTATTGAAGCGATTGATC